TAACCACATAATAGCAATACAATGTCCACGTGGAGGAGAACACAAGCAGTCACGCCTTTTGCACACTGCAACAAATGTGCAGTCTTGTAATCGGGGATCAGGTGTATCCTGTGTACCAGTAATCTTACATGCACCCTTCGTTTCTAAAGCATTTGCCAGAGTCTTTCTTTTCTATTTTCGTTTTATATCTTAACTTTAAGAGGACCAGGCTACAAGATATGTTTGTGCACTTCGCAATTTTGTGGCCTGTTGTCATCACTGATTTTCAGTGATCCATTATATAATTTTCACCTCTATTTTGTCTATTACCCCTAATGGAATTTGTTACGGGGGATAATCAGGACCGGTTATTCTCTGTGGCGTTGGCGTTATATATTTATGTTTGAATGGTAATAATTTACTATTGTCCTTATCTGCCTTTAAATTAGCAAATCAGTCGTGCATGAATCATACTTACGGGGACTGTCTCAGTTTACCGTTAAAATGAATAGATTACTGCTCCCAACTGTTCTAATTGTCAAAGGGTAATTCGTCGCGTAGGAGTGGTAATAGTTGGCTCAAAGTGTGGGATCCAGCACGTGCTAGCACTTAATAAATTTAGCATGAACGTTTCAACGGTTAGACCTGATGGAAGTTTACATTTGTCTTTTAGACAACAAATCTATTGTCTTAAATCGTTGAAGATCATAGAATATTTAAACTTAACATTTATAAAAAATAACGTGAATGAAGTGTTCTCTTTTACTGTTTTACGAATGAATGAATATATATGTTACACTCGAGTATGTCAAACTGTTTTGGGTTATGGGATACAAATAAAATACTATGTTCTGATTGTATTGTGTAGTGACAGTCTATATGAAACATTTTTAATATGTAACACTATGCCATAAGAGTAATTCACGATTTATTCACACATTCAAACATATTTCTCTGCAATCTAAAGTTAATGCATTGATGCAGCTTCATATAGTTAATGAGTAATGTCTAGTGGTAACATACTGTAAGGTTTCTCGGAACACAGAAGCAAGTAAAGTGTTGTCATATTTTAACCTTTGTGTATACCTAAGTGTATACTTTGTATTTATTTGATTAATTGCCAAATATGATACTGAATAAAGGGTCTGCATTATGGTATGATGGTATACCACAGAGGGTTGGATATTATGGTAGTCTCAAGGGGAGGATGAAGTGAACATATTCCGTGCTATCTTTACTGTCGGATTCCTGACAATAGTACTGGGCTGACAGACCAACAATCACGACAGAGGCGACTAGTAAATTCGAACTTATAGTCATCAAACCCTCTGATTTAGAAACAACGAAGCAGAGGAATATGTCGTTATAAACAGCCTATCACGCTCCATCCACTCAACCTATTCATATCGCCTGAATATGGAACATTCTGTAGTTATTACCTCCCTCGGACAAGGTTAGCTGAATGTGATGACCCGCTATTCAAGTCTGATTCTCCTCTAAACCTAGCTGTTTTAGCTGTTTTGTACGTAGTCGGTTGACCAATTGCCTAATTGTAGAAAACTAAAAGGAAATTTGTCGCGTTGTCGCAGTGTCCCATCTAGGATTCCATACCTAAGATATGGAATTTAAGTTTCTCGGCGAAAGGGAACTTTCTGACATGCAAACACCATGCAACCCCCCCCCCCCCCCCCCCCCCCCCCCCCCCCGTAATTGTTCCCTGGGAGTGGGGGTGGCGTAATTTTTACCTGGGAGTGGGGGGTTGCGTAATTGTTCCCTGGGAGTGGGGGTTGCGTAACTGTTCCCTGGGAGTGGGGGTTGCGTAATTGTTCCCTGGGAGTGGGAGGTTGCGTAATTGTTCCCTGGGAGTGGAGCTTGCGTAATTGTTCCCTGGGAGTGGAGCTTGCGTAATTGTTCCCTGGGAGAGGAGGTTGCGTAATTGTTTCCTGGGAGCGGAGGTTGCGTAATTGTTCCCTGGGAGCGGAGGTTGCGTAATTGTTCCCTAGGAGGGGGGTGGGTGGGGGGTTGGGGGTGGGTGCGTAATTGTTCCCTGGGAGTGTGTGTGTGTGTGTGGGGGGGGGGGGGGGGGGGGGGGGGGGGGGGGGAATGGGGGGGGGGGGGATGCGTAATTGTTCCCAGGGAGTGAGGGCTGCGTAATTGTTCTCTGGGGATGGGGGGTTGCGTAATTGTTCCCTGGGATGGGGGGGTTGCGTAATTGTGCCCTGAAATATAATGATTACTAGCTACTAACAGCATATATGTTACACAATGGAACTCACAAATTATCCCCCTTCCACCACGCATCTGACACATTGCCTACACAGTACAATCTATGAATTACCTCCCTTTATGTATACTAGTATTAATTTCTCTGATCTTTGCACACTTTATGATAAATTGAGTGGATACGACTACAAGGTGAATAACATTTATAACCCTTTTAAGATGATTTTCACATGATGCTTGACATTTTATCCAATTGTACTTAAATAGTATTGCGGTAGTGTTTTAACTCTCCATATATCACATGTTTCATATTCACCCGTAATAACAATATCTGCCATATATATAATAAAACACGTGGAATCTGTCATAATCGTAAATCTCGTAGATAACAAAAACGAGAAAACATACATCACCTTTCGTTACCCAAACACCGCTTAATGTAACCAGTACATCTGAATAACCAGCCATCAGTGTTAAGTACTGACAGAAAACTTGACATCAGTGGATAGGTTTGTTTGTTTGTTTGTGGTTTAACGCCGCACTCATCAATATTCGAGCTGTATGGCGGTGGTCTGTATATTATCGAGTCTGAACCAGACAATCCAGTGATTATTATTATGAGCATCGATCCACGCACTTGGGATCGATGACATGCATCAACCGAGTCAGCGAGCCTGACAATCCGATCCCGTTAGTCGCCTCCTACGACAAACATAGTCTCCTTTTACGACACACTTGGTTTGCTGAAGACCTATTCTACCCCGGATCTTCACGGGTATAGTGGATAGGTAAACACTCCTGACAATTTGAATAGCATGACCTTGTAACACAATGACTTTACACAGACCGTTTAGTTCGACCACACAATTGTACCGTATTAAAGGTGGAGGATTTCTACTCGCTGGCTGCAGAAGATCAAAATACACCCTCAGCGATTCTGACTGCATTGAGTCCCAAAATTCATTCAATGATTTTACAAAAAGAATCAGATAAAATTGTCATGTGTGAAATATATTTGTTTAATTGTCTGATTAGATAAATGGAATGCAGGATAGGTAGACTCTTTCATCGTAGCACATGTACCCAAACAGATTGTTTATTCATCTCTTGACACAATCAATGTAAACTACTCTCCTACTTATAATGTTGTCAGAACCAACCGAAATAAACAATTCATGAAACAAAATTTGACGGTTTACATGCGTTCTACACGTATGCCCGTAATTATCTGTCATCGCGTTTATCAACTGCACACCTCACAATGACATGTTAACAATCATGTCAGTGTGACCTGCTATGTTATGACTTGGCGAATCGTAACCCTCCTATTTTCGGTTTGTAATCAGGACGATCAATACCACTCAGTGTTGACGCCACGTCCAAGTACAGCTTTGTGAGGTAAGTGTTCACCGCTCACCAACTGAATTATGTTTGGACAAGCTTACTAATAAATATCTTTCACCGCTGATCACTACAATAAATATAAACATATTTCAAAGAGAATGTTTAGAATGTACACGATGACAACATGGCACCAGGCTGATCAAATAAGTCGCCCTATGGGTGATACTAAAAGCCAGCAATAGGCAGGCAAACTGACTACCGCTCCTCGCTGGGTGCTTTACAGACTGTACTATTGTGTTATGTTTAAGGTGGTGTGAAAAATTACCACACTTGAGTCAAATATTTGTTTCTTTCCTTCAGAACAATCTTTTCAAGAGGAAGGATGACCAGTTCAAAAATAGGGTGTGTGGAATCACTTCGTTATCCCTCTGGATTACGTGTTACCTTTCTTCACGGGGACATAACCCTGGCTCGCGCTACCGCCGTGGTGACGGGCGAAAACCAAGACTTTCGTGTTGAGAGTTCAGTGACCAAAGCACTAATCCAGAAGTCCAAAGACTTTGAACATTTGAGAAATAAACTCAGTCAACGTTGTTTATCTAATGACTTATGGACTGTATATCCGGCGTTTCTTGGAATGCCATTTAAATATGTTCTGTTTGCATTTCTCGAACGCATGGACGGTGATGAATGGATGAAGGGTATGAAATATCTGTACAAAGACATCTTCAAAACTGTTGAAGACTTCGATATTGCGACGTTGGCTATACCGTTGTTAGGCATTACCAATACTACGTAATCACGTGAGACCGTTTAAACAGAGAAAATGAATTATTAGAATAATTTTGTTCAGGTAAACCATGTTTGTTGACTTCGCTGTTTGCTACGGGTGCCACCAGTGATATCATCACTGTTTGCTAGTGAATCGTACTGCTTCAAACAGGCTTTGAGGCCGACCATTTGATTTTCGGTTCGGGGGATATCTATATTTTTTCTAGCTATTTAAAACTAGGAGCCTGGATGTTCTTTTAAGTAACGCACATTACAAAAGTGCAACTTTTGTGTCAGGCATTTTCTCTTTTCCCAACAGTACGACGCATATTTATCCCATAATAGTATACCCGATAGGATCCGGGGTAGACAGGTCTTCAGCAACCTATACTTGCCATAAAAGGCGATTATGCTTGTCGTAGGAGGCGACTAACGGGATCGGGGGGTCAGGGCTCGCTGACTTGGTTGATGCATGTCATCGTATCCCAATTGCATGGATCGATGCTCATAATGTCAATCACTGGATCCAGACTGGAATATTTACAGACCGCCGTCAAATAGCTGGAATATTGCTGAGTGCGACGTTAAACATACAAACACTTTATAGTACAGATAAATGCACGTGGTTGGACAGTTGTCTCCTTTTAATTCAAAGTAACTTCAAAGCACCTACATTTTCTCAGGTGTGGTCAAAAGGGAAGACTCGGCGATAATTGCAGCCGCAAGATCCTCTGTTAAATACAAACCAAGCAAGCGCAGGGAAATCATTTTCGTTGCATCAAGTTTTGATAGAGCAGACAAAATGGCTACACAGTGGAAGTATGAATTGCATAAAGAGTCAACCAAAGGCAATTTGTCCCGTTTCGTATCAGCTGTTAAGGATACATTCGAGGTTGCCCCTCCAGACAGAATTTATGAGAGGCCGCGAAGAAACAGTACAAGGCATGACCGAGATATAACGGTATCCCAGTCGAAAAAGCAAGGCCACCCCAAAGCTTCCTCGATGAACAAAAACGAGAGCCTGAGTTTAAGGGAACGTGAAAACATCGACAGGGCCATAGCAGAGTCATTAGAAGCCGAAACCAAGCGCCGTAATTCAACCAAACGGGATCACCGGCCGCGAAGTTATGGTCAGTATGGTAACCAAGGTCATTCTGCAAGAAAAGCAAGTTACAGGGAGGGAATGTTCCGAAATTTCCAAGAAGACAATTCTGTCTGGGAGAACACTACTGATGAAGAAATGAGGGTCACCGAGATGCAAGCAAGTAGTGATGCTGACACTGTCCCTAGCAGCACCACAGAGGATGACAGTCGAAGTATCAGTGACTCCGAGAATATGTTAACTTGTGCAATATGTTTGGGGGTCATCATTGATCTGAAACAACTGGACAAATGTTATCACATCTTCTGTAAATCGTGCATAGATCGCAGTTTCAGAGAGCACAAGCCTGTTTGCCCCACATGCAACATGGTGTATGGGGTTATCAAAGGTAACCAGCCAGACGGGACGATGAAAGTTGTCTACAACAGCACTCCCCTTTCCGGCTATGAAGACTGGGGGAGCATCCAAATCAACTATGACATCCCGAGTGGTATACAAACGGTAAATCTACTCTCAGTTCCATGGACGAATTACATCCCTATATATCCCACATCAGTTTAGAATTAGTAGATATGCAGCGTCATGCTTCAATTTAGTTTACGTTTAAACCTTGCAAATATATTCATAAGTGGGTTCATTTCATTGACCGCGTATCCTTCATGTTTATGTCACATAACAAAGTAATAATTACTGTAATTACTATAATGAATCTCGTGAAGACCCGGGTTAGAATTAGTCTACAGCGACACCATGCTCGCCGTAAGAGGCGACTAACGGGATCGGGTTAGAAAGTATGGTTTTCCTCCGCTTTTGCAATACAGTAAACTACAGTTATAACGAACTCAAAGGGACCATCCAATTTTAGTTCGTAATAACCGTAGTTCGTTTTAAGCATATATACAGCATATATGCAAAACACTGCCGGGGCTAACAAGTAAGTTCGTTATATCGGTCAGTTCGTTATAAGCGTGTTCGTTATAACCGTAGTTTACTGTATTATAGCTCTATCACGGAGTCTCGCTGACTGGTTGATGCATGTCATCGTATACCATTTGTGTACATCGATGCTCATGGTGACAATCACTGGATTGTCTGGTCCAAACTCGATTATTTACCGGCTTTCGTAATATAGCTTGAATATTGCGGAGTTAAACAACAATCATACAAACAAACAAAAAATTAATTCATATATGTGTAGTGATAAGCAAACATAGATGGTGAAAGGGCATGTTACACATTTTGCTATCCAGACAGGACAACCTGACCCTGGTGTGGCATTCAAGGGAATCACACGACGGGCATACCTCCCAGCCTGCCCGGAAGGAAAGGACATTCTAAGACTTCTCAGGATCGCTTTTGACAGGAAGTTGACCTTTACCGTCGGACGTTCTACAACAACCGGTCGGGAAAATGTCGTTACATGGAACGACATTCATCATAAAACAAACAAGGATGGTGGGCCGACAAGGTAGTTAATGCTCTGCATGTCATTGATCTATTTTTAGATTAAGCAATACTAATAATTTCTGATATAGAAATATAATCGAAATAACGCTTTCCATAATCATATTTTCAGATTTGTGAGTGATACTGAGTATTTGAATCCTAGATATTCCAATATTAAACTTGTCCAGACTCGATTAATTATAGACCGCCGTCATAGAGATGGTATATTGCTGAGTGCGGCGTTAAACAACAAACAAACAATATGTAAAAATTCGACAAGGACGATGTTTTTTTCTGTTAAAAAAATACTCACACTTTTCAATAACATAAACATGATAATCATGTTTCCAGGACATGAACGGGTCAGAAAATGTCAGGTCTTTGATCAGCATTCAACAATGCTTTTTGAACCAATCAGGTTGCGGTCCTTGCTCTTATTGTTTTACACCTGGTTTTTACTTGTTATTGATACTTTTTGTATTGATTTTCCATCACAAGGCATAAGTATTTCAATGTTTCATCCATCAAGGATCCTTTTAACATAAATTCTCATTTAATTCTTGTTTTTTAAAGGAAATTCAATTGATCGATAAATTTTATTGATATGTTTTGTATATAATTAAAAACTTTTTTTATAATTTGTAGATTCTATTGGATAACCGAGATTGTTCGTGGTTGTATCCTAGAAGTTTTACCTATAACTCTGATGTTCTACTTATTATGCTGTCCTTCGACGACAGAATTTTATACATGTATTTTTAATGTCGAAATTTGTCTCATCACGATAGGACTGAAATATTGCTGATGTGACGTTACACTTAACTCACTCACTCACTGTTGATAATTGATAAAGAGTCGAAAAGGTTTCACCTGTACTTTGTTTCAGATTTGGCTATCCAGATCCCACATACCTGACTCGAGTTCGTGACGAGCTTGCCAGCAAGGGTGTCACAGCAGACAATGTCTAGACGCTGGGGAACAGATCAAGGTTGATGTTTATGGACCTGGTGTCACCTCAGCAGCCAAGAAGCACTTTGATTCGTTTTCAAAATAGACGAATTTGTTATAGCTCTGTCGATACTATTTACTGATATATTATTCATCTGACACAGTAAATATGAAACGACAACGCCAGTGGATAATCAGGCTAATTATCTGGTCGTGGTCTGTGCATTTTATTTTCTGAAGGGAGGCTGAGAAGGAGTAAGAAATAATGGGTAATAAAGAAATTATAACACTCGCCTATGTCTCATACGGATTTTACGAAAATTGTGAAAGAATACATGTATTACCTTCGTTCTCGCTCGGGACATACAAGAATTCTGTCACTCGTTTCGTAAAATCAGTATTCGTAAGTATCTATTTAGTCAATATGTATCAGGTACGCTGAGTGATGGTCATCATTGTGCTGCAAACACTTCTTAATAGTTTACGTTGTCATCATATATACATATTTCCATGGATAGCTATTTTAATAAAAAAAATTATTAGTAGCTTTAATATGCATAGGGTTAGGGAAACGTTTTACGTGTGTCGTACCCATTCATATTTCCGAAATTCAAGCTGTTTTCCTTGCGATTTAATGACACTTTGTGCACATATCAACCATGCACTGAGGTTGTGCGATGACCACAATCGTATTAGTCTCCTAACCAGACAGGCTCAAGTAATGCCTCTGACTATATTGAATTCTAGAAAGCCAACACTGCGCACATTTGACAACTTCCTTTTTCTGTTGTAACTGCTATTACCTACTCATTATTCATTTACAGTAGTGCGTTTGTAAAGGGCAAATGGGACATTTAATATTATTCTTTAACAAATGTGTGTGTGTGTGTTTTCACATTATGCCTAATACTCTCATACGTTCTTTTATGTCAGTATAGTGGATTGGTATTTCTTGCCTTCAACTCTATTTCTTGTTAATGTACTTGTTTATGTCATGGTTAAGACATGTTCTAGTCAACTCGGAATCATTGAAAATACTCTGACCTATTTACAATTCCTCTAAAAGAAGTAGGTATGATGAAAGGTTCCAGTTTTTATCAGCAAAAATCATCGTGTCGGCTTGACGATGGCGGAAGACCAATAGTTATGAAGGTCTTAGTCGTTTACCGGGGCGATCGGGTCTGGTGGTTAAAGCGTTCGCTCGTCACGCTGAAAACCCGGGTTCGATTCCCGATATGGATACAATGTGTGATATTGCTGGAATATTGCTAAAAGCGTCGTTAAACCTAACTTACTCACTGGTCGTTTACCATTTCGATGATGCCCATGAATGACAAACCTAGAAACCCATTCAAGGCGAACCGGGATTCGAACCCACGAACAAGGGTTTCTGACACACCTAGGGGACGCAACTCCGTAAAGCGATTTGCAAGGCCTTAGACAAATGGGACACCAATGTCCACTAATCCTTTAAGAGACATTTCTCGGATCATTTCGCAAATAAACACAAATATGTCCGTCTTAAGAAATAAATCACTACACTTCATGGAAAAGGAGTTGAATATCTTTATTTCGATCCCGACAACAACATATTGGGTGTGAGCTACAATATATCCATATACTAAACACTTCGTTATAGACACATTTATCTACAAATTATCTCGTTACATTATTCGCTTCAATACTGTGAAATCTACGTTTACTTTGCAGTACATGTACGTCGTTTAGTGTATCGCTGTTGTATGGGTTACAAAGTAATCTTCTCAGTTACATTACAATCTGGAGAAAGTAGGGCATATAGGTGGGCCGCTATAGAAGTGTATAATACACTGTGCATCACAGGCTGAAGAAAGAAGGGAATAAAGGTGGGCCACATTAGCAGTGTATAATGCACTGTACATCACAGGCTGAAGAAAGCAGGGCATATAGGTTGTCCACTATAGCAGTGTATAATACACGGTACATCAAAGGCTGAAGAAAGAAGGGAATAAAGGTGGGCCACTTTAGCAGTGTATAATACAATGTACATCACAGGCTGAAGAAAGAAGGGAATATAGGTGGGCCAGTTTAGCAGTGTATAATGCACTGTACATCACAGGCTGAAGAAAGCAGGGCATATAGGTTGTCCACTATAGCAGTGTATAATACACGGTACATCAAAGGCTGAAGAAAGCAGGGCATATAGGTGGGCCAGTTTAGCAGTGTATAATGCACTGTGCATCACATGCTGAAGAAAGCAGGACATATAGATAGGCCACTATAGAAGTGTATAATACACTGTACATCACAGGCTGAAGAAAGCAGGGCATATAGGTGGGCCACTATAGAAGTGTATAATACACGGTGCATCACAGGCTGAAGAAAGCAGAGCATATAGATGGGCCACTATAGAAGTGTATAATACACGGTGCATCACATGCTGAAGAAAGCAGGACATATAGATGGGCCACTATAGAAGTGTATAATACACTGTACATCACAGGCTGAAGAAAGCAGGGCATATAGGTGGGCCACTATAGAAGTGTATAATACACGGTGCATCACAAGCTGAAGAAAGCAGGACATATAGATGGGCCACTATAGAAGTGTATAATACACGGTGCATGACAGGCTAAAGAAAGCAGGGCATATAGATGGGCCACTATAGAAGTGTATAATACACGGTGCATCAAAGGCTGAAGAAAGCAGGGCATATAGATGGGCCACTATAGAAGTGTATAATACACGGTGCATCACATGCTGAAGAAAGCAGGACATATAGATGGGCCACTATAGAAGTGTATAATACACTGTACATCACAGGCTGAAGAAAGCAGGGCATATAGGTGGGCCACTATAGAAGTGTATAATACACGGTGAATCACAGGCTGAAGAAAGCAGGGCGTATAGATGGGCCACTTAGAAGTGTATAATACACGGTGCATCACAGGCTGAAGAAAGCAGGGCATATAGATGGGCCACTATAGAAGTGTATAATACACGGTGCATCACATGCTGAAGAAAGCAGGACATATAGATGGGCCACTATAGAAGTGTATAATACACTGTACATCACAGGCTGAAGAAAGCAGGGCATATAGGTGGGCCACTATAGAAGTGTATAATACACGGTGAATCACAGGCTGAAGAAAGCAGGGCGTATAGATGGGCCACTATAGAAGTGTATAATACACGGTGCATCACAGGCTGAAGAAAGCAGGGCATATAGATGGGCCACTATAGAAGTGTATAATACACGGTGCATCACAGGCTGAAGAAAGCAGGGCATATAGATGGGCCACTATAGAAGTGTATAATACACGGTGCATCACAGGCTGAAGAAAACAGGGCATATAGATGGGCCACTTTAGAAGTGTATAATACACGGTGCATCAAAGGCTGAAGAAAGCAGGGCATATAGATGGGCCTCTATAGAAGTGTATAATACACTGTACATCAAAGGCTGAAGAAAGCAGGGCATATAGGTGGGCCACTATAGAAGTGTATAATACACGGTGCATCACAGGCTGAAGAAAACAGGGCATATAGATGGGCCACTTTAGAAGTGTATAATACACGGTGCATCAAAGGCTGAAGAAAGCAGGGCATATAGATGGGCCTCTATAGAAGTGTATAATACACTGTACATCAAAGGCTGAAGAAAGCAGGGCATATAGGTGGGCCACTATAGAAGTGTATAATACACGGTGCATCAAAGGCTGAAGAAAGCAGGGCATATAGATGGGCCACTATAGAAGTGTATAATACACGGTGCATCACAGGCTGAAGAAAGCAGGGCATATAGATGGGCCACTATAGCAGTGTATAATACACTGTGCATACACTGCTGGAACAGACTAGTACAAGCAGCCACGCTCACACGTACGCACGCACGCACGCACGCACGCACACACACACACACACACATACACACACACGTGCATGCACGTCGCTATATAAGTGCAATAATCTTGGACGGCCATTTCACCTCACCTCACAGTGTAGTTTTCACCCTGTCACCCAGCGTAGCCTTACAATTAAACATACGACGAATGACCTCTATCATCCATATAACGCTGTGCTAGGTGCGCGGACAGCCGTTCATGTTCATCATGCATGATGATATTTCGACGACCTTCGTGGATGCTGTCTAAAGATTCATAATGGTGTTCATTCTCCCTTTCTAACTGTAACCTGTGGTTGGTGGTGGAGCGAATATATGGCGGAATATATAAATACGTCCTCTCTTGGTCATCACCCTCATCTGATCCAAGCATCGATGTCATCGTCGCCGTTTCGTTACTTTCGTTTCCATGGTAAATGTCGGTACTGTCTTGGGGGAATTCTTCTCGTGGAACCATAAAAATGACTTGTACTTCTCGTTCTGTTTTTCGCTTTGGTGGTAAAACGCACCTGAAACACACACATGCACACATAGTTACTTACAAAGTTCTCAGAATACTTCCGAAATATATCTAAGTAAGTAAATATATTACGAGGGTGCTTTTAGCAACAACAATAAACACTGAAGACATGTCAAGGAATTTTATGGAAAAATAAATTTCCTCACAAATCTTTGAAGAAACATTTATGCTTCTAGCTGTTAAAAAAAAAATTATCTGCCACAAAAATCAAAATTTATGTTTTTCTGCAAAAAAAACCATTCAAGCTGATAGTATTAATTAAAAATATATCTGGTTTTGCAGTGAAAAAATATCCAATCTCCAGACAAAATCCTTGTCATTCGGCAATCGAACATATTTCGGCCAAATCCAACTATGTCAGTTTGTTGAAAAAATTTCAAGCCGCAGAGGTCTACAAGCACAGATATGATCCCGCTTGGCTAGGCCTACTGCCCTCGCAAAATTGTTTCGAAATTTATATCTCCAAAGACACTGATTTTAAGTATATTGGAATGTTATTTTGATAATGATAGCAATTATCTCTGTAGTTTATCCAGATTCCCGATGGTTAACTCTGACTCGATTGCCGAATGACAAGGGCGACGCCATGTTTGTTTATAAACACTGAAAGTAGTCCATACTTGACCTTTGATATTTGCATCTCTATCCGCATATGACCCCAACGGATATCGTTTTGATCCGTTGGCTTTATCCTGACGAGAAACCTACCCATTATATGATAAACATAACTATCTTGCGCACGAGATATGCAACCGATTTATTGAAAGCATGATACCAGGACACTAGAGTGTGCACTGCAAATACCACCGCATTCACTCTCGAGAATACAATTGGGACACATGGAAGATGTCAGATCTGATAAAATACGCCTTTATTTCCTTCTCGATATTAGGAACAAAACCGAACAGTAGGAAGCCTGTTTCATTTGTTTTTCTTCCATGAGGTATAAACCTTTACAGCACTACTTTATATATGAATAGCCAAAGTAATTAGGCAGTCACTGTGTTATAAATAATGAAAAACGAACCTGAAAACATGAATGTGGATTAACGGTAAAAAAGTAACTGCACTTCATATAAATTTGTGCAAATGTTATGTTATTGAAAATAATAACATAAACATTTGTCACCAATGTTTTATCATAACAACTAGTTCAGTATTAGTATTGCGCGCGCACGCTTCATTATAGCGTGTGCAAGGTAACATATTTCATGCGCACGATATAATGCACTTTCTCGATGATGTCAATTCATTTCGTGTGCACGGTATAGTATTTCGTATGCAATATATACGCCATCGTGCGCACACTTTAGTGTCTCGTATGCACAATATATTATTATTGTTTCTCCTATCCATGTCCCTTAAGCGCTTCCGGAGGTTTGAACACAATGTAAACATTCAATTTACGGTGTGTATCGTTGTACGTAAAACATACACGGAATAGAAAACGAAAACGTCACAAATACAACAACCTCTAATCAATAAAAATGAATCATTCCTAGGAGACAATATACAGGGGAAAACAAATCATCCTTTAATAGTATGAATAGTGTTATATCCACCTACCAGTTTAAAGTCCCAAACACAACAATAAACCCAACGACAACTATTGTTATGATCACTGACACGACCACTTTGCTGCTGACATCTGCAAAGAAGGTGACATACGAATAAATTACAGTGTAAAACTGTTCATATCCTCCTCGCACCTTCAGAAGCCTTCACACTCCTCAATTTACCGCCGTATACGTTGAGAACGCTGTGGTACCACTAGGTAGAGCGTCCGCCCGGAGAGCGGAAGGTCCGGGGTTCGATCCCCGCCCGCGTCATACCAAACGACGTTCAAAGATGGTACTTCTTGTTACCCTGTCTGGCGCTCGGCATAAAGGGACTAAAACAAGGACTGGTCGGCTCGGAGTCAGTATACTGTGTCTGAGTTGGGTATTCATGTTAAACTGCGGCATGGTATATCAGTGTGCTAGCACTATAAATCGGCATCAGTCCGGACTAGTACAAGCAGCCACACACACATGTGCATGCACGTCGCTATATAAGTGCAATAATCTTGGACGCGACGTTAAACCCCATTTCACCTCACCTCATCGTATACCTTGATACACCTTTACATACTGTGATACACCTTCAAACATATCCGACACGCAACCCATGCTTGCCGTAAAAGACGACTATGCTTGACGTAAGAGACGACTAACTGGATCGGGTGGTCAGGCTCGCTGACTTGGTTGAAGCATGTCATCGTATACCAATTGCGTGGATCGATGCTCATGATGTCAATCACTGGATTGTCGGGTCCAGACTCGGTTATTTACGGACCGCCGTCATAAAGCTGGAATATTGCTGGGTGCGGCGTTAAACAACAAACATTTAGTCAATCAAACATATCCATATATCCTACCTCACATGTAAAATATGTTACCTTCATTGGTAAATGACATTTTGGTACATTTCCATGTACCCCGCTAGAGTGCTGTATACCCGCCGGCATGGCAACCGATATTTTGCAATCTCTTGAATCTCTGCACTTCAAGCTCCTTACAAGCGGAACAGCGTCGTGTAATGTAACCACATAATAGCAATACAATGTCCACGTGGAGGAGAACACAAGCAGTCACGCCTTTTGCACACTGCAACAAATGTGCAGTCTTGTAATCGGGGATCAGGTGTATCCTGTGTACCAGTAATCTTACATGCACCCGTCGTTTCTAAAGCATTTGCCAGAGTCTTTCTTTTCTATTTTCGTTTTATATCTTAACTTTAAGAGGACCAGGCTACAAGATATGTTTGTGCACTTCACAATTTTGTGGCCTGTTGTCATCACTGATTTTCAGTGATCCATTATATAATTTTCACCTCTATTTTGTCTATTACCCCCAATGGAATTTGTTACGGGGGATAATCAGGACCGGTTATTCTCTGTGGCGTTGGCGTTATATATTTATGTTTGAATGGTAATAATTCACTATTGTCCTTATCTGCCTTTAAATTAGCAAATCAGTCGTGCATGAATCATACTTACGGGGACTGTCTCAGTTTACCGTTAAAATGAATAGATTACTGCTCCCAACTGTTCTAATTGTCAAAGGGTAATTCGTCGCGTAGGAGTGGTAATAGTTGGCTCAAAGTGTGGGATCCAGCACGTGCTAGCACTTAATAAATTTAGCATGAACGTTTCAACGGTTAGACCTGATGGAAGTTTACATTTGTCTTTTAGAAAACAAATCTATTGTCTTAAATCGTTGAAGATCATAGAATATTTAAACTTAATATTTATAAAAAATAACGTGAATGAAGTGTTCTCTTTTACTGTTTTACGAATGAATGAATATATATGTTACACTCGAGTATGTCAAACTGTTTTGGGTCATGGGATACAAATAAAATACTATGTTCTGATTGTATTGTGTAGTGACAGTCTATATGAAACATTTTTAATATGTAACACTATGCCATAAGAGTTATTCACGATTTATCCACACATTCAAACATATTTCTCTGCAATCTAAAGTTAATGCATTGATGCAGCTTCATATAGTTAATGAGTAATGTCTAGTGGTAACATACTGTAAGGTTTCTCGGAACACAGAAGCAAGTAAAGTGTTGTCATATTTTAACCTTTGTGTATACCTAAGTGTATACTTTGTATTTATTGGATTAATTGCCAAATATGATACTGAATAAAGGGTGCGTAATTGTTACCGGGGGGGCGTAATTGTTCCCAGGGAGTGAGGGCTGCGTAATTGTTCTCTGGGGATGGGGGGTTGCGTAATTGTTCCCTGGGATGGGGGGGTTGCGTAATTGTGCCCTGAAATATAATGATTACTAGCTACTAACAGCATATATGTTACACAATGGAACTCACAAATTATCCCCCTTCCACCACGCATCTGACACATTGCCTACACAGTACAATCTATGAATTACCTCCCTTTATGTATACTAGTATTAATTTTCTCTGATCTTTGCACACTTTATGATAAATTGAGTGGATACGACTACAAGGTGAATAACATTTATAACCCTTTTAAGATGATTTTCACATGATGCTTGACATTTTATCCAATTGTACTTAAATAGTATTGCGGTAGTGTTTTAACTCTCCATATATCACATGTTTCATATTCACCCGTAATAACAATATCTGCCATATATATAATAAAACACGTGGAATCTGTCATAATCGTAAATCTCGTAGATAACAAAAACGAGAAAACATAGATCACCTTTCGTTACCCAAACACCGCTTAATGTAACCAGTACATCTGAATAACCAGCCATCAGTGTTAAGTACTGACAGAAAACTTGACATCAGTGGATAGGTTTGTTTGTTTGTTTGTTGTTTAACGCCGCACTCAGCAATATTCCAGCTATATGACAGTGGTCTGTATATTATCGAGTCTGAACCAGACAATCCAGTGATTATTATTATTATGAGCATCGATCCACGCAATTGGGATCGATGACATGCATCAACCGAGTCAGCGAGCCTGACAATCCGATCCTGTTAGTCGCCTCCTACGACAAACATAGTCTCCTTTTACGACACGCTTGGTTTGCTGAAGACCTTTTCTACCCCGGATCTTCACGGGTATAGTGGATAGGTAAATACTCCTGACAATTTGAATAGCATGACCTTGTAACACAATGACTTTACATAGACCGTTTAGTTTGACCACAAAATTGTACCGTATTAAAGGTGGAGGATTTCTACTCGCTGGCTGCAGAAGATCAAAATACACTCTCAATGATTCTGACTGCATTGTGTCCCAAAATTCATTCAATGATTTTACAAAAAGAATCAGATAAAATTGTCATGTGTGAAATATATTTGTTTAATTGTCTGATTAGATAAATGGAATGCAGGATAGGTAGACTCTTTCATCGTAGCACATGTACCCAAACAGACTGTTTATTCATCTCTTGACACAATCAATGTAAACTACTGTCCTACTTATATATAATTATAATGTTGTCAGAACCAACCGAAATAAACAATTCATGAAACAAAATATGATGGTCTACATGCGTTCTACACGTATGTCCGTAATTATCTGTCATCGCGTTTATCAACTGCACACCACACAATGACATGATTGTTAACATGACCTGCTATGTTATGACTTGGCGAATCGTAACCCTCCTATTTTCGGTTTGTAATCAGGACGATCAATACCACTCAGTGATCACGCCTGGTCCAAGTACAGCTTTGTGAGGTAAGTGTTCACCGCTCACCAACTGAATTATGTTTGGACAAGCTTACTAATAAATATCTTTCCTTCAGAACAATCTTTTCAAGAGGAAGTATGACCAGTTCAAAAATAGGGTGTGTGGAATCACTTCATTATCCCTCTGGGTTACGTGTTACCTTTCTTCACGGGGACATAACCCTGGCTCACGCTACCGCCGTGGTGACGGGCGAAAACCAAGACTTTCTTGTTGAGAGTTCAGTGACCAAAGCACTGATCCAGAAGTCCAAAGACTTTGAACGTTTGAGAAATAAACTCAGTCAATGTCGTTTGTCTAATGACTTATGGACTGTGTATCCGGCGTTTCTTGGAATGCCATTTAAATATGTTCTGTTTGCATTTCTCGAACGCATGGACGGTGATGAATGGATGAAGGGAATGAAATATCTGTACAAAGACATCTTCAAAACTGTTGAAAACTTGGATATTGCAACGTTGGCTATACCGTTGTTAGGCGCAGGTAAGAAAACGTTACTAATTCTATGTAATCACGTGAGACCGTTTTAACAAAGAAAACGAATTATAAAAATAACTTCTTTAAGTGGCATTTAAAATATTAAAATAAGTTTGTTCAGGTAAATTATGTTTGTTGACTTCGCTTTGCATGTGTTTGCGACGGGTGCCACCGGTTGTATCATTACTGCTGGTGAATGATTTGATACTGACCGTTTGATATTCGGGGGGGGGGGGGTTCTATCGAAATCTGTTTTTTATAGCTACAGCTATAAAAAAAACCCATATATCTTTCTAAGCCATAATGTTATTTTTTACGAAACGCCCATTGCAAAAGTGATTTTTTTTTGTGCCAGGCAATTTCTTTTTTCTCAACAATACGACGCATATTTATCCCATAATAGTATACCCGTGAAGATCCGGCGTAGACTGGGTCTTCAGCAACCCATGCTTGCCATCAAAGGCTACTATACTTGCTGTAAAGAGGCGACTAACGGAATCGGGTGGTCAGTTTCGCTGATGCATGTCATCGTATCCCAATTGTGTGGTTGGTTCGATGCTCATGATATCAATCACTTGACTGTCTAGTCCAGATTCGATTATTTACAGACCACCGTCTTATAGCTGGAATATTGCTGAGGGCGGCGTTAAGCAAACAAACAAACACTTTATAGTACAGATAAATGTACGTGTTTGGACAGTTGTCTCCTTTTAATTCAAAGTAACTTCAAAGCACCTACATTTTTGTCAGGTTTGGTCAAAAGAGAAGACTCGGCGATAATTGCAGCCGCAAGATCCTCTGTTAAATACAAACCAACCAAGCGCAGGGAAATCATTTTCGTTGCATCAAGTTTTGATAGAGCAGACAAAATGGTTACACAGTGGAAGTATGAATTGCATGAAGAGTCAACCAAAGGCATTTTGTCCCGTTTCGTATCAGCTGTTAAGGATACATTCGAGGTTGCCCCTCCAGACAGAATTCATGAGAGGCCGCGAAGAAACAGTACAAGGCATGACCGAGATATAACGGTATCCCAGTCGAAAAAGCAAGGCCATTCCAAAGCTTCCTCTATGAACAAAAACGAGAGCCTTAGTTTAAGGGAACGTGAAAACATCGACAGGGCTATAGCAGAGTCATTAGAAGTCGAAACCAAGCGCCGTAATTCAACTAAACGGGATCACAGGCCGCGAAGATATGGCCAGTATGGTAACCAAGGTCATTCTGCGAGAAAGGCAAGTTACAGGGAGGGAACTTTCCGAAATTTCCAGGAAGACAATTCTGTCTGGGAGAACACTACTGATGAAGAAATGAGGGTCACTGAGATGCAAGCAAGCAGTGATGCTGACACTGTCCCTAGCAGCACCACGGAGGATGACAGTCCACGTGTCAGTGACTCCGAGAATATGTTAACTTGTGCATGCACTGAGGTTGTGCGATGACCACAATCGTATTAGTCTCCTAACCAGACAGGCTCAAGTAATGCCTCTGACTATATATTGAATTCTAGAAAGCCAACACTGCGCACATTTGACGACTTCCTTTTTCTGTTGTAACTGCTATTACCTACTCATGATTCATTTACAGTAGTGCGTTTGTAAAGGGCAAATGTGACATTTAATATTATTCTTTAACAATTGTGTGTGTGTTTTCACATTATGCCTAATACTCTCATACGTTCTTTTATGTCAGTATAGTGGATTGGTATTTCTTGCCTTCAACTCTATTTCTTGTTAATGTACTTGTTTATGTCATGGTTAAGACATGTTCTAGTCAATTCGGAATCATTGAAAATACTCTGACCTATTTACAATTCCTCTAAAAGAAGTAGGTATGATGAAAGGTTCCAGTTTTTATCAGCAAAAATCATCGTGTGGGCTTGACGATGGCGGAAGACCAATAGTTATGAAGGTCTTAGTCGTTTACCGGGGCGATCGGGTCTAGTGGTTAAAGCGTTCGCTCGTCACGCTGAAAACCCGGGTTCGATTCCCGATATGGGTACAATGTGTGATATTGCTGGAATATTGCTAAAAGCGTCGTTAAACCTTACTTACTCACTGGTCGTTTACCATTTCGATGATGCCCATGAATGACAAACCTAGAAATCCATTCAAGGCGAACCGGGATTCGAACCCACGAACAAGGGTTTCTGACACACCTAGGGGACGCAACTCCGTACAGCGATTTGCAAAGCCTTAGACAAATGGGACACCAATGTCCACTAATCCTTTAAGAGACATTTCTCGGATCATTTCGCAAATAAACACAAATATGTCCGTCTTAAGAAATAAATCACTACACTTCATGGAAAAGGAGTTGAATATCTTTATTTCGATCCCGACAACAACATATTGGGTGTGAGCTACAATATATCCATATACTTAACACTTCGTTATACATGTATACACATTTATCTTCAAATTATCTCGCTTCAATACTGTGAAATATACAGTAACTTTTACTTGCAGTACATGTACGTCGTTTAGTTGTCGGTGTTGTATGGGTTACAAAGTAATCTTCTTAGTTACATTACAATCTGAAGAAAGCAGGGCATATAGGCGGGCCACTTTAGCAGTGTATAATGCACTGTGCATCACAGGCTGAAGAAAACAGGGCATATAGGCGGGCCACTAGAGAAGTGTATAATGCACTGTGCATCACAGGCTGAAGAAAACAGGGCATATAGGTGGGCCACTTTAGCAGTGTATAATGCACTGTGCATCACAGGCTGAAGAAAGCAGGGCATATAGATGGGCCACTAGAGAAGTGTATAATGCACTGTGCATCACAGGCTGAAGAAAGCAGGGCATATAGGCGGGCCACTAGAGAAGTGTATAATGCACTGTGCATCACATGCTGAAGAAAGCAGGGCATATAGGCGGGCCACTAGAGAAGTGTATAATGCACTGTGCATCACAGGCTGAAGAAAACAGGGAATATAGGCGGGCCACTATAGAAGTGTATAATGCAGTGTGCATCACAGGCTGAAGAAAACAGGGTATAGGTGGGCCACTATTAAAGTGTATAATACACTGTGCATCACATGCTGAAGAAAGCAGGACATATACGTGGGCCACTATAGAAGTGTATAATGCACTGTGCATCACAGGCTGAAGAAAGAAGGGAATATAGGTGGGCCACTATAGCAGTGTATGATACGCTGTACATCACAGGCTGAAAAAAGCAGGGCATATAGGTGGGCCACTATCGCAGTGTATAATACACTGTGCATACACTGCTGGAACAGACTAGTACAAGCAGCCACGCACGCACGCACGCACGCACGCACGCACGCACGCACACACATACACACACACACACACACACACACACACACACACACACACACACATACACATACACACACACGTGCATGCACGTCGCTATATAAGTGCAATAATCTTGGACGGCCATTTCACCTCACCTCACAGTGTAGTTTTCACCCAGTCACCCAGCGTAGCCTTACAATTAAACATACGACGAATGACCTCTATCATCCATATAACGCTGTGCTAGGTGCGCGGACAGCCGTTCATGTTCATCATGCATGATGATATTTCGACGACCTTCGTGGATGCTGTCTAAAGATTCATAATGGTGTTCATTCTCCCTTTCTAACTGTAACCTGTGGTTGGTGGTGGAGCGAATATATGGCGGAATATATAAATACGTCCTCTCTTGGTCATCACCCTCATCTGATCCAAGCATCGATGTCATCGTCGCCGTTTCGTTACTTTGGTTTCCATTGTAAATGTCGGTACTGTCATGGGGGAATTCTTCTCGTGGAACCATAAAAATGACTTGTACTTCTCGTTCTGTTTTTCGCTTTGCTGGTAAAACGCACCTGAAAAACACACATGCACACATAGTTACCTACAAAGTTCTCAGAATACTTCCGAAATATATCTAAGTAAGTAAATATATTACGAGTGTGCTTTTAGCAACAACAATGAACACTGAAGACACGTCAGGGATTTTAATGGAAAAATAAATTTCCCCGCAAATTTTTGAAGAAACATTTATGCTTCTAGCTGTTAAAAAAATAAATTGTCTGCCACAAAAATCAAATTGTTGCAAGGTGTTTTTCTGAAAAAAACCCATTCAAGCTGATAGTATTAATTAATAAAATATCTGGTTTTGCATTGAAAAAGTATCCAATCTCAAGACAAAATATATACCAGCAATCTCTAAAAACATTTTACTGTATCACTGAACAGAGGTTCAGATTATGCCTTCATGAATGTATATGGTTTGTACTGAAACACCGAAGGGGTATTAATAGGAGAAACATAATTATATATCGTGCACACGTGATACTAAAGAGTGTGCACAATGTGGTGTAGTCTGCTCACGAAATGAAGAAACGCGATAAACACAATTATCATATAATGGGTACGATATCCGTTGGGGTCATATGCGGATAGAGATGCAAATATCAAAGGTCAAGTAGGGACTACTTTCATTGTTTATAAACAAACATGGCGCCGTCCTTGTCATTCGGCAATCGAACATATTTCGGCCAAATCCAACTATGTCAGTTTGTTGAAAATGTTTCAAGCCGCAGAGGTCTACAAGCACAGATATGATCCCGCTTGGCTAGGCCTAGTGCCCTCAAAAAAATGTTTCGAAATTTATATCTCCAAAGTTGCCAAAACTTATAACATTCCTTAGCTACGTCACAGTTAGACACTGATAATGATAGCAGTTATCTCTGTAGTTTATCCAGATTCCCGATGGTTAACTCTGACTCGATTGCCGAATGACAAGGGCGACGCCATGTTTGTTTATAAACACTGAAAGTAGTCCATACTTGACCTTTGATATTTGCATCTCTATCCGCATATGACCCCAACAGATATCGTTTTTATCCGTTGGCTTTATCCTGACGAGAAACCTACCCATTATATGATAAACATAACTAACTTGCGCACGAGATATGCAACCCATTTATTGAAAGCATGATACCAGGACACTTGAGTGTGCACTGCAAATACCACCGCATTCACTCTCGAGAATACAATTGGGACACATGGAAGATGTCAGATCTGATATAATACGCCTCTATTTCCTTCTCGGTATTAGGAACAAAACCGAAAAGTAGGAAGCCTGTTTCATATGTTTATCTTCCATGAGGTATAAACCTTTACAGCACTACTTTATATATGAATAGCTAAAGTAATTAGGCAGTCACAGTCAAATAATAAAAAGCGAACCTGAAAACATGTATGTGGATTAACGGTAAAAAAGTAACTGCACTTCACACAAATTTGTGCAAATGTTATGTTATTGAAAATAATAACATAAACATTTGTCTGACCAATGTTTTATCATAACAACTAGTTCAGTATTAGTATTGCGCGCTCACGCTTCATTATAGCGTGTGCACGGTAAAATATTTCATGTGCACGATATAATGCACTTTCTCAATGATGTCAATTCATTTCGTGCGCACGGTATAGTATTTCGTATGCAATATATACGCCATCGTGCGCACACTTTAGTATTTCGTATGCACAATATATTATTATTGTTTCTCCTATCCATGTCCCTTAAGCGCTTCCGGAGGTTTGAACACAATGTAAACATTCAATTTACGGTGTGTATCGTTGTACGTAAAACATACACGGAATAGAAAACGAAAACGTCACAAATACAACAACCTCTAATCAATAAAAATGAATCATTCCTAGGGAACAATATACAGGGGAAAACAAATCATCCTTTAATAGTATGAATAGTTTTATGTGTTATATCCACCTACCAGTTTAAAGTCCCAAACACAACAATAAACCCAACGACAACTATTGTTATGATCACTGACACGACCACTTTGCTGCTGACATCTGCAAAGAAGATGTCATACGAATAAATTACAGTGTAAAACTGTTCATATCCTCCTCGCACCTTCAGAAGCCTTCATACTCCTCAATTTACCGCCGTATACGTTGAGAACGCTGTGGTACCACTAGGTAGAGCGTCCGCCCGGAGAGCGGAAGGTCCGGGGTTCGATCCCCGCCCGCGTCATACCAAACGACGTTAAAAGATGGTACTTGTTGTTACCCTGTCTGGCGTTCGGCATAAAGGGGCTAAAACAAGGACTGGTCGGCTCGGAGTCAGTATACTGTGTCTGAGTGGGGTATTCATGTTAAACTGCGGCATGGTATATCAGTGTGCTAGCACTATAAATCGGCATCAGTCCGGACTAGTACAAGCGGCCACACACACACATGTGCATGCACGTCGCTAAATAAGTACAATAATCTTGGACGCGACGTTAAACCCCATTTCACCGCATCGTATACCTTGATACACCTTTACATACTGTGATACACCTTCAAACAAATCCGACACGCAACCCAAGCTTGCCGTAAAAGACGACTATGCTTGTCGTAAGAGGTGACTAACGGGATCGGGTGTTCAGGCTCGCTGACTTGGTTGAAGCATGTCATCCAAATTGCGTGGATCGATGTTCATGATGTCAATCACTGGATTGTCTGGTCCAGACTCGATTATATACAGACCGCCGTCATAAAGCTGGAATATTGCTGGGTGCGGCGTTAAACAACAAACAATCAATCAATCAAACATATCCATATATCCTACCTCACATGTAAAATAGGTTACCTTCATTGGTCAATGACATTGGTCAATGACATTTTGGTACATATCCATGTACCCCGCTAGCGTGCTGTATACCCGCCGCCATGGCAACCGACATTTGCAATCTCTTGAATCTCAGCACTTGAAGCTCCTTACAAGCGGAACAGCGTCGTGTAATGTAACACTGACATTAGGAGCGCGTGGTGCACAGATCCTGAACAGACACAAATTGTCGTCTGTCACCTTGCAACATTGCGACAAACAAACGCTTCGCATCTCAATATCCGTTTGTTTTCAAATTGTGCTAAATGTTTGTGATAAATGGGGGTTAGATGAATTCGTTGAAGACTTATCCCTCGGGGAGTACGTATTGATGTACAAAGAGAGGGGTACACGCGGTCACACAGAGAGTCACACTATTGCCCTCGTGATATGCTAAAAAATGATAATATAAATACAAAGACTTACATGTTACACCATGTCCAGTGCCTACATCTGCAGATGAGCCGTTATACGATGCGGTTTCAGCCACGCTTTCCGTAATCTCCCGTCTACACACAGAATGGCAGGACTGGAACTTCCCAGCTAATGTACAGTTTCTAAAGCATTTCCTCTGGCAAGTATGGCCATAATATCCGTCCTCACAGCCTAGGGTACACGCCCCGGTCGCCTGGTTGCATGGTCCAGGTCCTGCAGTCCTATTTTTACAATTATTGCCACAACGTTTATTGCACAAAGGGCCAAAGTATCCCTCGACACAAGAACTTTGACATTTGGCATAACGCAAGTGGCAGCCGTCATTACAATTGGGACATGCTTTTTGACAGGTCCTACCATAGAAGCCCTTGTGACATTCGGTGCATAACATGCCCTCCTGTTTACAAGATTTGCAACCATGATGACAATTTTGAGAACACTGTCGTCCTTTGAATCCATCTGCACAACCATCGCAAACCCAATGACCATCGTCCTGAAAACAGCGTTTCCTTTTGCATCGCTGTCGGGTGACCTCACTGCAGGAAGATCCTTTTGATATAGCATCTGTTGAAGTTTCTTCTTTTGGCAATACAACTCTATGTGGAGCTGATGTACAGTGTCCAGTCTTGCGCTCACAGACCCCTGATTGACAATGACAAGATTCGCCGCACTTCTTGCCATACCAACCAGGTTTGCACCCTTCAATGCATGACACATTAAACCTGTAGCAGCGTCCTCCAGAACAGTTAGGGGGGCATGTTTTGTTACATCGTATTCCGAAGTATCCTCCAGTGCAGTCAGTGCATAGACCTTGTGTAGAACAGCTGTCCTGACATACCGCTGAACACTTCTCACTGCAACCCGCTCCCCAGAAGCCTACTGGGCATTCGACTGAAATTGTGAAGTATTGAGTTTGTCACGTTTAAGTTATCATATTTTATAGGGCAGTGAGGTAGCCTGCTGGTTAAAGCGTTTGCTCTTCAAGCTGAAGGCTCGGGTTCGAATCCTTACATAGGTACACTGTGTTAAGCCCATTTTTGGTGTACCCAGAGACGATATTGATGGAATATTGCTAAAAGCGGCGTAAAACAATACTGCCTTACTCGCTCTTATGTTTTATCGTACACTGTAGCACTTGTGCACTATTAGAACTACACCTAATTTGCAACGAATTACCGAAATCACTCCTTAATCAGTCTCGTTAATCCGACACGTGATCAGAGTACTCCCGCTAGTACACAGACCCATGTTTTGATGCGAGACGAGTCCTCGAGTAGTTGTATATTTCAACGGCTGCAGAGATAAACTTGCTTAATAATAAACAATAACTGCTTTAAATAAACAAAATAGGATTAATCACATGTCTAGATTACCTCAATCTCATAAAATCGGATACAAGTTCTCCCTACCGCTCAGGGCATCCCATTACAGGTCACGTGAGAACCACCTTTCGCGAACTTTGACCGAGCAATGAAATTACTAACAGGAACTCAACATCAGCAACTAAGAAAGCAGCTTTCTTAAGCATTGCGGCACTTGATTTAAATTGGCGACTTCCATTCCAAACTATGCTTTAAAAGTATTTTGAATCTGTCATACATTGTGTTAAACTTTAGAGGTAGCATGATTAGAAAACATATTCCGCTAACAATGTAACATAACAAAATGAATATTGCCTTTTCCCTCTTTTTTTTATTACAACGTGTTTGAAATCGTTATCTTTCGTGTAGTTGTCCGATTTTCGATCACGAATGTTGATACTACCTAATTTCGTTAATCCGACATACTCGTTAATCCGACATAATCATATGCAACCAACAATGTCGGATGTCCAACAATGACTGTAATTTGTAAAGAGGCTGTTTTATGTTACAGTCAACAGTTTCCTAATTATCAAAGCGACATGTAAACAGTTGTATCTCGGACATGCAAACCAGTCGATGTTAACATAGGCGTGATGGGGTATGGTGTCACCCAAGACTTCAGGGGTCCGTTCCACAAAGCGATCTCAGCCCTAAGGTAATCGCAGCTCCCATACTTTAACATAGACCTACGATTGTCGTTGCGTTGCGATCGCATTGTGAGTGAGTGAGTATGGTTTTACGCCGCTTTTAGCAATATTCCAGCAATATCACGGCGGGGGACACCAGAAATGGGCTTCACACATTGTACCCATGTCGGGAATCGAACCCAGGTCTTCGGCGTGACGAGCGAACGCTTTAACCACTGGGCTACCCGACCGCCCCCTATCGCATTGTGGGACGGGGCCCAGGTGTTAATCGGTTCTCACGTCGAGCTTTGACTCCAACGAAAATGTTAGATAACAATAGATCAATCCCAACGAGTTTTAGTTAACTTACGTTGTGTCAGTGGTTGGTCTCACCTGATTCATCTGTGTAGCCTTGTCCGAGAAACATCACGATCACAAAGGACAAACACATGTACTGGTACATTGTGTGAAATTATCCTGAAAACAAGGTAAATTTACATACATAATAATGACAATATATACGGTGACAGTTAAACAGTATACAGGTGGATTGTCTGGTCCAGACTCGATTATTCACAGACCGTCATACAGCTGGATTATTGCTGAGTGCGGCGTTAAACAACGAACAAACAACTGGTGAGGTAGTATTGAATGGAACGCATGCCAAACAGATGAACATATACTAACGAAGAAAGGAAATGTAAAGGGCATGAGAAATTACTTCAAATAATTACAGCAGATTCACGCGATCGAAGATGGTTATTTTAACATTCAGCGGTTTGATCTTCAAAACCTTCAGAATACTGAACATTGAATATGTTATAAACAAGGCATAAAACCTTAATGATGCGTCGACAATGCTCTTCACCTGACAAAGAAAATTGTGTTTTTTGGGTGATTTCGATACCGGTTATTGCGGACGCGGACGCTTGAACAACATATTACAAACAACATCCTGTTTCGCAAGGGCATGTGATGAAGGCTGACGTCGTACCATAAAATAGTCTCATATTGCACAGATCATTTCAATTGTGTCGGTTTTGCTTTCATTAAGTTAAAGAACATGATTACAGATGTGGTTTTAATGTCCCCGTAAACTGTAAATAGAAAACGTGTTGGATTTATCACCAAAAAGCCATCGTTGAAGTATCAGCTTAATACATGGTAATATGATGACTTGTATTGACCGCACAGTCCTCTACGGTCGTTACAGCTACTGTTAACGAGGAATAACAAGGTGGTTCAATCGTAAAACGAAACATTTTTCGTGTAGCACATTATTCAAAGTATGACTGGTTACCTTAATTCTAGTTGTACAGGGAAGTCAAAATGTTACGTTTTAAACATATTTACTGCAAATATTATTGAGGTGATTGAATGACTTACCTGTCCATGACATTGTGACTAACATACTGTTATTCTGTGATACAAACATGGATATAATATGGGCTATACCCATATCCAGTTATAGCCATGTCATGACTCATAGTAATACTACTTGTATGTTAAGGGAAAGTACCACAGCTGAACTGCCCCATAGACCGTGTATTTGATTAAACCACAAAGCTAACAGGCTCAGTTTCAGTTCGTCACAGACTCCCAGATCAGCTAATACTTCCTTGTGTCAGTACGGTGCACTAGGGGTTATATAGTTATATGCCCCACTTTGCCCGCTCACACTGCAGCTACCCGGAGGTCGGCTTGAGATGCTACGCTAGACGTAGTGTTCAACGTATAAACATTCATTTGATGTTATTCCGTTCTTATATCCATGGAAGGAGCATGGTTGGCCCAGTCGTCTAAGGTGCCGCCATTCGCTCTGCAGAGTTGCGTCCCTTGCGCACGCCAGAAACCTATGAGTTTGAGTTCAAATCCCGCAGGTCCCGATTATGTTTCTAGGTTTGTCAGCACCATACCCGTGCTCGTGCGTTTCATCAAAGTGGTAAACGTCTGAGACATGCGTCACTTCGGGCTTTCCTGCCACATTAAGCTGACACGCCGTGATTTAACTATAATAAGGTTCAAAGCGGCGTTAAACCACACTCACTCACTTATATCATTGTGCAATTTCAAAGGGGCCCATCTGACGTTAGATGATAATCATATTACCGCTATTGTAAACAAACAATTACTTTTACTTCATTTTCTTTGCAGGTAAACCTTACCTGTTAAAAACACTTGTTTTATTGAGAAATCTATTTAGAATTGTAACAAATGACCAATACACCGATCTCTCTATCCAATTATCCTTCCCCATCTTCGCTATTAATACAACAGAAAACAGAATATGACATGATATTACTTTTATCTAGACTATCATAACATAATTGCAACACATAATACACAATACATAACAAAGTTCATATAAACGTTATGGTAACGACGACTGCTTGTATTTCATGCATAACGGGAAATAAGCAACATTTAGTAGTTAGGCTATTCGTTTTTGTTCAGTTGATTCACTTGTAATTGTTATGTTGTAAACAAATAGTTTCAATGACTAATATTCAATGCCATGCTTAATGTGAAAAGCTCATACGTAATCTATCACCTGTATGTGGCAGTGGGGGACCCGGTAGTGGTGGGGGGGGGGGGAGTTCTCGGTCTCGGGGTTGCCACCTCCCCTTTTTCATTTTTCATAAGTGAAAAAAATCTCCCCCACCAAAACATATGTTACCTACCATGATAACATGTTGACGTGGTTGTTAATTGAATATTGGATTACATAATAAAATAAAAATTAACGTGTTTTTGATTTTTGGCATAGGCCTTTGAGTGGACTCCTCTACCAAGCTAATCACGTATACCATACCTTGGCAATTATGCGTAGCACACGTAATGAGTGTGAATGAAATGAGTGTTCGGCATGACGAGCGAACGCTTTAACCACTAGGCCCTGAGATGCTCCTTATACAGGACACCAGTTGATAAAGACGCAGAACATTGTCTTTTGTAACTGGCAGTAATAATTGATTCAAATTAAACGTGTAGTACATTTAAGGACCTCACAGGGAGGAACGATAACCGATAGCCGTTATTGGACTTTCGTTATGTCTACAACCATCTCATTCATTGCAGGAAGATGCGTACCTTCTGTAACCACAAGATGAGCATTGTTTCCATTACTGGCTACCTCAGTCAAAAATACATGCCTGTATACAAGAGCTCGTTATCTTTCAAGTGTATTCGCAGCGTTATTCGCTGACGGCCGACAGTGATCTGGACCACAGCGGATCACTCGTGAGGTTCACCTTCTTCCTGAGGGTGAACATCGGAGCCGGGATCTGCTTAAACACTCCATCGCCCATGTAAGCATTGCCCTTGGCTATTTCATCGTTCACCATAAGCAAGCAGCCGAGAAGATCCTGTGTGTCTCCATGCTTCTCCAACACTTCAGCCAGCTTGATAATGTACCAAGAGCCATGATGCCTGCTCCGGTAGGACACGTACCCTGGCGCTGTAGCGTACCCGAGAAGGAAATCAGATTCATCAGGGATGATGTTTAATGCTGTTGGTGTTCTCTCAGAAGGATGTGTCGGTTTGTCGGATCTGTTCTGCGGTGGGTCGTCGTTAGCCATGGATACATCGTCCTCAACGTTCAACCCTTGCATTCGGATATGGCCTTGAGCTCCTTGGATGAAGAACATTTTAGGTTTGCCTGCCAGGGAAGGGCACGCCGACGCTCTGAAAGGCGCGGTAAGGTCACTAACCTTCACCACTTCACAGTTTGTCCCATACACCTTATCCTTCACACAGTGAGATAGGATACAACAGACGAAAGCGTCGAAGGGCTTATGGTCGATTGTAGAGGCTATGTGTTGCATTTCCTCTACCATTCGTGTGTCAGTCAGGTTGGTGAATGACCGTATGGTAAACTCCAATTTGCTAAAGATGTATTCTAATCTCTTGGCGTCGATGTCGGTCCCTTCCCTCTTCGCAAGACGAGGCTCTCCGCTGTTACTGAGACGCGCAGCATCCCTGCTGTCTTCGAAGTCGCGGTTGTTGATGATAACGCAGATACCACGGGGACGGGCATTCATGGGATACGCTGAAAACGCAAATGAGGCATTTACATACCCATTGATGAATTGATAACGGTTGATATGTTTTACCTTGACGCAATGACACTTATATTTGGACATATACCAGTATCATAATCAATAACGTTTGCATGTACATGTCCGAAAAATAGCATAGACGGTAATATTTGGTATGTATGTGATCAATCTGAAGATGAAGCTCATGGTGATCCGTTCACCACGTTAACAGTTGCATCAGATTACGAAAACAATATCATCATGGAGGTGTTGGGGTGAAATTGGGGTTAACGTCGCGTCCAAGATTATTGCACTTATACAGCCACGTGCATGCACGTGTGTGTGTGTGTGTGTGTGTGGCTGCTTGTACTAGTCCGGACTGATGCCGATTTTATAATGCCAGCCCACTGAGATACCATGCCACAGTTTAACATGAATACCCCACTCAGACACAGTATACTGACTCAGAGCCTACTTGTTTTAGGCCCTTATGAGTGAATGAGTGAGTGAGTGTGTGAGTATGGTTTTATGCCGTTTTAGCAATATTCCAGCAATATCACGGCGAGGGAAACCAGAAATGGGCTTCACACATTGTACCCATGTGGAGAATCGAACCCGGGCCTTTGGCGTGACGAGCTACCCCACAATAAGTACCATCTTTTAACGTCTTTTGGTATGACGCGGCTTGGGATCGAATCCTGGACCTGCCGCTTTCCGGGCGGACGCTCGACTACTAGACAACGGAGGCAGTCTCATACAGAAAGGTGTAAATATAGTCACGTTATACATTTAACACAAAAGAGAATAAACATACATAGCATCTTTCAAGTAGAAAAGTTTGATAAAGTAAAATGTGTTTCAGAAGATTTTGTTATTACATAACCATTCCGAACCCACGACCAGCTGATCAGGGAGGCTTTAGGACACATGCATTACACATACTGTAGATACTCTGGGTTATAATTGGTCGCCAGCAATCACTGCTTGTCGCGCGAGGCGGCTAAATGGATTGGGTGGTCAGGTTCGATGACTTGTTTGAATGCGTGTCCTTCACCTTAACAGCGTGGAAATTTGCTTATTGCTTATAATATTATCTGTCATCATATAATTATGTTATTCATGATACCTGTCAGTATTTACATAACGTTTATAAACACAGAGCTGTACTCTTAAAGGATGAGTGATATTTATAGTACACTCAAACATACTATTTATAATGTTAAACAACTGTTGGTAATATTTGAAACATGTACCACACGTTCTTGCAAAAGTATTAGGTCATCAGATAATTATGTTATTCATTTATACTTGTCAGTATTTACATAAAGTTTATAAACACAGAACTGCACTTTTAAAGGATGTGTGATATTTAAAGTTCATTCAAACACACTATTTATAATGTTAAACAACATGCACCACACTTTCTTGCAAAAGTATTAGGTAATCAGATAATTATGTTATTCATGATACTTGTCAGTATTTACAGAAAGTTTATCAACACGGAACTGCACTCTTAAATTATGAGTGATATTTATAGTTCATTGAAACACAATGTCTCAATGTTAAACAACTATTGTCAACATTTGAAACATGTACCACACTTTCTTGCATATGATTGTACATCTGCCTTTATATTAGCGTAAGCGCAGTACATGTTAATAAAATCAAGCATGTATTATGGGCCTTTGGCCTTTATACTGTAATAAAGAATCTGAATCAATCATTGTTTTGTCTGGTCCACACTCGATTATTTTCAGACAGCTGTAAGTGAGGAGGGGTTAAACAACCAATAAACAAACAAATAAGCTATTGCATACACATAATACCTATCGACATGTAATATGTGTTTGATTTAAGGCCGGTGGAATTAATAATATTTATGTATTCATTACCAGACTCGGTGTCTTGGACTTGCAGAGACAGGAATGACTGGACGTCATCTAGCACAGCTACATCGTACTGCCCAGTGGTCGTTGGTGCCGTCACATCAGACTGTTGACCAGGCAAGGCCATGAAGCCGGAGGTGTCGGGGACGCCACAGAAGCATTCCAGTTTGGTTATGTTCCTCCGCTTGAACTCGTGGTACAGATCTGGGAATTTCGTCTTCATGGCCTTGATAATGTGGACATGGGCCACGTCGTCGTGTTTCAATAGTTCCGACCATTTCTGGCTGTTGGTGATGGCAGCACTTTTCAGATCGGCATGGAAAGCAATGTCTATAGCCCCTGCGCTGAACAGGGGTGTCGCCAGTCTCTTCACCTTCAACAGATAAACGTACTATAATAAAACGTAGTACTAAAATGACATTTGAACAAGTATGAAGCAAATGAAACTGTTTGTTTCTTGTTTAATTAATGTTCATGTAATCCCTGCGCTGAACAAACTAAATTGTTTCTAATTTTACGAATGTTCATTCCCTAGTACCTCTGACCTAAGGCGACAAAATGGGAATCGGCTGGCAATATCCTTTTGTCAGCGGGTGAGTGTTGATTGTTCGCGTCCCTGTTTCAAGAAACGACTCTCGTAGGTCTGTGTTAAATATGTCGAATATGATCGGTGGTCAGGTGAACTTATCGCCCAATAGTTCCAGCCACACAGTCCTGTTATAGCTTCCACTAGCTGACCATGGTGTACCACACAATGTACTCAGTCATTCACTCCATGACAGTAGTGGTCCCTCTCTGATTAAAAGATTGCCTTGAGTTGTTCTTCCCATGAGACAAATATATGCCTCCATGCGAAGTTTCTTTATTCATCATGCGGAGAAAGCTATATTAGATAAAAAATACATCTGCCTTAAGACTTACAATTACATGATCATGCCGTTTAGATAAACTCCCTTCAATCAACGGATCAACTGAGATCGTTTATTACTCTGAAACTACTGTGAAACTTTGTGTACCTGGACGATTCTCAACGCCTTACATGTACCACACTGAGCGTCCTCAGTAGACTCATCTAGAACATCCAGTTCTGTGGAGATTATATCAGCCAGGTGGGCGTGATCTTTCCTTAGGCTGGGGAGGAGGGAGCGATGGAATTCTTCAAATGTCACTCTCCCATGGATATATCTAAAACAAATCAATCGGAATTCAAAAATGAATACAGAATAATCTACGTAACAGAACATAGAAGATCAACCAAAGAGGATAATCATTTTCTATTATCCTCCAACACAGATTCCATTGGGCGTGAAAGGCAAATTCGCGGGATAATTACATGAATGGATCGCTGAAAATCAGTGATGACACAAGGTGTTCGTGAAAAAGGGAGAGCAAGTTTTGCCCTAGCGTTAATACATGTGTCGGTATCCTGCATAACATTAGACCCGTGAAGATTCCGGGGTAGAAAAAATAGGTCTTCAGCAACCCATGCTTGCCGTAAAAGGTGACTATGCTTGTCGTAAAAGGCGACTAACGGGATCGGGTGGTTAGGCTCGCTGACTTGGTTGATGCATGTCATCGATCCCAATAGCGTGGATCGATGCTCATGATATTAATCACTGGATTGACTCGATTATTTACAGAACTCCGTCGTATAGCTGGAATATTGCTGAGTGCGGCGTTAAACAACAAACAAACCAACCAACCAAGCATAACATTAGTTAGTTTTGCGGTACTTAAAAGATTGCATTGTCAAGCTTCCACTGTATTTTCCCAACTACATGCTGCATTCAACTGCTACGCTCCTCTGTTGTCCCACCGGGACTACGAGAGCGTGTGGGACTGCAGGGTAGTAATGGTTGTCACAAACCACATGTATTCTTCTATACACGTGCGCATGTCATTCCGGATGCCTTGTGAACAGATGTCGCGAAGTCTGGTCTACACATCAGTCAGATGGGGCAGTGTAGACGAAGGGTGGGCATTTTAGCTTTCCAGCGACCATCAATGGGTAAAAAGTGGAACGTGTGTCTGAAGGAGGGTCTACTGTTATCCTGAAGGAAGCTATTGAGATATTGTTGACTCCTATATGTATGTTATAACAGTAATGTCGTTAGGAAAAATGATTCATCCAAACCTGAAAAATTCTTCATTCTGAGACCGTTTGGTTCCTTTCAGGATAATACTGTCCTTGTCAGCAACAGACATGACGTCATCTTCCAAAAGTCGGTCAAGGACATAAGAGGACTCAAGTTCAAGGTTGCTGATAATTTCGGGGTAGCAGTTTTTCAGAGCATCTCTGTGCACGTTAATTCTCTTGTCGTCTTTTTCTGGAAGTGGATCATAGAACATCAACACCAGACAATAACCACGATGACCCGGCGATTCCATTGGGCATAACAGGCTAAAAAGCGGTAGAGTGTATAAAATTCTATCGAGGTAGTTTCCACGTATTCAGCAAAGATGAATATTATTATGTGGAGGTGGGGCGAGATGGGATTTAACGTCGCGTTCAAGATCATTGCACTTATGTAGCGACGTGCTTGTTTAAGTCCGGACCATTGTCGATTTTCTACAGCTAGCCCACTGACATACCAAGTCGCAGAAAAACGTAGCTCCTAACTGTAATAAAGACGTTGTTCATCCATAAATATTATCTTTGTCATTGCAAGGATAGGCTGTTCTCATCCAATACGTACCTATCATATATGGTTCCCTTTCACGGAATTCTTGCATGAGGTAATTCTCCATGTAGGAAATAGCCCTTTGAACTTTCTTGGGATTACATTGGCCCAGTTGTAGCAACTTGGCACATTTCTTAGTATACACCTGAAACCTTTCCTCAACATTCTGGATACATTTGATCATTTCTTCTTTCATAATGTCCTTGACCTGTGGAAGGTCATCAACACTTGACCCACTATCGTCATCTTCAGTTTCAAGGCTGCATGACCTTTGTAAGAGGTCGTTGACTATGGAATTTGGTACACCGCTTCGATATGATTCCGCCATTGATGCCATTGATAATCATGTATTCCTATCGTTTCAATTGTCCATTCCTGAAAATTTTATAAGATGGTATTGTCTGAGACGTGATAAGAACAGTATAACACTATACATGTAGTACATTAATTATATCAGGAATGACGAGAAATGTAAGCATATATAGCAAAACATTGCTCTAAATATACACCGGCACTTAATACAGGAAAACCGGTAATATAAATGATTGTCATAATATATAAGAAATGAAGTGAGGTGTAATGGGTTTTAACGTCGCGTTCCGCGTTCAATGGTCGAACACCTATATATAGCGACAAGCGCGTGCGTGCGTGCCTGCGTGCGTTTGTCTGTGTCTGTGTGCTCGTACTAGTCAGGAATATAGTCGGATATATTGTGCTTCCCCACTGAGATATAATGCTGCAGTGTAACGGACAGACAGACAGGTTTATTCACTACGACAGTATTATGGCCATATGGCCTAAAGTACAATTGATACTAACTCATAATATGATGTCACGTGCATATACAGAAAATAGTATTCTTCTTGAATCTGATAGAAAAAACATGTTTTATATAAGTAGCCACTGAAAAGATAACATGTTTATTTTGTGAGTTGATAATATTGATCATTAACATTTCAGATTTATAGTCATTATTCAAGAAGGGGAGCTATGTAGATCTTAACTTGGAATACTTGTTACACTTAAATAAGACATGGAATTCATCTTTAACAGTAGTAACATGGATACCCAACTCAGACACAATATACTGACTCCAAGCCTGTTAGACCTTTTCATCCCCTTCGTGAGTAGTGCCAGACAGGATATAGCAACAAGTATCGTAATCTTTTAACGTATTTGGTTTGACGCGGCCGGAGATCGACCACGCCGACTTTCGACTCTCTGGGCAGACACTGAATACGGTCTTAAATGAGAATGAGAAATTCCATGACGTTTAAGAAAAAACAACTACAACTTACGCTTCTGTTCCACTTGCGTTTTTCTTTAAATATTACTGCTAAAACTAATCCTTAGTTTAATATGAAGGTGTGAGGTTAGATTTGTCGATTACGCATGTATAAGAATCATATATAGAAGCACGCATGACGGAATCTTTATTTTTATCAGGTATGTGTTGATATGTCGACACTGCGTCACTAATATCCGGAACTAATACTGCGATTGCTGACTTAGGGTTTTTTACGTCCACGAACAAGATAATACGTTGATGACGTGTCCACGACAGCACGTAAAACGTAATTATATAGAGAACATAGTTTAAAATAAAATAGTTTGAATTGGACGAATCGGTGAAGTAATCGGACTGACGGGTGTGTCCACTGCCATTTGTACGGAGCCTATGGTGTTAAGCCGTTTAACAGGCCAGGTGTTCACTCAATAACAGTGAATACTATGAACATCATCTTCCTTTTATATAGGCTCAGTATCACCTGATAACACGCATGTGTGGTGACACCGACAATAGATGGTACAGACACTGAACAGTGAGTCAGTGAGTATCCGTGCAGAACCCAGGATGGGCTTGCTCGTGTCAGGCAACTCGCTGTAGAGACTGCTACTGATATATGATATACACCTAGCTGGAGTAATATCACCAGGAAACATACTGCTTCGATCCTACCTTTTCACTGCCGTTTTTTGTTACCCTGAAAAGTTTGAAGGGAAGCTTTGTCGTTTCACTCGGTTCTATTTATAGAATAACGATTAAACAACGCCCAACTGGCACGATGTTGCAAATGCGAGGACGCGCGGATATATGCGGTTAGACTTGAACCAAGTCTTATCTAAAGGCACAATTTTTGTTGTTTTCGTTTGGACCCGGGTTCAACTTGAATAGAACATTTTTTATCAATCGGAATGTCGGAAGTTGATTCACAGAACTCAATTTATATTTGTCAGTATGTGCAGGCACAAATTTATACGATTTGAAAAACCTGACCAACGTACGTAGTACAGTGGGCTGATATTTCCTGAAAAGTGCCGCACCGTAAAATACAGGTACCCTTCTAATGTGTATGTCATAATTAGGTAAACTATGTTTTAGATGTAGGCCATTGTAGAAAAAAACAGCTAAGGGCTATTTGGGTGAGTGATTGAGTTGGGTTATCATAGCTTTGAACAGTATTCCATTTATACACCCCGGCCTGTCAGCTTAAAGTGTGTGCGTGGTGGTGGTGGTGGTGGGGGTTGGGGGTGATGGGTGGTGGGGTGTAGGGTGTGGGGTGTGGGGTGGGTGGGTGTTGGAAAGAACGAGTTTATGCAGGCCTCGGGCGTTTACAACTTTGGTGAAGCCAACGAGCACGGGTATCGTGCTGACAAACAGGGATTCGAACTCAGGATCATATAGGTTTCTGGCATGCCCAAGGGACGCAACTCTGCACAGCTAACTGCGGAAGGGTTATTGGGTCAGAACAAACAATTTTGATGACGTCACAGGGGGTACCTCAACATGATATCGTTTGGTTGGATGATGTATATTCTTCTATAGTTCACATTCGAAGTACCTATTTCCGGGATCCAGCTGAGTGTTCAACTGAGGTTAATAGATGCTGCGGGTTGTAGGGTAGGTATACTTGCAGTGAAGATTCGTGGCCCGAAATATTGAAATACCTAAAGAGTGTTTCGTTGTGCACAATACGAATGTATTCTGTGACTTTGGTATCACGGGACTTGAGATAGTGATTGAGCTGGATAAAAATTCGTTTTATATCACAAGCTTAAAAAGTCTGTCAGATATATAGCGAGCTCAGAAATGTCAAAAATGTTCGGTGCAAACAGATCCTTCTGAGAAATGCAAAAACAACAGCAGCATCTGGAGGTATAATGCCATGTTTGAACAATATGTCGTTAGGACATGTGGATTTTGTCGCTGAATTGATGGGAACAGTGTTTGATGTTATTTTAGGATTATTTCATAAAGCAGATCGTTTAATTCCAAATGAATTCGGGACCGATTTCATTATTACTCGGTAGAAACGTTGTTGTTGTTTTTTAAAAATTGGCATGTAGAATTTCTTGTGTTTAAACTTTAGTTTTAGTCTACATTAATTTTTCAAGAAATCGTCATCCATCGGTGGGTATCAACTTCCGTAGATACAGATCTCCTGGTTGCAAATGCCCCGCATCGAAAGATTTTCAGCGATGGAATGTGGATTTTAAATGAAGGGAACGTAAGTTGTTCTTATCTGTCTTTCTGGATTAAAAGTAATTTGTCTGCGATAATCCGTTGAGGTCATGTATGAATGTGAGTTTCAATTATAAAACGCGAGGTGACTTGACTAAAGGTAACGACACTAGTCTGGCTTTGTCTCTCTGTACTTGTCTTGTGATATAGGACACGTGAAGATCCGGGTTAGAATAGGTATTCAGCCACTCATGCTTGCCGTACAAAGCAACTGTGCTTGTCGTAAGAGGCGACTTACGGGATCGGGTGGTTTCCACATATATCACAAAACCTCTTGTCATGTCCTCATCGCCGAAATGTTGAGCTTCATGATTTAACAGCAGACACTCTCGCAGAATGGAAAAGTACTTAATTCATCATCTTGATTATGAGATTCCCCATACCGATGATTGGTTCTACGTCTATGCTTTCTGTAAAAAAAAGTTAACTACGGCCTTGTTCTCTCTTGTCCTTAAGCATGGTAATTTCACTCATATATTTAATGTGGCCAAATAACAGTTTCAAAACATGTGTTTAAGTTACAGTACCCCTGTTAAGAGATAATACAATAGCATATACTCTGAAACGTGTGGACCCAATCCCACATCTCATTGCAACTGACTGGCTGTCTTGATGGGTCACGTGCTGTAACCCTAGCTAGTGGTTAGAAGAGCAAATAGATTTGAAATGGACGGGTTAATACCCAAGGCATTCCTAAAACTTGTGTCAACATAGTCTGCTGCTTGGAGATCTGTTAAGGATGTACTAAAAGAGAAGTTTTATCATTTTGTAAAAGTTTCGGTTAATATTTAACAGGAAACATTCGTTTTATAACTAATACCAAAAACACGCGGAACAAACAGAGAGAAATAGTTTCAAGAAAGTATTAAAAATTCATATTTTATAAAGTTGTTTTATGTCATGTTTTGTCACCAATCTTTGCGAGAAGAGTTCGCATAAGTATGTCTCTAGGAAGCTTCTCTAACTCTTGTATTGAGACATTATATTGACTGATGCTTAGTCAGTGTTCATGCTTGTGCGACGGAATGTCACTCTGAATAGTTTATCTGAAATTGCAAACATTTTCTCTTGGTGAATTGATGACCATCCAAACACACTCAAGTCTGACTTTTCTCGTTGGTTGGAAATGGTTTTGTCATGATGTTAACCCTTTTCACCCAACGGTATTTTAATGCGTTTAAATAACACGTATTGAACGTTTCATGGGTTAAGGGGTAACATATAAAAAAACATATGGACCGACATTCGATCGGTTTTTGAAGTACATGAAGCAAAATACGTTGAGAAATAAACCCAGTTTGGCCCAGGCTGGCGCGGTCGCCCAGCGTCAAATGACAAACCCACAGTGATGGTAGCGCAACCTATCGGGGGAAACCCCGAAACGCTATAAATAGCACTTCCGGCTCTCCGCAAGATGGAAGCCACGAAGCATTTTCCACTGCACGGTGTTTGATTTTCTGGACAGACTTTGTAAGATTTCAAAGGTTTTAGTTTCAGTCAACATTGACGATTTCCAAAATAACCAATGCTGTTGTGTCATCCAAAGTTTGAGTGAATGTTGATGATTTGTCTCGTTTACTGCAGGAGAATGTTCTCACATATCCTCTAATTAAACCATCCGATCGAACAACGGTGCATATTTCATTGTTTGTGAATATACATTAGGCCTACCTAAGAACAGAGATAATATGAATAAGAGGGGCTCTAGTTTAGTTTTAGTTTTTTGCCGATGCACGCTTAGTATGTCAAATCGAAGGGCACCTTGTCAATCAAGTGTGACGCCGCTCGGCAAGAGCAAAAATATATAAATTTAAATAAAAAATTCAAAAATTAAATGTTTTACTGCCACTATACTGCATTTTTCATCTATTGTTTATCCTATAACAAATACCAGCTACCTGGGATGTTCATCACATCTGCAGGATGTGCTATCCTTTCACTGTAGCTGAAGTCTTTACTTGAGTAAGCAGGAGAGTATGAAATTGTAACATTAAATGCTAATTTTGACACAAAAGTTACAAGATACGATGTTTTACTGCTTCAGTATTTGTAATTTTTTGCGAAATTCTAAAATGTGACAGACAGATGTGTAGACAAGTTATAAAATTGATCTGGACTAGAGACGTAACACTCATCACGTGATCTGTTTCACATAGGTGTCATGTCTCATTGATGATGAGATAGCACATGTCACAACTATGTTCCAGAAGTCCCCGGTTCTTTATAAAAAATCAATTGAATTAGATAATAATGAGCGATCATTCCACAGATTATCGGCTTATCCTTTGAACAAAGTATGCTCCTTTTACATGGGCACTTCAAGCCCAGATATGGGTGTATTCTGTCTGCTTTAGTAAACCTACATGTATAAACACTTTATTTTTGACAAATATTCTGTGCAAGATCACAGTGATTAATCAATCAATGTGTTATTGGGTAATCCTTTTTTGATTGATGATTTTTAGCAACTAAACTGCCCATTCCCTTCTTGCTGCGCTGCCATGTGCATATCATATAACATGTAACACGTTCAACACATCAGACCTGGAATTGTAACCCAATCTTAAATTGAATAATTACCCCAGACATGAGAAATGCCAAATGCAAACCACTGATTGCTATATCCTTGACACTCTCAGAGGCAGGGGTGAATGTTATCAAGTTAATTTACTGTCTTTGTCCAGTAACTATACCTGTATTAAAGTCATTACCTGAGCACCAAGTGAATGACAACAAATACACAACTTATCTTTGTTGTTGTACACATATTTGCTGTAATAAGAGTTTACTTAACTACATATTTGAATATACACAATTACACACGCCTACAGATTTTTCAAGGTTACAGTAATCATCATCCCATCAAATGTGAGGATTCAAGTGGATTCTCCCTCACTGACAACAAGGTGGTCTCAAACTCAGTTGGTTGGGATGCTGACGCTAACTGGCAGCTGGTGATTGTGCGGGCTAATCGAAACAGCTCGGGCTAGGCGTCTGAGAGTTGGAGTGTTGTTTCCCTTCAAATCATGAAAATAGATTACCATGGTAACTTAACCATCTTCTCATTTGCACAGTTGTACTGGGAGGGCCCACTGGAGGAATCAGTGAGACTGAAGATGTAGACACTCCCACCAACTTCCCCAACATGTTGCCAGAACCAACAACACCCAAGCAGCCATTCCAGCTTATCCTCTTCTTCTGCTTCCTGTTTGTTGCTACAAGCTTTGTGAACAAGGTGAGTTGGGTTTTTCAGCCTGTTCTAGATGAATGCTGATAGCGGGACATTGGCCAAAAGTTTGTTTGTTGTTTAACGCAGCACTCCACAATATTTCAGCTATTTGATTTTGATCGATTTGTGAGGTATGGTTATCATGGTTATCAATATGACTATCCAGGGTGATAACGAGCACTAATAGACATTGTACTACAGAATATCTTATGTATGCAGGGTTTTATCCTGACCTACAAAACTAGGGTCCTGAGGACCCCCAATTCCTAGTTTCAAGGGTCCTTACAGGAAATAAGAGGGTCCTGTAAAAAAATGAAGTGGTGTTATGTACTGTACTGTAAGATCTAATAATTACTTTAATTTCAGGAATTATATATTTCTTGTCAAGATTTGGTTACAATGAACATTATTATGCTTCCCTCGGAATGCAAATATATTATTTTCTATGTCCATTCTATACATTTGTTCCTAATGGATGCACATTTCTGCATCTTGTAAAACCCTGGGTATGTATACATGAGATGATTAATATTATGAGTGGTCCAGGCAGTGTGGGTACAATAACACACAATCAACCAAGGGATGCGGTAAAACAATTACCAATCAGACATTTTTGTTCCCTTGTCTTGAGGCCTACAGTGGGTACCCGAGTAGGGTCGGGTAATAGGGGGTCGGCTCCCGGGTAGTAAATTGGGACTCGTCCCAGCCCTAATCGATGCTCGTGATGTCAATCACTGGATTGTCTGGTCCAGACTCGAGTATTAACAGACCGCCGTCATGTAGCTGGAAGATTGCTGAGTGCTGTGTTAAACAAACATACAAACAAACAAACAAGTTACTCAAGTTTTCAATGGATTTAAATGTGTAACACTACTACCATTAACCATATGACTTCTTTGTTTCAGTATGTGTTGTCAGTCCTCAAGTTCACCTATCCAACTATATTTCAAGGGTAGGTAGTCGTTGTTAGGTACTGTCTTTTGATGAGAACATGGAAAAAAATGTTTCATTTTCCAGTGTGCCACTGGGCACTCATTCAGCATGTTCTGATGTGCCCTTTGGAATTTAGGAGTGCCAACTGGAAGAGTACTATTAATCAATCTTCTAAATCAGTGAATCTCATTTTACCATGAGCTGAAATTTTGCCCCCTTTCTATTCTTTGAGATGGATAATACCAATAATGGGACGATAAACCGATACATCGGTTGATCGCGATTTTTTACTTCTCGATACAAGTATCGCTCACAGTCGCGAACTAAGTAAAAAATATCGATTCTGACTTTAAATGTTTGCCTTTATAACTGTCGCACTAAACACTAATCAGTAGTGAAAGTTTATAGTGAAAACATAAATATTTTCATTTGTTGTGCCATACTTGACTCTGCCAACTGTAAATCGTCAGTGTGCCCGGTATTTGGCCATCCTGTCTATGAAAATGATGGCTTACGCACCACAGATAAGATCTTATGCAAGTATCGTGATACATATTGGATCGTGAGTAAGGTATCGTGATACGTATCTGATCTCACAGTTGATGTATCGTCCAAGCCCTAGATAATACCCTTTTCAATTCCTGAATCTGCAGGTAGAATTTGTGGGTCACACTGTGCTTACTTTCCACATATTTATCTCTGGTTCAATATGATAATTTAGAAAAGGTGACATTGTAAAGCATTGTGTTTCATCACCTGTGAACATGTATTATGATGATTATAGATGGCAGACTCTGGTGGGAGCGTTGTTGTTACGTATCCTCATGGTCACCGGACATCTGGAGAATCTGCTGTCTACAGTCAGAAGGTAGGTATAATATACATTGATCACCATCTCTGCATGTGCTTATGTATGTAGCGAAGTGACAACACATGAACAATTTCACTATTTCTTGTAATAATGTTTTATGGTTATGTCGTGCCTCTTCCTCAAGTAAATCAAATAATACAGAAGTTGTCATACATATAGTTTCATGTTTTCATGGTATTCCAGCTTGTATATGCCTATCATAGACTTCCTTTTTCAATGATGAATGTAAAACTTGCTCTGTTTGTTATAGAGACTCAAATAATTCAGCAGTATTGCCTTTTCAGAATGTTTTCCTCTTTTTCGGAAACAATCTCATTAAAATCAGATCTTAGTTCTCGCTACTGCTAAACAAAGATCTGAGGACATCCTATACGGGTCACGTCAGACCGACCTTCACGAACTTTGAACGACCAATGGGGTGGCCAATCAGAAGGCAGCTTTCTCGTGCTTTACGGCACTAATTTCAAATTGGCGACTACGCTTCGAAACATATTTTGACAAATACTCGATTACAAATTTGAAACCTGAACAAAAGAACATTCTGGAATGGCTAATAGATGGTCTAGACTGTATGGATTCAGTCGTTAAACCCATAACTATCAATCGAAATACCCTGTGTTCAAGTTTTCGAGGTTACATGATTAGAAATCACATTCCGACTGTCACTTTCATAATCTGGTTAGCGACGCTCTGATTAGTCGGATGAAAGGTTGTTCTGACGCAACCCCTAATGGTATGTCTTCAGATCTTTGTTTAGCGGTTGCAAGAACTAAGGTCTATTTTTAATGAGATTGGTTCGGAAAGAAATGTCTAATATGCTGTATATGTTGCCATATCAGCCTTCATAAGCTGCCTTCACATAGTCATCATAATGGTGAAGAGTTACCTCCCTTTAAAAAATGTGTATGGATAATCAAGTTGATCAGAACAACAATGAAATAATAATTATTTGTTTTCAAATATTATATGATCTGGGAACATATTATTGTTTAAAAAAGTATCACCTTAATATGCATCAACATAGACAATATTTTGATTACTGGAAAAAGTCCCAAAGATAATTTCATTCACACACAGTCATCAAGAAACCTAAGGGGCTGATTGTTTAATAATCAGGGGGGAGCCTTGGAATTTTTGTTGGAGACAGACTATTTGTTTGGCCCCTGCTTCAAGTCACACAGAGAGGAACACAACAATGCTGTTTAGACCAACAACAACACATTATTTTACAGAACACCCAACTCGTCAAGTATATGACAAAAAATATATCCAGCATTTTCGAGTCCAGATTTATTTATTTTTTTATCCCAGCAACCCCCAATTTATCCAGTGGTCTGCCCCTAAGAAGCAAAAACTGACTCTGCATACACAGCTACATCTACCATTCAGGGTCTCCCTGATTAGCAAACATCCTTCTGCTAACATGCCCGTGCTTGTGAGTTTCACTAACGTAGATTACACAATGTAGATAATCACATACCTCCCACATTAAACCAGACTTCAATGACAGTTCTGTTGACAGACCAGGTAAAGTGAGGGATATGTTGTATAGCTACATTAACCTTGCAGCGTCATTTTTGTGTGACTGTGTTTCAGGCAGGACGTAGCAGTATGGCTGCCAGGAATGATGCTGTTTGTCACCTCCATATACTCTGGATCCAGAGCTCTTGCAAATCTGGTATGTGGTAGTAGCAGTAGCAGTAGTTGTAGCAGTAGTACATGTAGTAGTAGTAGTAGTGGTAGCAGTAGTCATTCTAGAGGCACAGCAATAGTAGCAGTAGTAGTAATAGTAGTAGTAGTAGTAGTAGTAGTAGCAGTAGTAGCAGTAGTAGTAGTAGTTGTAGAGGCAGCAACAGAAGTAGTAGTAGTTTAACGCTGCACTCAGCAATATTCCAGCTATATGGTGACGGTCTGTAAATAATCAAGTCTGGGTCAGACAATCCAGTGACTGACATCATGAGCATCGACCCACGCAATTGGGAAACGATGACATCAACCAAGTCAGCTTGTCTGACCACCCGATCCTGTTAGTAGTAGTAGTACCAGTGGCGCAAGTCACATTAGTAGTAGTAGTAGTAGTAGTAGTAGTAGTAGTAGTAGTAGTGCAAGTCACAGTAGTAGTAGTAGTAGTAGTAGTAGCAGCAGTAGTACCAGTGGCGTAAGTCACAGTAATAGTAGTAGTAGTAGTAGTAGTAGTAGTAGTAGTAGTAGTAGTAGTAGTAGTATTTGCAGCAGCAGTAGTACCAGTGGCGTAAGTCACAGTAATAGTAGTAGTGGGAGTAGTAGTAGTAGTAGTATTTGCAGCAGCAGTAGTACCAGTGGCGTAAGTCACAGTATTGGTAGTAGTGGGAGTAGTAGTAGTAGTAGTAGTAGAGGTGGTGGTGGTAGTATTCAGCATGACACGATTGCTATACAGTTTGCCTGAGGTGAGTTATGATTCATCCAAGTAGTTTAATGGTGTAATACACTATTCTTATTGTCTAGAAGCAAATTCTATCACTTACCCCTGATTTCATCTTATCTTCCAAACAAATGTGTAGTAGCAGTGGTGTTGTTAATACTTGTACTTTTACAGTAGCTGCCTGGTCATAAGTAGGTATATTGGCAGTAAACACGCTCACCAGAGTTATCTCCCTTGTTCAGAGTTTGTGATCTACATTGCTTGGGAACATACTTTATTCATCAGATTACTTATTACACTAAAAATTGAAAACCAGAGACAGTGTAGTTCATTTTGTCATAGTTTAGAGTCATGGAGATGTGTTTACCAACACAAAATGTGATTTGATTGGATAGCTTGATCTGGCACAGATTACAGAGCTCTTTTTTCATGTTTTTCTTCATGAAAATAGGAATGACACAATTATCGATCTTTGAATGAAATAAACACATAATACAACAAATTATGAAACCCATTCAGTCACTCACTCACTCGCTCCTCAGGGCTCCAGATAGTTTTTTAGCCATTTAGTATTTACTGACATGTTAACATTCACATTGGGTTTTCTTTGGCATGTTTGGGTAGTGAATATATTTTACTCCCTTGGATCCAGTCTATTGTGTGTATTTAAACCCATGAGTAGACATTTTTGAAAAGTAATTTGCTTAAATGGTGTTTCCAGTAACTTCTAATTTCCTTCTGTACATGTGCTGCCTCAAAGTTGTCCAATGTCTCAAAAGCTCAGTGTGCAATAAGCAGTACATAGTACTTTTATGCATTTTTCACTGCAGAGGGTTTATGTATGAGTGATGCCTACCGTCAATCAGTATTTACAGATTAGTAAAGATATGTAGGCATGTAAACTGTAAAGTCACTGTGTTGTTTTACCATGTTTACTATTTATGGGTTTTTTAATTCTTTTTGCAGCTTTTTTTGAGCTTTACACTCTATGAAGTTACTGACTGTAAGAAGTCAAGTTTCCACCCATGGCAAACTAGGCTGGAATTTTGGGGCTCGATCATAGCGCCACCAGTGGCTATTATGAGTTATGTCCCTTCCATGTCCATCCTATTGACAATCAGATTCCACTTTTCATATCACGTGCACTTGCTTCAAACAAAACTGGCGATGCCCAGCCAAGACGATCTGATTGATAATCAAAATCTATATTGTAATAAAACGGGTTTCTCTTCGCAAAGTGCATCAAATCACGTGAGCAGCTTGATTAATAACATGAAAATATTTGCAACATATCTGTTGAAGCCAAGTTGGTGGTATACATGCTTTACAAATCCCGTAATCGAATGAAATCTGCATTGCAGTTTTCAAACCAGATGTCAATTTTGTTATTCAGTGTTGATTGGACTATGCATAGACTTGTTCGTCCAGCCAAAATGTAACTCCATAATACCAGCCTAGTTCGGCAATGGTGGAAACTGGACTTTTATAGTCAGTTAAATTCCCTTGGGAAGATGTGCACTCCAGGTTTCCAACCTATGATATGAAGGAACACTGTTATATCCATTTACTCATTTCAAATGTAATTCTGTTTTCAGCCAGTGCCAGTTTTCTTCTCTTTGCAAAACCTGACTTTAGTGATCAAGTGGACGGGAGAGCTTGCCATCAACAGACAGGTGACCATGCATGGCAGTTGGGCCGAGATCACATTGATACGTTTCAGTTGTCTGTCCCTAGTAGCATGGGGTCATGTCATTAAGTACAGTAGTGCTTAGCTCGGGGAGAATAAGGGAGGGACACCATGTCAGGTTCAGGGTGACAGTCATGGAAACAAATATACAGTTTTGTGGAGGGTCATTTTTAAATCAGACTGTTCAAGGCAACTATGTACATAAACTGTTCATGGATGTGAGGCCTATGAAGGGTGACTATTTGTTGTAAATACTTACATGGTGTATTTCATCAACTGCGAGATAAGGGAACACAGCTATTTTCTGCATCTGTAGATACTTGGAAACAATAGGGGCGGTGGGGTAGCCTAGTGGTTAAAGTGTTCAATTGTCACTCTGAAGACCTGGGTTCGATTCCCCACGTGGTCACAATGTGTGAAGCCCATTTCTTGTGTCTCCTGCCACGATATTGCCGGAATATTTCTAAAAGTGGAGTAAAACCATACTCACTCACTCACTGGTGTATATTACATGTCATCTGAGCCTGATGGTTTGCATTGTTGCTCATAACATCAACCACTGGTTTGTCTAGTTCAGACTCAGTTATTCACAGCCAACCATCAAATAGCTGGAATACTGTTGTGTGCAGCTTTTAACAATTAACGACACAACACTGAGACTGGTGCATACATGTGTATATATTTCAAACCTCTTCATGATTATTTCTGTTGACTCAGTTTTCACCTGAAATAGTAAGTCAGTGTTGTAAACACAAAAACGGCCAGTATCTGTTGAAGATGAATATGAGGTATTAAACAGCAGGTTTCAGTTTCAGTTTTCAATGCATACTAGAAGTCATTTTGGTATTATTTTTCTTGATATTGACCCAAGAAATACAAAACTTATTACACAATTTTGAGGTTAATTTAAGTTGGTTTATTTCTTAATTACCATTGATAAAAAAAAAAAAATTTAAATATTCATTTTGACCATTCTTGTCAGTTATATAAACTGTGCAAACAAAGAATAGAGATGGGGGGCGTAAGGAATTAGTAGGGATGACGTCTCAATGTGTCGCTTGTACATCTGGTTGCAGCTGACTGGCATCTATGTGTACGGTATGCTGATGCTGACCACCGTGTCCTCCGTCGCCATCATCAAGACAGACCCCCAGGTAGGTGTGGCCCTTCCTTCATGGCTGGTCTTCCTCAGGCCACAGCACCATTGCCTGTCTCACACACCACTCCAAGAAAATAATATACGACCGGGTACTCAAAACAAAATAAAGAACATCCACAATTGGATGGGTATGTGATGCCATACCAACCAGCTATGACAGATTATCTCTAGTCAAATAAAAACATTGGGTCTTCTTTAACTTTTGCATAAAACCGGTATATTTTACCATATAGCCTATAGTTTTTGTCTTGTTTCTAAAAGATTACTGGTTGCAGATATGTGATTTCATAATATTTCCAAACGTTGCTTTTGATCAATGCATGAAGTCACAGTGTTTTATATGCTGAGGTTAAGTAGACGAAAGAAATTTCCTTAATTAGTTAAGAGATAAACGTACTGTGTTTTCAATGTAGAGCTTGGTTACCTTGAGATTTAAACGCGCTAAATTGAGTTTGGAATTGATCGCGCAGCGCGAGGTTTCAAATGCTTCATTTAATACTGAAATTAGCCTCAACAAAGATGGTCAATTTTGCCCAGTTTCTGAACTCTGCAAATGAACTAGACTTTGTTTTTAGATTGCCTTTACCCCCCAGTACTTTCTCAGATTACTTTTTGTATATGTTTCAGTTGAACTCTGAGGGATACTTCTGGATGAGCATCCATGTGATCAGTAGTGGTAAGATAACATTACGCATTTCAATAAATTCTTCATACATTTATCACACAGAAACCCCTGAGTGTATTATATTCTCACTCTTCTAAATATATGTACTCTGAACCACCTCCGTGGACTAGTGGTAGTGCTTCTGCCTGGGGAGCACTGTAAGTGTCATACGAAAAAACTTTAAAAGATGGTACTTGTTGTTACCCTGCCTGGCGCTCTGCATTAAGCGGCTAAAACAAGGACTGGTCGGCTCGGAGTCAGTATGCTGTGTATGTGTGGGGTATTGATGCTAAACTGCAGCATGGTATCTCAGTGAGCTAGCACTATAAAATCAGCATTAGTCCTGACTAGTACAAGTAGTCAGTCTCTGTCTGTATCCTATGCTTGTCCTATTATTCCTCGTGTGAAATACCCAGGAGTTTCTGTCTTCCTTGTGTTCATGGATTCACTGCTAATGTGTGATTTTTTATTTTGCAGGTTTAATTGATATTTACACAAACTTGATGCAAGGGAGATTAAAACTCAAGTGAGTAGCCGTAAATTAATCTTTCTCTGTTTAGAAAAGTGTGATGTATAACCTTTGTTATTCACCTTCTGTAATTTATTGATATGAATTTATTATTGAGTGAGTGAGTGAATGAGTGAGTGAGAGTGTTGGGTGAGAGTGAGTGAGTGAGTGAGTATGGTTTTAAGCCACTTTTAGCAATATTCCAGCAATATTCCAGCAATATCACGGCTGGTGATACTGCAAAATAAGCTTTATACATTGTACCCATGTGGGGAATGGAACCCTGGTCTTTGGCGTGACAAGCCATCACTTTATCCGCCCGTGAATTTATTAATGGACTACGTAACAGTCTTATGATTTTTTTTATTATGATTGTGTTGTACAGCTTCAGTGAATGTTTAAAAGACCCCTTATTTACAGATATTAATGTCATGTTATTCTGATGTTTGGGTAGTAAACAAATGCTTGCAATCTAAAGTGATACAAACACATTTTCAGCTCTCTGGAGAGGTTATATTCCAGCTACATATACAGGTATGTGTGATGCTGAGTTACTTCCCCTGCTTCAAACAGGTCCCTCCTTTCAACACAATCCTCTACATCACAACACAATCCCCTACATCACAACACAATCCCCTACATTACGACACAATCCTCTACATCACAACACAATCCCCTACATCATAACACAATCCCCTACATCACAACACGATCCTCTACATCACAACACAATCCCCTACATTACGATGCAATCCCCTACATCAAAATACAATCCCCTACATTACGACACAATCCCAAACATCACAACACAATACCCTACATCACAACACAATCCCCTACATTACAACAATCCCCTACATCACAACACAATCCTCAACATCACAACACAATCCTCTACATCACAACACAATCCCCTACATCAAAACACAATCCCCTACATTACGACACAATCCCAAACATCACAACACAATCCCCTACATCACAACACAATCCCCTACATCACAACAATCCCCTACATCACAACACAATCCCCTACATCACAACACAATCCTCTACATCACAACACAATCCCCTACATCACAACACAATCCCCTACATCACAACACAATCCCCTACATTACGACACAATCCCCTACATCACAGACCGCCTCCGTGGTCTTGTGGTAGAGCGTCCGCCCGGAGAGCAGAAGGTCCGGGGTTCGATCCCCGGGCGCGTCATACAAAAAGACGTTAAAAGATGGTACTTGTTGTTACCCTGTCTGGCGCTCGGCATTAAGGGGCTAAAACAAGGACTGGTCGGCTCGGAGTCAGTATACTGTGTCTGAGTTGGGTATTCATGTTAAACTGCGGCATGGTATCTCAGTGAGCTAGCACTATAAATCGGCATCAGTCCGGACTAGTACAAGCAGCCACACAAACACACACATGTACATGCACGTCGCTATATAAGTGCAATAATCTTGGACGCGACGTTAAACCCAATTTCACCTCACCTCACCCTACATCACAACACAATCCCCTACATTACGACACAATCCCCAACATCACAACACAATACCCTACATCACAACACAATCCCCTACATCACAACAATCCCCTACATCACAACACAACCCCCTACATTACGACACAATCCCCAACATCACAACACAATACCCTACATCACAACAATCCCCTACATCACGACACAATCCTCTACATCACAACAATCCCCTACATCACAACACAATCCCCTACATCACAACACAATCCCCTACATCACGACACAATCCTCTACATCACAACACAATCCCCTACATTACGACACAATCCCCTACATCACAACACAATCCCCTACATTACGACACAATCCCCTACATCACAACACAATCCCCTACATCACGACACAATCCTCTACATCACAACAATCCCCTACATCACAACACAATCCCCTACATTACGACACAATCCCCAACATCACAACACAATACCCTACATCACAACACAATACCCTACATCACAACACAATCCCCTACATCACAACAATCCCCTACATCACAACACAATACCCTACATCACAACACAATCCCCTACATCACAACAATCCCCTACATCACAACACAATCCCCTACATCAACAACAAATAGTTGCATGGCTAGATTTTATCCACAATAGGTCTTCAGGACCCACATATACATGACCTATAAGTTATATAGACATGACATACCGAATATACATGACATATAAGTTATAAATACATGACATACCAGTATATACATGGCATATAAGTTATATATACATGACATACCGGTATATACATGGCATATAAGTTATATATACATGACATACCGATATATACATGACGTATAAGTTATATATACTTGACACTCGTACCGGTATATAAATGACATATAAGTTATTTATACATGACATACCAGTATATACATGATATATGCATGACTAATACCTGATATAGTCAAACCTCCTTGTGTCAAACTTGGATGTGTCAAACTCCTGGTTGTTTCAAACTCCTGGTTGGGAGTCCCAAGTATCCAAACAAAGCATTATGAATTTATGGATGTCAACTTTTTTATTATGAGGAAGACAATGTTTCGGAGTATATACCTACTCCTCAATCACAACCTATGTGCAATATGTTTGATATATACATGGCCTATGCGTAACAAATACCTGATGTACACATAACCATGATATATGATATTGATATATACATGACATAGACGTAATATGGAAGTAACATGACTAAGCCTTAAAAAAAATTTAGTTTGATGTTTTACATAACATAATCTAATGAAACAAACAAATATTGTGTATCTGCTTTACAATCTCATTCAGTCCCAGATGAATTCTGTGGTAAAATTATCAAAATTCTGCGATTAAATTACAAAAGTTCTGCAGTAAAATTACCTAAGTTCTGCAGGTAAAATGACAAAATTATGTTGTAAATTCTGCTCTAAAGACATAACCATTTTCCTCTCAAACATTAATACAAATCATATTTTTTTCTATAAAAAAATTAATCTCTTGTATTTAGACATTTCAAAACATACAAATATGCCAATACATATGCATGGTCATTTTTTTATGGTTAGTTTAAGTACATAGTTTAAGTACTTGTAATACCAAAAGAACATATAAAAGTGCGAATGATATATTTCAAATTTCGTTTTATCATGTTTATGATAGGATTCATATTTGGTATGTTTGAATCGCATGTTTAAAGTTTGGGCATCAATCAAGTGCAAAATTCGATAGAAAAGCTTGAAAATAATTAAGATTAGTATATTGCTGATAAAAAAAGGGTAATACCGTGATTTTTCTGCAGTTCTGTAGTAAGTTACATTTTCTAGAAATCTTTCCGCAAATTGCAGAATTTGTCTGGGACTGCTCATTGTATCATGTTGTCTATTTGTCATAAAGATGCACACGCTTATTTCAAAGCGAGTCTTATCTTTTGTTCCATGAATACTGCAGCTTTCTGTTGAAAGGTTTTGAAAAGATCTGGTGAACTTAGAAATATCACAAATTGACAACATTGACAACATTGTATTTTCAGTGTGATAATACTTGGACCGTCCAGCTACTTTTTAGGTAGGTATAAACTGGACATAATTCTTGACCCCAGCTGGGAAGAGGGATCACATCATCAAAAGTTGTTACAGCTGATTATGTCATAGCATAGTGTTGTTATAGATGAATATGTCATCAGATGGTGATGTAAGTAGATTGTCTTATCACATGGTGTTGTTACAGCTGACTATATCATCACATGGTGTTGTTACAGCTGATTACATCATCACATGATGTTGATACAGCTGATTATATCATCACTTAGTGTTGTTACAGCTGATTATGTCATCACATTGTTGTTACAGCTGATTATATCATCACATGATGTTACAGCTTATTTTATCATCACCTGATGTTGTTACAGCTGATTATATCATCACCTGATGTTGTTACAGCTGATTATATCATCACATGGTGTTGTTACAGCTGTTTATATCATCACATTGTTGTTACAGCTGATTATATCATCACATGGTGTTGTAACAGCCGATTATACTATCACATGGTGTTGTTACAGCTGATTATATCATCACACGGTGTTGTTACAGCTGATTATACCATCACATGGTGTTGTTACAGCTGATTATATCATCACATAGTGTTGTTACAGCTGATTATACCATCACATGATGTTGTTACAGCTGATTATACCATCACATGGTGTTGTTACAGCTGATTATATCATCACATAGTGTTGTTACAGCTGATTATATCATCACATAGTGTTGTTACAGCTGATTATATCACCACATATGTTGTTACAGCTGATTATATCATCACATGATGTTGTTACAGCTGATTATATCACCACATGGTGTTGTTACAGCTGATTATATCACCACATGATGTTGTTACAGCTGATTATATCACCACATGGTGTTGTTACAGGTGACGCCCTGGAGGCTGCCAGGTTTCCCTATTTATACTTTGGCAAGTTTTATGTTGGGTGTATACTCAGGTGAGTGGTGTTATTGTTTTGTGTGTGATAATGTGATGTTTTGGTGACTCAATCATCCATCCCTATCATATATCACTTCATGGTTGCATGAATGTATACTCACTGCCAAAAGAAATGCGAAGAAGAAATATATAGAGAAGTATGTACGTTAAGAAGAGATGTTTCCAATGTTAACCAATTAATGACAAAACTAACAATCAGCCAAGTGTTACCACAGAGTGTCTTTATTCTTATCACGATATGCTGCTAGTGATTTCCAAACTTTACCCGCTAATCCTGCACGAGACAAATGGTGCATCTCAAGTCACGGATCTGTAATGTCACATGTGATGTGTTCATGACCGCCGGTTCACACAACATACCAACCAGTATGTTTGTTTGTGCATCGAACCAATCTAATATCTCTTGAATATGAGTAATTCTTCAGATATTAACCTGCATGAGTGGTATTTGCATTTCTTTTGGTGGTGAGTATATTTACAGTTACACTACTTTCATTACCCTCCTTTTACAGTAAACATTTGATGGCTTCAATTTCCTATAAAGTCATATGGTAATAAATCCTTGTAATTTTAGCACAATTAGCACTGTATTTACACGATGTACATAAATGTAATCATGGTATCTGTGTGAAGCTCTGTACTAGACCATTGCCTTATTGTTATACCTACTTGTCGACCCGTGAAGATTCGGGGTAGAATAGGTCTTCAGCAACCCATGCTTGCGTTAAAAGGTGACTATGCTTGTCGTAAGAGGCGACTAACTGGATCGGGTGGTCAGGCTGGCTGACTTGGTTGATGCATGTCATCGATCCCAATTGCGTGAATCGATGCTCATGTAGTCAATCACTGAATTGTCTGGTCCAGACTCAATTATTTACAGACCGCCATCATTTAGCTGGAATATTGCTGAGTGCAACCTTAAACAACAAATAAACAAACAAACAAAACCTACTTGTCACTGGTTTATAGCTGATGTATGAAAGAAATAATTTTGACTACATACAAAGAAAACACAGTTTGAGACAAGGAAGCAGGTCAGTCTAGAATGCTTATATACTGGATGAATCGCAAGTGACTTTAGGTTATGTAGAAGTGGAGAGATTAAGAGCAAACTTGGGTCTTACGGCTTATCTGCGGGTCATATCATTTTCTTTCGTATTTCAATGGTCAAATTAACACCTCGGCTTATCTACGGGGTCGGCTTATCCGCGGTCATATACGGTAAGTTGGCCTATTGATGCTTGCCACAGTTATGTAAACAGATGTAAAGGCTGACTCAGGGAGGTCTTTAACCCTCTGGATGCCGAGTTTTTTTTCTGACGCACATTTTCCTAAGATCGGAAAAGTGAAGGTTGTGCGAGAATTGCACTTACGCGGCACTGGATCTACCTCTGGCTATAAAATTACGCAGAGGTGGAGAATATTAAATTTCCTATTTGATGGTGTTAAGTTAACTGCAAATATTAAACCGGTTTTAAAGAAATACGCTTCTAAGTGTTGTCCGAGAATTTATTCTGCGTTGAAAAACAGTAAATTTCTCCGCTTTTTATCGTACATCGATAAAAGTACTGTGCGACGATTTTTTTTATTTCGAAGCTTTACGGAAACTGTCAGCGAACAAAATACTGCCTAATGTCTGAACGACATAACTATATATCAAATGGAGTTATATGCGTATGTGTAACGACATACATTCAATGCCAAAAACTGCATGCCGTAAATGACGAAAACTGATTTTTCTCTATGACGTCAAAAGGCGACCGAGAGGTTACACGCGTACAAAGAAAAGGGGACATAACTCCGCTATGCTTAGCACTAGGTTATTGTACACTCAGGTCAATTGGTGAGAATTAGCTGTGGGTAAGGACAATGTATTTTCGTTGTGTTTCGTTCACGAGGAACCAAACTATTCCAACACAAATATCGATATTGAAACTGTATACGTTTTTTATAAATAAAACCCACAAGAAATTATGAAATCGTACTTCATAAAAAAGAGGTAATAGAGAAATGGATGGCCCTATCCAACCTATAACTTAGTCCTTATATTCCAACATTCTCCTGAGTGTGTAAGTGTAATTTGACTTATGGTGCACCATTATTAATGGAGCACTAGCTTTATCATCAAATGTAATGAAATACCCCAAAATAACACCATTCCTTTTGACGTCATTGCTGGTTTTATGTCTTTGATAACGTCGGAGAAAGACGACACTGGTATTTTGATTTATATATATCTCCCATAATTTTCGTTCATGGTTTGGAAAATCTCGATGTGTAAAACGGAATTTGACGCTTTTTCGACACAACATAAAATTACTGCTTTCACCAAGTAAATAATGTCTTGAATATGTAAACAATTAGATAGTTTATCGTGTATCTTAATTGGACAGGACACGCACCTGTTTGGCATCAATTTAAGTTATGAAATTCACAAAAGAATAATCCAAAACAACCAAAATTATATTCAGTATTGGACATATATTTGTTCATTATCATGTTAGTATTTCTCTTCATCTCGTCTCAGAATGAAACAATAAAAGATGCGAAGAAAGCACTATCATATTGGTATAGAATTATCAGGATAATCGTATAAGGTTGAACAAACGGGGTACCTGGCATGGATTTTATTTTATACATTTTAAAATTTCTGGAGAAATTAAGTAAACAGTTTAATATCCCGTGATCACAATATTGAAAAAAAGAATGAACCCATTGATTATATAATGCAAAACGAGAGGAATAATTCGTAAAATGTGTGTGACTAACGCGCACCTGGCGAATCGTTAGATATCACTGTTCTGTGTATCAAACGACATCAAAAACAGTTCCAAGACCAAGACAGTTCTTTCAGAAATGTGTGCATATATTTTACCGAATTGTTTTTGTAAAAGTAATATATTCAGTTTTAGTTATAAAATAAAATGAAACGGCTATTCATGGACATTGCTAATATGAACTTATAATATTGACTATTGCACATCCCAAGAAATGCGTACATGCTGCAGTTACATTTACACTTCTTGTAACACTTGTCCAAAGGAAAGAAATATCGTATGCGACACTAAAAACCTATCAATTGTTATGTAAACAATGTTCAAACTAACAGGAGATTATCAAGGTTCCTTCATACATGTTGTGGCCGATATTTACGTATGATATCATTTTGAACATTGACAAATGTCCAAAGTGAAATTAGAATCTAATTGTGTGAAAAAATGTATAAAAGATGTGCAAAATCTGCATCATAACTGAAACAGTAAACAGCATGGTACAATGATCATGTGCACTCTCATTCAAAGACCTTCACCTCAAAGAAATTACCAAATATGTACAACAATGTTGACGTATGACATCACTACCTGTGACCGACTTTTACAAAATGGCGTTTTCACTGTCAACCGTACGCGGGATTTTACGAGGGGACTTTCGTTGATTCAGGGATCGTATTTACATAAATGTGACATGTAAGTAATCAGAAACATTCTGACAATCTATGTACTGTTATTTGTTGTTATAATTTTCATTGAAACAAACCGGAATAGTCAGAAATTCCGATAAATACCGTTGTCGTTGTGCGTGATTTTGCGTCAGTCATGGCGTCACACAGGACGGTAACTTTGCAATGATTTGATATTTTCAACAGAAGTTGTCAATGTATCTATTTTAAATTCCCTATTTCTTCCTACGATTCTCTTCCCATGACTATTCTGCAAATGTTGAGCCAATATTTTGAACGAATAGACGAATGGATAGCTCAAAATAGGAGAAAATGCTACAGTGTGTAAAATCTGTATTTTTGCTTTGTTTACACTTCAAACAAGTGCAGTGTTTCGAGCACAGCGTTCGTTTTCACACCTGACTTATATTGCTTGATTTCATCCAGCCATTTCGTACTGGTGACAAAGACCATTGTTCATTCGATTCTAAAATGTATGAGGAATTCAAGGATGTGTGTATCGCAGCAAAGTTTGGAATATACGGGATGTTACAGGCGCTTCATAACCGGTGTACCTGAAACGTGATTTTGTAAACACTATCCAATATGGCGGAAAGGTCACTTCGGCGTTCGTGTTTGCGTATTTTCCAAAACATTCTAAACGATTCTAGGGTTATCGGAGACGTTTTGGAATGATCATTGGTGATTTCATAAAGGACAGATACCCGTGATCACTAATATGCTATTTTTGAAATTCATTTCTCGGAGTAAATATCCGAAATTTAGATTCCAGAACATGCAGTAAATAACGCGGCGAGTGGTGATTTAGTAATGTGTAAAACATGGCGACATTTACGAAGTACCTAATTTTCAGAGGTCATTTTTTGTACTTTTGCTTGGCCTAAAAAGCCAATGAATAATATCACAGAACAGGGAATCTCCCACCTTATTCAAAACTGTGATGTGTATTAGTGTGCATGATGTATGTTTAATTTTATTCGACTTCAAAGTGAGGGTTGTAGAGGAAGGACATATATGTCCCTCTGGCATCCAGGGGGTTAACACAAGCTAATACATGGAGAAACTCACCCTAATGTATTTTGATATCAAATATATCAACTGTCGCTAAACTTAAAAACTCTGAGAGCTTTTAACTTTTATCGACTTGTGTTCATTTGGGATATTGTTGAATCTGTTGTGTGTGATGTTGATGTGTTACCATGGCAACTCTCTGTCCCCAGTGGTGTGCCGGACATGTTCCTGAATCTGTTGTGTGTGATGTTCATGTGTTACCATGGCTACTCTCTGTCCCCAGTGTTGTGCCGGACATGTTCCTGAATCTGTTGTGTGTAATGTTCATGTGTTACCATGGCTACTCTCTGTCCCTAGTGGTGTGCTGGGCATGTTCCTGAATCTGCTGTGTGTGATGTTCATGTGTTACCATGGCTACTCCCTGTCCCTAGTGGTGCGTCGGGCATGTTCCTGAATCTGTTGTGTGTGATATTCATGTGTTACCATGGCTACTCTCTGTCCCTAGTGGTGTGTCGGGCATGTTCCTGAATCTGTTGTGTGTGATATTCATGTGTTACCATGGCTACTCTCTGTCCCTAGTGGTGTGCTGGGCATGTTCCTGAATCTGTTGTGTGTGATATTCATGTGTTACCATGGCTACTCTCTGTCCCTAGTGGTGTGTCGGGCATGTTCCTGAATCTGTTGTGTGTGATATTTATGTGTTACCATGGCTACTCTCTGTCCCCAGTGGTGTACTGGGCATGTTCCTGAATCTGCTGTCTATCAGGCTACAAGAGGAGGAGGAGCAGACTCTTGACTTCCAGGCATCGCTGGCGATCAGCAAGGTGAGCACCCACCACTTCAGGCAACCGTTCCAGGCAATGTAACTCATGCACCATGACAGTACCTCTATTTCAGTGTCATGATGAAAATCCTTTCCTGCACCATTATGAGATTTCTTGGCCTTATTTGGTATGGTACCGAAGCCTGAATGCCCACATTTCCTTTTTTCTGGAGATGGCTGGTCTGTTAGTTTAGAAAGAATACCAAAGTGTCTCCATATAAATCTTTTTTTAAAACAATAATATGTTAACTTCTGGGATTTATGCAGGTGTCATTAATTTCCTGCAGAATGTCCCAGGTCTAACCATACATGCCTTTCTAAAATACATTTTTGATAATTTAGTGATATTCTGATGGTAGCTCAGAACCATATTTGGAGTCACCAGGTAGAGGCACATGTCTTAAACCCTTTATTCTAAACTCTCTTCATTAGTGTGTATGGACTCGGACCCTAAAAGCTGTTTGAAATGTAAATCAGATACCTTAATCAAATTACTTATTATTGTTATGCTCAAAATAAACAGTGTTCTGATATGATTTGACAACTATGTTAAGATTTTGTACCTTTAATGAAGCTACAATCTATTTTCCAGATTGTAGGATCCATACTGTCCGTGCTATTCTTTGACTTCCAAGTTGTAGCTAACCAAGCTCTATGGTGAGTTGACAACCAAGTTGTATCCATTTCAGCTCTAAAGGTGAGTTGACCTCCAAGTAGTAGCCAGTCAGGCTGTACGATGAGTTGACTTCCAAGTAGTAGCCAGTCAGGGTGTACGATGTGTTGACTTCCAAGTAGTAGCCAGTCAGGCTCTACGATGTGTTGACTTCCAAGTAGTAGCCAGTCAGGCTCTACGATGAGTTGACTTCCAAGTAGTAGCCAGTAAGGATGCACAATGAGTTGACTTCCAAGTAGTAACTAGTCAGGCTCTACGATGAGATGACTTCCAAGTAGTAGCCAGTCATCTTCTAAGTTGTAGCTGGTAGTGTACAAGATATTCAGAGTAAGATAATGTCCACCCTGCTATTGACACATGCAACTCATTTTCCGCCCTTCTTTACACAGGATTACTGTGAATCATCTGTGTGCCCTGGCCAGCAGCAAGTCCCTGACAGCCCATACAGCAGCCCGGGTGGTGGTGGACAACGTGCTGCCCCAGACACACCCCAACATTAGGAGGGACAACCTACAGCAGGACCTCCTGAGGACAGAGGTCGCCTGACCCCTTTCACTGCGGTGTGAATGTAGGACTTGATCTTTGTTTAGCAGGAGCGAGATCTAACATCTGACTTCAATGAGATTGGTAATGTTATATGACTTGGGATAAATACATGTATCATGAACATCTCACCCGGTAGGTTACTGAGTCATAAATACACCGTCTTTTAGCGGACATGTTCCAGTGCAATAACTAAACTAAACCCTCCACACGTTCCTGAGAGTTGCTGAGAGTTCCTAGTCATGAAGACCTTGAGACAGGATTGTAAGAACACTAAGAGGACTAGTGTAGAGCAGATGGGTGTGATATTCAGTACTGTGTATCCAAGTTTCGACTACATCCTGCTGACAGAAGGGGGCCAGTAGGTCGGTATATTATGAGAAAGCAAGGATTCACACATTCTAAGAATATGCACATACCATGTGTGCAACGGAGGTATGGTCCTTTCTGAAATTTAAAATTGTTGTCTATCGTCAACGTCATGTGAGGTAGTCTAGTGGTTCAGGTGTTGACCTAGGTTCGATACCCCACATGGCTAGAATGTGTGAAGCCTTTTCTATCTGTCCCTTGCTGGAACCCCATGGTGACCCAAGGATATATTTTGTCCCCAATACCCTGTGCTTAGTAAGAGGTGACTAAAATGTATTGGATGGTCAGACTTTGTGAATTGGTTGGGACATTGGTCATAATATCAATCACTGGTTGGACTGGCTCAGGCATGATTATATACAACCATGATATAGCTTGAATATTGCTGACTGTTGCGTAAAACAGCATTCACTCACTCATACTTGCTGTGATATGGCCGAAATGGCATAAAACCATATCCATTCCTCGCTGTGTTATGTATGTTATACTGTATTCATTTTGTCAGCAGAGTAAGCAACATCATGCACAGCCTAGTGTCTTAGCATCATTTTAGGAGATGTATTTAGTTCCATACTGAGGAAGTAATCCAAGTATAGGTATCAATGTTGTCACGTCAAGAACCTCATGTAAAGGCATTGTATAAATTGTTATGCTTCATGAGGGAACAATATAGTCCTTTTCTCTGAAAGAAATCTCATGCTTTTAATGTGAACTTATGCATGTTATTTATTTGTCAATTACATTCATTACCAAAGGATACTGAGAGATCCAAACGTGTATTACAGCTGATAAGGTAAAGTGGATCTCAAACATTGTCATGTCCTCTGTTGGTGTCACAGCAGCTGTCAGTGCTCAGACCAGATACAGCTGTCACTGCTGAGACCAGATACAGCTTCTGTCTGACCCATTGGTGTAACAGCAGCTGTCAGTGCTCAGACCAGATACAGCTGTCACTGCTGAGACCAGATACAGCTTCTGTCTGACCCATTGGTATAACAGCAGCTGTCAATGCTCAGACCTGATACAGCTGTCAGTGCTGAGACCAGATACAGCTTCTGTCTGACCTGTTGGTGTCACAGCAGCTGTCAGTGCTCAGACCTGATACAGCTGTCAGTGCTGAGACCAGATACAGCTTCTGTCTGACCTGTTGGTGTCACAGCAGCTGTCAGTGCTCAGACCTGATACAGCTGTCAGTGCTGAGACCAGATACAGCTTCTGTCTGACCTGTTGGTGTAACAGCAGCTGTCAGTGCTCAGACCAGATACAGCTTCTGTCCGACCTGTTGGTGTCACAGCAGCTGTCAGTGCTCAGACCAGATACAGCTTCTGTCTGACCTGTTGGTGTAACAGCAGCTGTCAGTACTCAGACCAGGTACAGCTTCTGTCTGACCTGTTGGTGTAACAGCAGCTGTCAGTGCTCAGACCAGATACAGCTTCTGTCTGACCTGTTGGTGTAACAGCAGCTGTCAGTACTCAGACCAGGTACAGCTTCTGTCTGACCTGTTGGTGTAACAGCAGCTGTCAGTGCTCAGACCTGATACAGCTGTCAGTGCTGAGACCAGATACAGCTTCTGTCTGACCTGTTGGTGTAACAGCAGCTGTCAGTGCTGAGACCAGATACAGCTTCTGTCCGACCTGTTGGTGTAACAGCAGCTGTCAGTGCTCAGACCAGATACAGCTGTCAGTGCTCAGACCAGATACAGCTTCTGTCCGACCTGTTGGTGTAACAGCAGCTGTCAGTGCTCAGACCTGATACAGCTGTCAGTGCTGAGACCAGATACAGCTTCTGTCTGACCTGTTGGTGTAACAGCAGCTGTCAGTGCTGAGACCAGATACAGCTTCTGTCCGACCTGTTGGTGTAACAGCAGCTGTCAGTGCTGAGACCAGATACAGCTTCTGTCCGACCTGTTGGTGTAACAGCAGCTGTCAGTGCTCTGACCTGACACAGCTGTCAGTGCTCAGACCAGATACAGCTGTCAGTGCTCAGACCAGATACAGCTGTCACTGCTGAGATCTGAAACAACTTCTGTCTGACCTGTTGGTGTCACAGCAGCTGTCAGTGCTCAGACCTGATACAGCTGTCAGTGCTCAGACCAGATACAGCTTCTGTCTGACCTGTTGGTGTAACAGCAGCTGTCAGTACTCAGACCAGATACAGCTTCTGTCTGACCTGTTGGTGTAACAGCAGCTGTCAGTGCTCAGACCAGATACAGCTGTCAGTGCTCAGACCAGATACAGCTTCTGTCTGACCTGTTGGTGTCACAGCAGCTGTCAGTGCTCTGACCAGATACAGCTTCTGTCTGACCTGTTGGTTTAACAGCAGCTGTCAGTGCTCAGACCAGATACAGCTTCTGTCTGACCTGTTGGTGTCACAGCAGCTGTCAGTGCTCAGACCAGATACAGCTTCTGTCTGACCTGTTGGTGTAACAGCAGCTGTCAGTGCTCAGACCAGATACAGCTTCTGTCTGACCTGTTGGTGTAACAGCAGCTGTCAATGCTCAGACCAGATACAGCTTCTGTCTGACCTGTTGGTGTAACAGCAGCTGTCAGTGCTCAGACCAGATACAGCTTCTGTCTGACCTGTTGGTGTAACAGCAGCTGTCAATGCTCAGACCAGGTACAGCTTCTGTCTGACCTGTTGGTGTAACAGCAGCTGTCAGTGCTCAGACCAGATACAGCTTCTGTCTGACCTGTTGGTGTAACAGCAGCTGTCAGTGCTCAGACCAGATACAGCTTCTGTCTGACCTGTTGGTGTAACAGCAGCTGTCAATGCTCAGACCAGATACAGCTGTCAGTGCTCAGACCAGATACAGCTTCTGTCTGACCTGTTGGTGTAACAGCAGCTGTCAGTGCTCAGACTAGATACAGCTTCTGTCCGACCTGTTGGTGTAACAGCAGCTGTCAGTGCTCAGACCAGATACAGCTTTTGTCCGACCTGTTGGTGTAACAGCAGCTGTCAGTGCTCAGACCAGATACAGCTTCTGTCTGACCTGTTGGTGTAACAGCAGCTGTCAATGCTCAGACCAGGTACAGCTTCTGTCTGACCTGTTGGTGTAACAGCAGCTGTCAGTGCTCAGACCAGATACAGCTTCTGTCTGACCTGTTGGTGTAACAGCAGCTGTCAATGCTCAGACCAGGTACAGCTTCTGTCTGACCTGTTGGTGTAACAGCAGCTGTCAGTGCTCAGACCAGATACAGCTTCTGTCTGACCTGTTGGTGTAACAGCAGCTGTCAGTGCTCAGACCAGATACAGCTTTTGTCCGACCTGTTGGTGTAACAGCAGCTGTCAATGCTCAGACCAGATACAGCTTCTGTCTGACCTGTTGGTGTCACAGCAGCTGTCAGTGCTCAGACCAGATACAGCTTCTGTCTGACCTGTTGGTGTCACAGCAGCTGTCAGTGCTCAGACCAGATACAGCTTCTGTCTGACCTGTTGGTGTCACAGCAGCTGTCAGTGCTCAGACCAGATACAGCTTCTGTCTGACCTGTTGGTGTAACAGCAGCTGTCAATGCTCAGACCAGATACAGCTTCTGTCTGACCTGTTGGTGTAACAGCAGCTGTCAGTGCTCAGACCAGATACAGCTTCTGTCAGACCTGTTGGTGTAACAGCAGCTGTCAATGCTCAGACCAGATACAGCTTCTGTCTGACCTGTTGGTGTAACAGCAGCTGTCAGTGCTCAGACCAGATACAGCTTCTGTCTGACCTGTTGGTGTAACAGCAGCTGTCAGTGATCAGACCAGATACAGCTTCTGTCTGACCTGTTGGTGTAACAGCAGCTGTCAGTGCTCAGACCAGATACAGCTTCTGTCTGACCTGTTGGTGTCACAGCAGCTGTCAGTGCTCAGACCAGATACAGCTTCTGTCTGACCTGTTGGTGTAACAGCAGCTGTCAGTGCTCAGACCAGATACAGCTTCTGTCTGACCTGTTGGTGTAACAGCAGCTGTCAATGCTCAGACCTGATACAGCTTTTGTCCGACCTGTTGGTGTAACAGCAGCTGTCAATGCTCAGACCAGATACAGCTTCTGTCTGACCTGTTGGTGTCACAGCAGCTGTCAGTGCTCAGACCAGATACAGCTTCTGTCTGACCTGTTGGTGTCACAGCAGCTGTCAGTGCTCAGACCAGATACAGCTTCTGTCTGACCTGTTGGTGTCACAGCAGCTGTCAGTGCTCAGACCAGATACAGCTTCTGTCTGACCTGTTGGTGTAACAGCAGCTGTCAGTGCTCAGACCAGATACAGCTTCTGTCTGACCTGTTGGTGTAACAGCAGCTGTCAATGCTCAGACCAGGTACAGCTTCTGTCTGACCTGTTGGTGTAACAGCAGCTGTCAGTGCTCAGACCAGATACAGCTTCTGTCAGACCTGTTGGTGTAACAGCAGCTGTCAATGCTCAGACCAGATACAGCTTCTGTCTGACCTGTTGGTGTAACAGCAGCTGTCAGTGCTCAGACCAGATACAGCTTCTGTCAGACCTGTTGGTGTAACAGCAGCTGTCAGTGCTCAGACCAGATACAGCTTCTGTCAGACCTGTTGGTGTAACAGCAGCTGTCAGTGCTCAGACCAGATACAGCTTCTGTCTGACCTGTTGGTGTAACAGCAGCTGTCAGTACTCAGACCAGGTACAGCTTCTCCGTCTACCTTGTTACTCTTCATTTCACATTTGTGTTGTTTGTGTATGGCACAAGAAAATGACTTTTGTTTTCTTTTATTTTTTAAATGCTGTATTTATGCACATTGTGTAACAATATTTGAATCATTGGGAGTGGGACTGTTGAGTGAGTGTTTCACCCCTCCTAATGGTGATCATTGTTTAATAAAATATTTTACTAATGACATCTTTTCTTGTAACAGTGAATGTTCTGTTCTGTGTGGAAACTGTTACCTTAAACTGTTCCAAATGGTTTTAACTAGTATTTGCCACGCATGGATTATAGACGAATGTACTGTTAAACACTACATACGCATAAGGAGAAAATGCTAGTTGACCGTTGGTATGGGGCTAATTGAAAAGTGTCCTTTGGCCTCAAAGCTGAATCTTGAAAAACATGCAGGCAGCTGCAATTCACTCAACCTGTTTTAGGACATCAACAAAGGGAAAGTTAAATGAAGGACAGCATTTTCTACTACCAGATAGGAAGTTCTTTGTTATGACAGGGTGTTGTGTTCTTTAGCTTTCTCACAGTGTCAAATTTTAATGATTTATCATACTAATGTTGAATGCAGGTAGTTTGTCGCTCTTTCTGACAATTTTCAAAATTCTTAAAAGGTGTTAATGTTGGAAAATGTAGTTTGTAGAAAATATTTAGTTAAAAAAATACCAGGAAATATTTTTATCTTGTAACATGTCAGTCTTTTCTAAGGGGATATTGCCACCTAGATATATGACATACTGTCTATCTCTCCTCACATCAGTGGAGAGCATGGCATGGTCGCTTTATGAAAGTTTTCATTCTTGTTCATTAATGTCCAACAAAATCACTTCTTTTGTCTGTTCACATTTTTTACTCAACAATGAATAATGGACAGTAATATGCTAGAAGCATTGTTCCATCATGAAATGACACAATGTATTGAGTGGAGGCAAATATTCCAAAAAAGATAATATTTTGCCTGAATTCAAGACATGTAGTGGCGACATGATATATATATAAATTAAAGGTTAATGAACAACATAATATGCATTGTATATTTTAAGTCTTTATTATTAAAAGAAGGTAGTAATGTTTCTTAGATATGAGATGAGGAAAAGAAACTGAAAAATATGATACACAGCAGTTGATATTGAAATGGCATATATTTCTCAAGAAAGTTTCTTCCATGCTTGGGACACTGCTTCTTCTGGACACTGCTTCTTCTGGACACTGCTTCTTCTGTGTTTGGGAAACTGCTTCTTCCATGTTTGGGACACTGCTTCTCCCGTGTTTGGGAAACTGCTTCTTCCATGCTTGAGACACTGCTTCTTCGGGACACTGCTTCTTCTGTGTTTGGGACACTGCTTCTTCTGTGTTTGGGACACTGCTTCTTCCATGCTTGGGACACTGCTTCTTCCATGCTTGGGACACTGTTTCTTCTGTGTTTGGGACACTGCTTCTTCCATGTTTGGGACACTGCTTCTTCTGTGTTTGGGACACTGCTTCTTCCATGTTTGGGACACTGCTTCTTCTGTGTTTGGGACACTGCTTCTTCTGTGTTTGGGACACTGCTTCTTCCATGCTTGGGACACTGCTTCTTCCATGCTTGGGACACTGTTTCTTCTGTGTTTGGGACACTGCTTCTTCCATGTTTGGGACACTGCTTCTTCTGTGTTTGGGACACTGCTTCTTCTGTGTTTGGGACACTGTTTCTTCCATGCTTGGGACACTGCTTCTTCCATGCTTGGGACACTGTTTCTTCTGTGTTTGGGACACTGCTTCTTCCATGTTTGGGACACTGCTTCTTCTGTGTTTGGGACACTGCTTCTTCTGTGTTTGGGACACTGCTTCTTCCATGCTTGGGACACTGCTTCTTCCATGCTTGGGACACTGCTTCTTCCATGCTTGGGACACTGCTTCTTCCATGCTTGATGCATTGCTTCTCTTAAATGTACAACACTGTTTCTTCCATACTTAGGATACTGTATCTTTCACGTTTATGACACTGCTTATTCCATGTTTGGGACACTGCTTCTTAAAGTTTAGACACTGCTTATTCCATGTTTGGAACACTGCTTCTTCCATATTTGGTGTTCTGTTGCTCATAAGTTTACAACACTGCTTATTCCATGTTTAGGACACTGCTTCTTCATGTTTAGACACTGATTCACTTCATGCTATGTGAGATACTCAGCAATTGTGGTAGTCCATTGACAGCTGTAGAAAGGCTAGCCCTAACACCTCATGTAGAAAATCATACTGCCCCTGTAACAGGAAAAACTGCTTCATTGGATAATTGATGGGAACTATTGTATACAGAACAATTGTTACATTATCGACTGATTATGGTTTTCTTTAGTTCTGTGGGAAGTCAGGGATTATTTCAGGAGACAAATTCTCAAGGAATAGCAATAAAGAAATTAGGATCATCAATTTCATATGCATGACAGAGTAGAATGTAAAAGAATATTATTGAACGAACCAAAGTTTGAACCATGTTCATACGCTGATATCTGAGCCTCTTCACACACTGGAACACATCCACCACACCCTCCGCCATTGCCTGGTTGATCAGATAGTCCAGAGCAATGAATGTTCCAGTTCTACCAATGCCTGCACTACAAAGATACAAATATCATCAGACTATTAGATACTGTTGGGGCGGTCGGGTAGCCTAGTGATTAAAGCGTTTACTCATCATGCCGAAGACCTGGGTTTGATTCCCGACATGGGTACAATGTGTGAAGCCCATTTCTGGTGTCCTCCACCGTGATATTGCTGGAATATTGCTAACAGTTGAGTAAAAACATACTCACTCATAAGATTCTGTTGAAACTTATTATCAAAGATATTAAAACATACAACAGCTTCAGCAACCCAATAAGTTATCTCTGACTTTTCACCCAACACCCGATACAAACTATGGTTACCCCACAGTATTTTTATTACGAAAATGTAAATTTTGCCTCGAATATCCTTTCATCCATACAACCAACCCCAACTAACTCTTGCTATGATTCTACTACAGTCATCTGTTTCCCACATTCCACCGTGGATGTTGGTGATATTACCTGCAGTGAACAATTATGGGGCCATCACCAAATGTTGTCTTGGTATGGTTATAGAAATCCAGAAGAGAATGGCTACTGTATGGCAGTCCGTGGTCAGGCCATGCCGTGAAGTGGTACTGGCAAATCTGGTGTCCATGTCCACCTCCCTGAAACGAGAATGTCGAAGATGTTATGTGATGGCCGTGTACTCAAACACACTGAAATGTGACATATTTGTACAGAATGTTTACTGTGGCAATATCAATCTGAATACGAGGGCATTTGAGAGAATACATGTCCAAGCTACTTTTCTTATTCATGCAATGTGAAAAATAAGATATTCAACAAGACAATATGCATTAATACCATATTCATCATTTTAAGCCGGTTCCATTTATACGTGTCGGAAAATGTTTATGTCAGTCTCAACTCAGTCGGTTGGCTTGGTTGTTGGGGGAGCAGATTGCCTTGGTACTGTGGTTTTACACATGTTGGTACAATGGCCACTCCTCCACCTTTCCTATGGTAAATGTCCTGTATACTGTTCGCTCTTTTACCTGTTTTATGGTCAATGTCCTTTCTATTACCTGTGCTATGGACAATGTCCTGACCGTGTAGTCCATCTCGCTCTCCTCCTGGACTGTCTGAACACAACACCCGCCATATTGCCGAGCCGCTCCCACATCCGGCCAGTACTTCACACACTTCAACTGGATAACCATGACACAAAATAGTCATACAGTCTGTTTTCATATTTCTGTATCTACAGAAACAACTTAGTAGATATGAATTGTGTAAATATTTAAAGTATGATAATGCAATGCCATTCAGATTGAGAATAAAATTGTCATGACTACAAAACATACCCTGTCATTTTCAAAAATGTTTGTCAACATTATTATTGCTGTGACCTCGTATTGAAGAACCATGTTCCAGAAGTCCGCTGTTGTCTCTTGCAGAGGTCCTGTTTCAAAGACACAATTAAAAAACAGTTCACTGGGACTATGGGTCTCTGTCAGAAGAAATATAATTGCGTCCAAATCAAATGAAAGAGACCAATTCAAGGAAAACTCAAAAACAACTTTAAAGTTACAGTGACGATCTCAGATCTTATCGAAAATGATGTAGTAAAATTAGGTATACATGTATCATATCTTTCCTGATTCATTAATTAGTAGCGTGAATTCAATTATTTTAATTACATACACAGTATCATCGTTAAGCTCATTGCAAAGACAAGAAATTGCTCTTGAAAGCAGCTATGGTAATATTTGGTCACACATTAACATGAACAAACTGTTCTCACCTTGTGTGGCTATGAAGAATCCAGATTTTCCGTATCCCTGTGAATAAAAATCAGTATATCCCTTTGAACAAACTGTACATAAACATACATAATATATATTTAGAAATGGCATTATGAAGATAGCCGAATTAACACGTCTAATGCGCCGCAAGTCGCTGTGTATAGCCGCGTCCTTTTGGGTTCGGGGCGGTCGGGTAGCCCAGTGGTTAAAGCGTTCGCTCGTCACGCCGAAGACCCGGGTTCGATTACCGACATGGGTACAATCTGTGAAGCCCATTTCTGATGTCCCTCGCCCTGATATTGCTGGAATATTGCTAAAAGCGGCGTAAAACCATACTCACTCACTCACTCACTTTTGGGTACGCCAGCAACCTATGATCATGGGTTCGAATCTCGATTAGTCCCGATTATGTTTCTAGGTTTGTCAGAACCATACCAGTTCTACTGGGTTCCCCCAAAGTGGCAGAGGTCTGAGACCTGCCCCACTTCAGACCTCCCACATCAAGCAGACACCCCGTGATATAACTGGAATATTGTTCAAAGCGGAGTTGAACAGAATTCGCTCACTATAAGCTGACGAAAAGTTGAAATTCCAAATTCAAACACATGTTATATACATCCCTAATAAGGTAAGGAATTCATTTTGCACTCACCATTAGATACGATTGGAACATGAATGGTATTTAAAGGTGAACAAACATAATCAAAAAGTTAAAAATGCGTTCTATGTGTGTTGTGACTGAAGATGCAACAGTGTTGGTAAACTGTGAGCCAACATTTAACTCTAGGCACTGCATCAGCATAGCTTGTATACGTTCTCAGTTCTCTCCTGAAGGAATGAGTGAATGCCGTTATGCCTAGTTTGCAATAGTCAAGTCATACCACGGTGGTAAATAATGGGATCTTACTGCATGAGAAACAATAACGTCATCAGAGCAAGATGTTAAACTTTACTTACATTAATGTGGCTAGCGTTGATGTAATCACTAGCCCTGTTACTGTTCCGGAGAATTACCCGACAGTGATCGTCTGAAACGAATAAAGGCATTAATTTGCAAAAAAAATTAAAATAAAAATAAAAACAAACAAACAAAAAACAGTAGCGGCAATATGGCTAGATCATTCAAATAGGAATATTTATTTGCTAATCGCAAGACACAGAGCTGAACAGCCTTTTACTGTGAGGAACATCAAACATGGGTATGTATCCTTGTTAGAGATCAACTGTTAAAAATACTTCCACACAATTTTCGACATTGGTATGTATACATACACGGGTGCATGTTCTTGAATCTGTTCTGTGACAGGTTGACGGGCCTCTTAGCGTCCAAACACATTGCAAGCTCGCCTTTTGGTAGTTCCTGCAACAATAACGCACAGTTTTGAACAGTTTTCTCCTGCGATTATAATACAATAAACTTTAAATCATTCGTCCAAACTTTACACATCGAATTTACACATGATTTTCTACCATTCTGCTTTCAAGAATATATTCACCGCCATTGCAGACATTATCAAATGATATTTTAACAAGGATATGACTGATATGTGTATGCATGTAACTAACTTCAAACTGCTGTATGAACCCATCATGAAGCCTCATTCCGTGTAGGTATTCCATGAAATATCGCCAGTCCACTGCTGTTGTCTCGAGTCTAGGGGAACCCATCCCAACCTTTCCGCCACATGCTGGAGTCTTTGATTCACCCTCAAATGTCTCGTTCTTACAGTCATCTCTAACTAGCTGCAATCCTCCAGGTGATCGGAAGGTCTCTGATCCACCTCGTTGATGATCATAATATACGCTGAATCTCGGTATAGAAATACTCTTATCACTGTCTTTCCTTCGTATATGGTTGACGTTGGCATATCTGGCATCTTCATAGTTGTTCTGTCCAGTTCTGGAACATCCGATGGAGCTTCTTGACTGGTCTGATACATCGCGCCCATCACTTGTGCTGCTTCTATCGCGTCCCTCTTTGGGGGTGACCATGTGCTCCCTCTGCTGACCCCTGCTACGTTGTTGATGGTCGAGACGACACTGAGACACAGTCCTGCCGTTAGTAACACAGGGGCGATGGTGGCTTGTGTTGGTGTCATTGTTCAGTGTGTATGGCTTGACGCTGTTTCTCATATTACTGGATTTATCTAGAGCGAGGATTTCTTTCTGTGTTAAGCATGGTAAGATGTTGTTCTTTTCGTCGTATAGCGTCAGTCTTTTTGATCCGTAATAAAAATCTGAAAGATTCAATATGATTTAGTATGAAGATTATGCTATTATTAATTTTTTTTTAAATTTCACAGTTTACGAACATTATGCTGGCATCTGTCTCTCATTTGGAGAGTGTCCGCGCTTGGCTGTGTGCTTGTTTGAGATATGTACGTGTTTCGTTTAGTTGAATGAACACATGCAACTGCCCGTGTCTTACGTGTGGAGCCACAGGTGGCTCAGTGGTCTAATACGCCGCAATTAGCTGTACAGAGTTGCATCCCTTGGGTGCACCAGGAACCTGTAATCATGGATTCGAATCCTAGATTCGGCCTGATTATGATTCTTGGTTTGTCAGCACAATAACGTGCTAATGAGTTTAGACAGTGAATTATATGTGTAAGATCTGCATCACTTCGGGATCTAGTTGACACGCTGAAATTCTATTGAAAGCGGTGTTATGCAATTCACACTCACTCACTTACCCGAATTAACGCCGAATTCTTTGTTAATAGGATCAAATGAATCTGCCGAGGTTCTTCTTTTGCTTAACCATTTCAAACAGCACTGCAAGAGTTGCCCTTCGTCGTTCTCCCTTACTTGTCTCGTTCTGGAAAGACAAGTTACACATGAAAACGAAAGACAGAACGAGCGAACGGATGCAACCAGGAAGAGTAGTCGCTGAAACAAAGATATTTGTATAATGCTCACGAATCAGCTCATCCCCCGTTCTGCAACAATGTAGAAACTTTGTTAAGAATGTAAAGCTGACTTTAATGAGTGAGTTCTGTTTTACGCCGCTTTGAACAATATTTCAGGTATATCACGGCGTGTCAGCTGGTATGGGTGGGAACCCTAAAGTTATGAGGTTTTAGTGAATACCACTTTGAGGAAACCCAAGAGTACGGGTATTGGACTGACAAACCAAGAAACAATCAGGGTGAATCTGGGATTTTTAGTCAAGGGGACGCAATTTTGTATGGATGATTTGTCTTGGATGATTTAGCCATCCGTGTCCCTTTGTCATGAAGTATAACATAAATATGATCAGGGACATTTTACAATAAGGAAGTATGTAGTCGTTATGGGACAATGGCTGACTCACATGTAGCAAACACTCGCGTAGATCAGGTAACAGACAAGGAAACCAACTGCCATCACAAGTACGGTCATCAAGGTATGGAACACAGCTGTTCTGGTAGGTTCTGTAACAGATATTTGTATTAAGTTGAGTAACATTAGAGTTGACCGTGGGAATTGAAGTCCTTTAATATATAAGTATTTAACTAATCCGGGGTAGAATGGGTCTTCTGCGACCCATGCTTGCCGTGAAAGGCGGCTATGCTTGTCGTAAGAGGCGACTAACGGGATCGGGTGGTCAGGCTCGCTGACTTGGTTGATGCATGTCATCGTATCGAAATTGCGTGATCGATGCTCATGATATTGTCTAGATTTTTTACAGACCGCCGATTTTAAACAACAAACAAACAAACAAACACTATACAATTATCGTATATTTTAGGAGAGACCAACGTGATGCAGGTCAAAGGCGTTTACCACTTGTGACGCCACGGGCACCTGTACGGCGTTGACATGGATCGTAGTCAGGGCGAATCTTACATTCGCGCCACGATCCGAGGATCTTGGCACGCCTAGGGGACGTAACTCTGCTTGCGAATTGTACCTTACCTTTACAATTCTCCCCAGTCCAGCCCGGAACACACCTGTTGCACGTACCACTCTTCTGGTCACACGTGCTGCAATGTTTTGAACATCTAAAGGAACAGTTGTTACCATGGTAACTTGATATGCAGCCAGACACACATGTACCGGATATATTGCATTTTCTCTCTAAACAATTCACGCTACAGTTTCTCTCGCAATGCCGTCCATAAGTGCCCTTTGTACAGTCCATGCATGATCCCGACGATCTGTTACATCTGAGACAGGCTCCACCACAGGGGCGTTCACAATACTTCCCCCAGAAGCCAGCGCTACATCCGATGGAACATTTTATTCCAGATCGGTTATGACATTGGCCTTCCATACAGTTCCTGCTACAGGTTTGGTCACATGACCTTCCATACATCGTGGGAGTACAGCCCAATGAACATTTACCGGTTGATTGGTCACATACAGATGATTGACAGCCACTATTGCACGAGACATTGCAATGATCACCATAGTATCCTTCTTTACAGCCATCTATACATCTACCGTCATTAAACCTACATTTACCTTTGCAGTTGTCACAAACAATACACTTCTGTCCGTATCGTCCGTCTTTACACCCAGTGCAATTGTCTACATGTTGTAGACAGCTCGTGCACTGTTTGGGACACGTTTTCTTACAGGTGTTACCTTGAAATCCCACGGTGCAGTTGTAACACTTTCCGTTCTGGTGACATCTCCCGTCAAGACAGTTCACAGAACAAGACCGGTCACAGTACTTCCCATAGAACCCAGATTTACATCCATCGTCACATTCTCCACTAATCGTCTTACACTTCTGATTACAATTCTTTGGGCAAGCATCTTCACACTTCTCTCCAAAGGTGCCGTTCTTGCAGCCAAGGTAACAGGTCCCATCCTTGAAACATCTACCTAGGGAGCAATTACTGATACAACTCTCACTGCACGATGGGCCATACCAGGGCGAAGCTTGAAAATAGTTACTTGTGTTCACACACCCGTATTTACAGGTCCCAGTAGAGTAGTTACAATATCCCATCATGCAGTGCTGGTTACAGGTCATGTTGCAGCTGCCTTCTCCATAAAACCCCCGTTTACACGTCACACAACTTGAATTTTCACAGTTGTCTTCATGGTTACTCCATGTGCCGGCGGTAGAAGGAAGAAGCTTTTCGGTACCTACAATTATCGTAAAGCATCAAATATTAATATGAAATATGTAGCACAAGCCCTAGTAGCTCAAGCACCTACAATCCTATCCTGAGTTGTAAGTAGAGCGACAAATCCCTTTCCATATTCAATAGAAATCTCTGCATAAAGCAAAGGCGATTGTACGATTCCGATTATATAACAAGCATGTGTTTATGAATCCAAATCAAATAGTGATGGTACCAGGTGTTCGCGAAAAGGCGTGCGTATCCTGCCCCACAGGTTGCACCCGTCACAAACACATGCAATGGCAAGTCAATTGGTTACCCGAAAAAAACCGGGAACATATGGTACAAGTCAAAATAGGGAAATGCATCGGATATCATTTTTGTCACTGATGCGTCAAATTTGGAAATATCCTCCACATGACTACCATAAAACCTAAAAGTTTTACTGAGGCCTTGATAGTTTTAACCTTGATCAAAGAACTGATCAAGAGTGGTATGGCGCTCTTTGAAATCTTGGTAGAAAAAGCATGCTCGATTGTATCGCAAACGATGTAATTTGGTTTTGAACAAGAACTGTGATGTCATCAGAAAATAGTGAACTTGGACCAGTTGACAAGTATTACCATAGGAGAGAAAAACAAACATTAAGTCGCATCTGAATTTCCCCGAAAACATGGCATCAAATGCAAAGAATCAGCTAGAATTTAAAACAATAGTGAGGGAGGGAGTTGGGTTTAACACCGCTTTTAACAGTATTCCAGTTATATCAAGGCGTGTCAGCTTAATGTGGGAGGAAAGCCCGAAGGGATGCAGGCCTCAGACGTTTACCACTTCGGTGAAACCCACGAGCGCGGGTAAGGTGCTGACAAACCTAGAAACATAATCGGGGCTAACCTGGATTCGAACCCACAATCATAGGTTTCTGACGTGCCCAAGGGACGCAACTCTGCACAGCGAATCGCTGCGCCTTAGACGACTGAGCCACCCGTGCCCCCTTAAAACAATAACAGTAAATGTGAACAAAGTGGTACTGACCGATTACCATGATGAGATCCTCCTTGAAGTACAGGATAAGAACCAGCACCATCCCAAACTGTAGGTTTATGAAAACGTGTAGATAAAAACTATTTTTTTTATGACGAACATGAAAATGCACTAAACATATCTGATGTATGAAATGGTAAATGAAAAGGAAATAATAACTTGCCGAATTTATGTACTCCTGAACAATAAGGATATTAATTATAAGATGTTAAACGATCTTCACATTTCACATCATGTTTCTACCCCGAATGGTGTAATTTTTATACCTGCCCCCATGTTAGTCAGCTTTAGGTAAATATGTATATATACCATTCCGCTCGGGACATAAATTTGATATGAAATGCGAAGGTAGACTAATAGCCTATAAGTTAGGACGGTGAAATATGTAATTATGACGATGTGTATGTATCGGTATTGTTGTTAGTTGTATGTTACAATTTTTTTACATGTAAAAGTATGCATCCACATACTCCATACATACACCACCACCCCCTATCGACCCAATCACCTTCCACGTCCTAAATATTACCCCCACTCCTACACAATCCACATACTAGTATATTATCGTACATCATTGCTACTGCTTTATAAAATGATATATTATAACTAAAATAAATTAGAATACAATAAAAATATAACATAGATTAAAATAGATTAATTAAATGAGGAAAAAGCCTAAATAAAAGAGTATTGCTGCTAATAATAAAAAGATGAAATGAAACATAAAAAGAAAAGGGTTATAACATATTGCATTAAAATGAGCCTTTGAAAGGCATTTAGAAGTGATACACACAAGGAAGAGAACTGATGGATGTCAACTTCTTTATTATGAGGAACACAACGTTTCGGAGTATATACTAAACCTTTCATCGTGTGAATGATCTGACGAAGGAGTAAGTATATACTCCGAAACGTTGTGATCCTCATAATAAAGAACTTGACATCCATAAATTCTCTTCCGTATGCATTAAAATGATATACAAAAGCCTACATGAATTATAAAATGATACAAATGAACAAATAACTGCCAAATTCCCACATTAATGTGCTGTTATGGCAAGAGGGACCTCAAGTGGGAAAATGTAATATATTATATCAAGGGGCAGCATTAAGGATGAAGACATACACAGAAGATCTCCACATATTCGACACTTACCTGCTGCCTAGAGGACATTCTGTATCGTTCTGCAGGCTCCTGCACTGTGAGGCATTGATACAAGGCTGGAGTGTGAGGCACTGATACAAGGCTGTACTTTAGGGTACTGATACAACACTGAGGATTGTGCGTTGAAAACAGGATGTGTGACGCATCACATTACGTTAGAGACTGTCTACAATAGGTTTCGTTTTCCCGGTATCTCGCTCCCCACGTAGTGTACCGCTCGCTCTGCGTAGTAAAATAATTTCAAAGGCCCAGCCGCGTGGGCTGTACTCATGCACAGATGTTAGAAACATATTAAGTTGCAAATTTTGCTTGTCGGGTTATCAGGTGCAACCAGTGCGCCATGAAATACACCCTTCAAAAAAAGAAATGCACAGGTAGTGCAAAAAATTCCGGTATATAAATTGGATAGATGTTATAGGAAAATGTTGGTGGCCTGATATTCGACACACGGTGCGTCAAAACGCAGCCATTGTCGATTTGCAATGTCTTAAACGGCATTGTTTTCACACTTGTTCAAAAACGTCATGGAGGAAAACAGTAAAGCCAAATGCACGGGCAAGTTATGGCATTCGTAACTCGTTGTAGTGGCTATAAAAAGGCAAGCATAAGCCAAGAATTTGTCATTCAATTGTCAACATTTTTCATGTTCGAAAATGCCGAGACTCAACGCTGCCGATCGGAACATCGCCATAGGACGTATCCAAAGAGGGGAATCGCAGTCTTCTCTTTCCCGCCACTTCAACGTCCACCACGTCCCGCCTTTGTGACCGATACACACAGTTCAATTCGACTACAGACCGTCCGAGAACCGGACGACCACGAGCTACCGCCCCAACTTGGAATTTAAGAAACTGGAAACGAGTGTGGTTAAGCGATAAATCACGATTTCTTCTTCAACGGCGAGATGGAAGACAACGTGTTTATCGTCGTCGTGAATTCGACAAATTCGGTGGCGGTAGTGTCATTCGGTGTCGGGGGCAATATCCTACACCACGAGATCTGAATTGATTGTGGTTCAGGGACATTTGACAGCAAATCGCTACATGAATCAAATTCTTCAACCCCACCTTCTTCTCTTCCAATCATTTACCGCCAGAGGGAGCTGTTTCAACAGGACAACGCCCCACCGCACACAGCTCCTGTCACGGTTGACTACCTTTATAATGCCAACATCAACGTTTTGCCCTGGCCGTCGAGATCTCAGGATCTCAACCCAATCGAACACTTCTGGGATGAACTCGATCGACGTGTACGTCAACGCCAGAACACGCCACAGACACTTCCATAACTGGCCAACGCGTTACAATCAGAATGGCGCAGAATGGCGCAGAATTCCGCAGGACAGAATTCGTACATTTATCCAGTCAGTGCAGAGGAGATGCAGAGCCGTGATTGCTGCCCGGGGCGGTCACACGAGATACTGAGTTCAGCGCCACCTAGAGGCCTTATGTGACATGACAATGAACAATTTTCAATGCCTTTGTACAACGACAAAATTTCATATTTGTATCTATGATATTTAAATGAAATTTATCGACTTTAGGTACAATACATTTAGTAAAAATCTACCTGTGCGTTTCATTTTATGAAGAGTGTACTTTACAAGTTCATACAGTTATTGGAATGTCAGGTGTTACTGGCAAACAAAGTAGATACAGCACAAGACGATGGACAAAGTACGACGCAGGCTAAGCCAGGCTGTGGAACAATCCAACTTGACACGTGGATTGATGATTGTCCTCTTTCATTCACGAGAGCCTTTCATTCAATGTTATGTTATGATTTACACATGTCTCCTCCTTAAACTTTTATATGAATGTTAAACAACCTTTTCTTCATGGTGCTGATGGTGGTGCGTGTGGTGCGTGTGGTACGTGTCTGCGTGGTGGGGGGAGGAGAGAGAGTTGCGTCCTTCATGCGTACTCGTCGGTTTTCCCATTGTGGTAAACGACATAAGGCTTGCTTTACTTCCAGCTTACCTCCAGCTTACCTCCCTGATAAAGATGGCACGTCGTGGTGTAACTGAAACACTGTTTAAAGCGGCGTTAAACCCAATAGTTATAGTTTTCACTTATAGTTTTCTTCCCTGATCAAATGAAAAAAAACATGTCAAATAAATCAGGGAGGGCAGTTTCATACCGTCAGCAGTAATGCAGCAATACCACGACCACAGAGACATGCTTAGTAAAGAAACTTCAATGACAATCGGTGTGAAACCAAACTTCAACCCGCGCGTTATGCGTAATTATACTACTATAATAAGAATAATCCGACCGTTTCCTGGTCACGACATCACGGTCACATTGTAACACCAGACTAGGTCAATAGTAATACCGATTAACGAGGGTAGTATGCAATATGCATTGCTGCTACCAAAACCTGCCGTTGCATTCTCAAACGGAGAAAATATATTTTGTACATCAACCATGTCATTCTTTTAAAATGGTAATATAAATATATATAAATAAAACGTGTCTGTCGTTCCAATCCATGAGCATCGATCCACGCAATTGGGATACGATGACATGTATCAACCAGGTCAGCGAACCTGACCACCCGATCCCGTTAGTCGCCTCATGCGATAAGCAGAGTCGCGGCAAGCATGGGTTGCTGAAGACCAATCTTACCCGTTTCTTCGGACTGGGTTTACTTCAGCCTGTAGGATATTGGTTAAGGGGACTGAGATTACTTCAGGCTATAGGATAGCGGTTACGTAGACTGAGTTTACTTCAGGCTGTAGGACATAGGTCCTGGGGACTGAGTTTACTTCAGCCTGTAGGATAGATGTCAGGGGGACTTAGTTTACTTCAGCCTGTAGGACATAGGTCCTGGGGACTGAGTTTACTTCAGCCTGTAGGATAGATGTCTGGGGGACTGAGTTTACTTCAGCCTGTAGGATAGATGTCAGGGGGACTGAGTTTACTTCAGCCTGTAGGATAGATGTCAGGGGGACTGAGTTTACTTCAGCCTGTAGGATAGATGTCAGGGGGACTGAGTTTACTTCAGCCTGTAGGATAGATGTCAGGGGGACTGAGTTTACTTCAGCCTGTAGGATAGATGTCAGGGGGACTGAGTTTACTTCAGCCTGTAGGATAGATGTCAGGGGGACTGAGTTAACTTCAGCCTGTAGGATAGATGTCACGGGGACTGAGTTTACTTCAGCCTGTAGGATAGATGTCAGGGGGACTGAGTTTACTTCAGCCTGTAGGATAGATGTCAGGGGGACTGAGTTTACTTCAGCCTGTAGGATAGATGTCAGGGGGACTGAGTTTACTTCAGCCTGTAGGATAGATGCCAGGGGGACTGAGTTTACTTCAGCCTGTAGGATAGATGTCAGGGGGACTGAGTTTACTTCAGCCTGTAGGATAGATGTCACGGGGACTGATTTTACTTCAGCCTGTAGGATAGAGGTCACGGGGACTGAGTTTACTTCAGCCTGTAGGATAGATGTCACGGGGACTGATTTTACTTCAGCCTGTAGGATAGAGGTCACGGGGACTGATTTTACTTCAGCCTGTAGGATAGAGGTCACGGGGACTGAGTTTACTTCAGCCTGTAGGATAGAGGTCACGGGGACTGAGTTTACTTCAGCCTGTAGGATAGAGGTCACGGGGACTGAGTTTACTTCAGCCTGTAGGATAGAGGTCACGGGGACTGAGTTTACTTCAGCCTGTAGGATACAGGTCACGGTGACTGAGTTTACTGCATGATGTAGGATACAGGTCACGGTGACTGAGTTTACTGCATGATGTAGGATAGAGGTCACGGGGACTGACGCATGGATAAAATGATCTCAAAGGTTCTGATCGTCATGACCCCGGACATCGAATACAGTTCTGTGTACCAATACCAGTGACCGGGATAGTGTAATGCAAATACTTGAATATCGGTCCTGACTTAAGTAAATGCGGACATATCATACAGGTAACTGTGTCTTTTTTTGCGTTATGAAACTCGTTGTGACATTATATTTATTCAAAATATAGTTATATATACTGTAACGCATAGTTAAACTTGGTTAACTCAAGTCACTTGGACCTAGTACCTACTTGTCGAGTAATTCTCAGTTCGAACAACCTGAGTACTTATACCAGACCACAGTGCCCACGTGGATTCAACCAGGACCATGACGTTGCATTGAGTTTCTGACTCGTTCTGCAGTCGCAGCAAGCAGCTGACTTACGAGAGTGAGAGTGAGTGACTTCAACGCAACCTTTAGCAATGTCACAAGGAGGAACAACAGAGAAGTTATCCATTGTACCCACCTGGGTGGGTGTACTGACTCCGAGCAGACAAGTCCTTGTTTTAGACCCTTAATGGCAAGCGCCGGCAAGGTAACAACAAGTACCATATTTTAAAGTCTTTTGGTTTGACGCGGCCGGGGATCGAAGCCAAGACCGTCCATTCTCCAGAGGCGGCCATGGAGGCTGTCTAGTGGAAGGGAAAACAACATACCTCAATACAAAAGAGAACAAGTTTATTTGGACTGATGACTATGTACATACTATACACAAGGAAACAAGGAACAATTCGTAGATTCACAAGCCAAATGTAACTGCAATAAGTAAACTCTGGACGTGTACGCGGGAAAGACGGACACACAATATTACAATGCTGGGTAGAGCACTTCACAGGGTGGACACAACATTACAATGCTGAGTACACACCGCACGGGCTAGATACTTCTTCACGTGACATCTTGACACCTTGGGTTATCTTCAGTTGACCTCAGTTCAGGACTCATTGACTGTAAAGCCAGCGCCAACACGTCGTGCAGTAGCTCATACTCACCCTGGGCAAAAATGTTCATAAATGTTGAACGTTTGGACAAATTTTACGCCACATTATTTTTTTTCTTATCCTTTTTCTTTTTTTATTCATCTCAGCAGGTACAGTATATATATACACGTCATGTCAATAAAATTGTGGTACATGGTATTCAAGAAGTGCAATCTTTTCATACATATGAATTATATATATATCCCCGTTTTAAACACACCCAAGGGAGGCAACTCCACACAGCGAATTGCGGCACCTGAGACGATAAAGCCACGTGTGCCCCTTTATCATGAACAGTTTGTTCGTTTTATTTGTTTGTTGTTTAACGCCGCATTCAGCAATGTTCCAGCCATATGACGGCAGTCTGTAAATAATCAAGTCTCGACCAGAGAATCTAATGATTGGCATCATGAGCATCGATCCACGCAATTGGGATACCATGCCATGCATCAACCACGTCAGCGAGCCTGACCACCCGAACCCGTTAGTCTCCTTTCATCATGAAAAGAATCAAAAAGTACATTGCATCACTATACCTGGTGGTGAATCATATTCATACGCTGGTATCTAAGTTTCTTTACACACTCGAAAACGTCAACAACACCCTCCGCTGAGGCCTGGTCCAGCAAATAGTCCAGAGCAATGAAGGTCCCCGTTCTCCCGACTCCGGTACTGAAAACACATCAACTCTACAACGTGTATACACTAAGGGCTGTTCAAACAGGGAAATAGCTCAGTAGCTCAGTAGTAAATCCACAGCTTCAAGATTCAAGTGAACATTAAAGAACCAATTGCCTAACGTGACATTAGTCAGAACGTAAGGCATCATGGTTCGTGGTTATCATTCATAGGTATAGTTAGAGACGACCATTTGATACTCTTGGGGGTCCCTGGGGTCTTATCGAAGAAAAGATTGTCCCAGAAAATGCTTGAAAATAATAATTTTGCTTCAGATTTTTGGTAAGAAAGTAGATTGTCTGTAATAAAACCATTTGTGCAAGGTGTTTTTAAAAAAATATAATTATTTAGACTCATATATCTAATAAAACAAATGTCTGGTTTTACGGATGGAACTGAAAAAAACATGTGGTCGACAAAATCGTAGCAGTTCCCCCTTCCCCCCCCCCCCCCCCCCCCCCCCCCCCCCCCCCCCCCCCCCAAGAATATTAAATGGTCGGTCCCCTATCTACCTGCAGTGCACAACGACGGACCCAGCACAATGCGCCACCTTCACCTCCGTGTAGAAGTTGAGGAGAGACTGTGTGTCCACTGGTTGGCCGTAGTCAGGCCAAGCTGTGTACTGGTAGTGGGTCAACATGTTGGGGTCCTTGCCATGCTGCCAATGTTAGAGGTAGGAGAGATCACCTACTAGTATTTGGATTAAGATGTATTTCTAAGATGTTCGAGTATACAAGTAGACTCTACCCGCGGTCTGGTACCAATTTCTGCCTTGTTCCATTTTAACTGATGCCACGGGAGCAACTTGTGATTGTGCGTGTTTAATTCGGGGTTAATTAGCTTCTATGCAAAGTGCTGTCTGTGGGACTTGAATCCCAATTTCTTGGGCTAGTCCCCCATTACCTTAATACTATACAAAGTGATATCCACTCCACTCTAAATAGAAGTTCTATTGTATTAGACGTTCCAGATTGACGTGGAATGTGAGCACCAAAAGGACTGTCTAACAAATATTTCACTTAGGCTCAACCCAAGAAACGGACACTGAACTTAAAGATCACGAACCCTGGACCAACCTGTCCCGCTACTACAAGCGACGCAACTTTGCACAGTGAATAACCGGGAAAATATAGAGTAAATAAACATGTAGGAGCATCGAACCTTATTGCTGTAACATCCTCTTAGGGATGTTTTAAAAGTTGAACAACAATCAGAAATAAAGCACTCCAAAAGACCCGTCCTTTCTTTATACGACCTTGTGTACCTTCGATATGGAAAATGTCCTGACAGTGTAGTCCGCTCTTGTCACTTCCTTGTCATTCTTGACACGCAAGTCGTCATATTGGTCAAAACACTCAAGATCTGGCCAGTACTGACTACACATCACCTGTCAGACAAATACACGTTAGATTTCTAACATATGTTACAACCGCCTCCATGCGGATAGAGTCTGGTCGGAGAGCGGAAGGTCGTTGGATTGATCCCCTTGCCGCGTCTTACCAAAGGATGCTAAAGGATGGTACATCTACGTCGTGATATAAGTGCAATAAAAATTGAACCCCATTTCACCTCACCAATGACTTGTTACAGTCGTTAAGAATCACACAGATCCCTTCCTTAAAACCGAGGTGCTGTCACACACAGTGATAATAGTTATTTAGACATTGTTCACAAAGGGTCCGGAATGCGAAAGAGCTTGTTTCTTCCTGAAGGAAGAACATGCCACCAAACAATAAAAGATGTTGTTACCAGGAGACACATTTATATTTGTGTCCAGCATCAAACTATGAAAACTGCAAAATTCAGATACCTACGTCACAAAGACTTACCCTGCCGTTTTCATGGAAGTTTGTCAACATGACGACGGTACTAGCCCCAGCTTGGAGTACCATGTTCCAAAAATCTGGTTTTGTATCCAACAATGGTCCTGTTGAATATAAGTTCAACAACACTGTACACATTCAGTAGCTGAACGATTCTCTTGTATTCCTTTTAAATGATCTTATAAGAGAAAACACACTGTCCCATGTTTATCACATGCACAATACATCATACAATCTTGTCAGCATCGAGTGATCAGTATTTAGACAGAAGCATTACGCCAGGTTCTGAACTACTAAAAAAACCATGAGCAATAAAACAATAGGACAATAAACAAAACTACAAATGAGAATTGCTTATCAACATTCATATCAAGTGTATTTACAAACAAGGATAAATGAAAACATGGAATGAGCCCAAAGCTGACATATTTACTCCGTCGTCTAACCAATCATTAACGACTTAGCATTACGCAGTGTTATTCGAGAGCGTTATATGTGGTGTTATACGAGTGTGGTTTATGTGGTGTTATACGAGTGTGTTATATGTAATGCTATGCTAACTACGGGTACCATTCATTTCTAAGTTTCTAAAGTTCGAGATATTACTGTACTAACACTTCTACTAACATTTATAAGGCTTATTTAATGACGCCATATTCCATCCTACAGGGACACATACTAACCTTGGGAAGCAATGAAGAAACGCCGTTTTCCATAGCCCTGAAACATTAAACATTGATTAAACATCTCTTATATACACATATCATCTTCGTCGCTTTTTCTTCAGAATCTATATAATTAGTTCAGCTGTTTATATGGGTTTTTTTTAGTTTTATGCAAACATATAACGTTATATTGTATGTGAAAGTTTGGAATGTTGAACTTTGTTGTGTAAAGGAAAGCATTGTTCTGATGGAGAGATTAATGTAACAAGTATTTCAATATGAAAAGAAAAACATCCCTTTTCATAAACGTGAAAGTTGCACTTGTCTTTCAAATATCAGTGGCTCATTAGTCACTGTTATAGTTGGTTGAGAACAATGGTATTCCTTGGTTGACAAAAGAACAAAGGCTGGTTTCAGTTTCAGTGTCGTGTTGTTGGATTCACAGTAACGGGGAAGGAGACGTGTGTCTAGTCCGCCGTTAGTCTGCACCATCACTATTGCACATACCTCAGGAAGCAACCATTTGATTTTCGGCGGGGGGGGGGGGGGGGGGGGGGGGGGGGTTGTCTATAAACAGTATGTATTTTATTATTGAGAAGTCTTATTCACAGCTACTTTCGTTTGTCCTCCACAACTTCTGTTACCTGACCAAGACCAAGACCTGAGAAAGGGGTCTTGTCAGCCTTGGTCGGTTCATCTCATGGGAGAAGGAAAACTGTCCAAGACAACAAGGAGGAGGAAGAAAGAAACTCAAGAAGCCAGCTCTTATGTTGGGATGCTGGAATGTTTGCACCATGACGGTAGAGTTGTCAGGGGACCTCCTAACTCTGAGGACTGCTAGTGGACATCACCATGCTATCTGGAGCTGATCAAACCAGAAAGCATGGCGTCGTCTTTGCTGTCAAGGACTCAATGCTCAGAATGATGGAGTCTGGCAAGAATGGAATGGAGAGGCTTCTGACCCTCCGACTCGTCACATCCAACGGGCCTCATCAGCGTGTTTAGGATAGGATCATCCAAGGTGTATAGCACTGCACCAAGAAAGACATCGGTCCAACTAAAAGCAAACGATGTCCATGAAATCTGCAACAGGCACTGCAATTTGAGTGACCCCAATTAACTGAGGTAACCACTTTTCTGGCAACCAGGGTTGACTAGATTCAACCTTAGTTAACCAGCCTTAATCAAGGGGAACTTTGCTCATCACCCACAATAAAACCCATAAAATGCAACCTTGGTTCAAATGATGGCTGCTTGGATAAGGAGAATCTCAACAGCCATTGCCATAACACACAACTGTGACAGGTTGACAAGTGTTTCATTGCTTGACAAAGCTGCAATTGTTCCTTTTCTAGTCCTAGTTAATTTAAAACAAGAAAACTTAAACTGACGTGTAGAACGTCAAACCCAGATAAAAAATAATCATCAAAGTTGCATTATTGATTCTTAAGTATTATCTATATCAACAATCGAAACATAAATTTCCCTGACACATGTCAGAATACATATTTACTATCAATACCTTGTTAATTTATTTATAAAAATTCTTTTCTTCATGAATGAATAAATAAATGAAACTAATTAGCTTAAAGATGACGTCACTTGGAGCCTGCTAACCAGAATCACGCATCCCAGGGTTTCAGTAGGTATGGTCAACTTAGGACAACAGAAGTTAACATGAGCAAACATTGGTCAACCAAGGTTAACTTCGGTTCACTTGGGACATCCAGGGTTTTGAAATCGACCACAAACAGATGTAGAGATGGGTTGAGCTCTACTCACAACACAACATCTCTGACTCTGCCCTGGGAGCCATTTAGTGCCTGCCAGTAATGAAGGAGGAGGAGGAACTGAGCATGGTCATCGAATGGCTGTTTTTCTGGTTAGCGCTCGAAATGGATGGGATACCTCCAGAGGCCATCAACTGCGGAAAGGGTCTCCTTCTAAGCCACCTGTATGAACTTCCGTGTCAGTGTTGGGAAGAGGGAGTGGTGACCCATGGCATCATAGACTGCAACATCGCCACCTTAAGCTTGTATTTCAGCCTACAGCGATCGCCATTAACGCCATGAACTGGAGGTCGTGAATGAGTTCACCTATCTTGGCTCCACCTTGACACATAATCTGTCCTTCAGACTGACGAAGAGAGTGTGGTAGAAAGGCAGACAACACACACTAAAATTGTTGACTACAGAGCTTGCCTCTAAAGCACATTCTCAGTGAGCCTTAAACCCTCTCCTCCAGACAAGAAAAGAATGTCAATGCCTTCTACATGAGCAGCCTGAGGCGCATCCTCGGAATTACCTTGAGTGACCCAGTTTTTTTTCATGGCACGGTCCTAATTTTCTTCTCCCTGCTCCAACAACACCCACTCCATTGGCTCGGACAAGTCTGTCGCATGCAGGACAGGACAAGGCCGAAGAGGACCTCTTGTATGGTAAGTATCAAACAAAAGGGCATCTTTGAATACGTCTGCAAATGGGACGTGAGCTCACTGGACGTTAAGAGGTGTGAGGAACTCGCTGAAGAAATGAAACGAGTGTCTAAAGAATACAGTTCGATCTTTTTATTTATTTAAAACAACTAATAGAGCATCTGCTTATGTTGAAAAAAATAATTGAGTAGTCAGCTCCTTGACTCTACTTTGCTTTGGATTTTCTTCAACATCAATTGGTGTTTGAAATACAAATAGAAAGGAAAAGAAAAACCAATGAAGGTATTTAAATTGATTTTACATGGTCCAGTAGTTATTTCACTTTCTGACATGCTGGGAACATTATTTTACAGGCACAGCAGGAAGTAAAAAGTGTTTCAATATATGTTCAGAATTTAAGTAGGCTGATAAAACAAGCGCCTTAGTTACAGTTCACACTGAAATAATGAACGAAGAGTTGTACACTTGAAGTCTTTAACAGCAGACAGGGTGTACCAATGATACACAATAATGACACGTAGAAATAAAGTAAGGGCAAGTCGGGATGTTCGACAAAGTTGCGTTTCATAAAGCTCCAGTAATATGAACTCTCTCTTCCTTTTACTCTTACTCACACATACACGCAAACATACATGCTACAAGCTCTCCACCCATGTCTGTAGGTCGAGTGTGTCATACATTCAGTTGTACAGCTGTACATACATTTATGAAACTGGCGTTGATGTAGTCCTTCCCTCTCTCACAGTCCCCAGTTTGCAGCTTCACGCGCGAATGATCATCTAAAAATGATACAATGTATCCATGACAATAATGACATCATCAACAATCATGAATGTTTGCTCATAACAGTTGTAACATCGCTGATAAATAGGTTACGCTTTAGCAATTTTATAAATATAATACGAAAGAATTTCGCTCTTTCATGGCTGCATTTAAAAGCTTGTATTGATGAAGCACACAATATACTTACAGGGAAGTATGTTCACGTATCTGTTCTTAGGGAGGTTCGTTGTTGTCTTGCTCTCCCAACATACGGCAAGCTCCCCAGCCGGCAGCCCCTGAAGAAATAACATAAACAAGAGGACATTGAACAAAAGCATCCTGAAGAGGAGTGAGTGAGTGAGTGAGAGAGAGAGAGAGAGAGAGAGAGAGAGAGAGAGAGAGAGAGAGAGAGTGAGTGAGTGAGTGAGTGAGTTGGGTTTAACGCCGCTTTTAACATTATTCCAGTTATATCACGGCGTTTCAGCTTAATGTGGGAAGAAAGCCCAAAGTGATGCAGGTCCTAGACGTTTACCACTTTGGTGAAACCCACGAGCCCGGGTATGGTGCTGACAAACCTAGAAACATAATCGGGGTGAACTGGGATTCGAACCCACAATCATAGGTTTCTCGCGTGTCCAGGGGACGCAACTCTGCACAGCGAATCGCGGCGCCTTAGACGACTGGGCCACCCGTGCCCCCTCCTGAAGAGGATAGTGTCACGATCAGATAGGTTACCACCAAACTCAACAACTACAAAACAGCTCATTTGTGACATAATGGCGATAAATGCTATGCAAATACTATTAAAGGGGAAGTGTACACGCAAAAGTTACTTTCTTTCTTTTTCTAAACAAAACGCAATTTTAGAATTAGTTAGTATCTGTGTTTGAAAATATACACTCTTTTTTTCACAGTGAAAGTAGGAAGCTCACAATAGTGTGAAAATGATATGCCGTTATGAGGCCTTCGTTTTTCGAGCTAAACAGGCCTGAGTTATCCCCCTTAGATTATGACGTAATTGGTGCCAATTCAACTGGGTCCCTGTCTATTCTCAACGCAAAAGATATCAAGTACCAGTTTGCGGTAAAACAACATGGCCTACGACACACTCCGGCGCAGTGGTGACTCAGCATAACACTATGCTAGCTGGCATCTGAGAAGCAAGAATCACACAACTGTACCTACACCACGTGAAGCGGCTCTAACAAAGCATGATGACGTCATAATGTTTATCAATTGGCACCAATGACGTCATATTGCAAGGGGCATAAGCCATGGTGTTTTTGTTATGGAAATAGAACACTTGGTAAATGTGAAAAATATAAATAGCTTTAATGCGAAAACTATGTTGATTAATTGTGATATTTTTATATTTTTGTCTATGACACTTCTAGGTTTACACTTTTAATGTGGAAAAAATACAAGAAATATAGGTTCATTTCCGTGTGAACTTGCCCTTTAAGCTATCGTCAATGAAGTATTAGCTACCTCGATATCAGTTACAGCCTTATATTGTGCTTCTATCAATCATTTATGGATGACTAATGGTGATTCAGAAGTAAAATATCCCTTTTGGAATAACAGTATCTGTGCAATCCGTACTTTGAACTGTTTGTAAAATCCACTTTGTCGTTTCAATCCGAGCACATAGTCACTGAACGATTGGCAGTCAAATTGTGTTTGGTTGGATTTGTCTTCCCGAATATTCACAATGGATGACGATATGCGTGCAGCAGAAGACCTGTCCAGGTCCGTTGATGTTGTAGCAGAGGACACTCTTCCACAGATATCATTACACTGTGGTCCTACATCAGAAGTACCGTTATCTCCAGCTCCAGTCAGATACAGAGCTATTTCCTCATCCCCTGTATTGATGGGCTCTGACTCTTCATCTAGATTGAACGATAAAAGGATAGTGTCATTAAAGGGAACCACGATATTCATATATCCTCTACATGAAACTTGCATTTCACACTTTAAATACGCCTTTTACCTCTGTAAACTTGCGCAGGCCAAGGATAAAACTGACATCTGTTAATTAGGTATTCATTTTCTAATAACACTAGATGCCGCAGGGAAAGTCCTGCAGCATTAATAAGTCTCAACAAAGTCACAAAAAGCATCCCTTACATGCGTATGATGCTTGTCTGGGTGTTATATCAAAAGAATAATTTGTTGGTTTGGTATTCTTACAACATCGGCAACAACCTTTGTTGCTCTTTTCTTGTCCTCGAGGCGTCCTGCATGTGGAAACGTGACAATCAGAAATATACATCAAGATTGGATACAAACAGTTCTAAGAGCATCATGTCATAAATCTTCTATTTGTCAATTCCATTTTAAAATTTTATGTTTGTATTCTGCACGTCCTGTAATCAATTGGAAAATGAGCGATTAGCCTTCATTTGCCGAAATAAAATGTAAACATGAAGGCAAAGATTATTGCATGCATAATTTGATTTTATAGGTAAAATAGCATTAGCATTTCTAGAAATATGGCTCCCAATGATAAGTGAGCGCTTGAAACAAGCCACAAACATGAGTGAGTGAGTATGTTTTTACGCAATATTCCAGCAATTTCACGGCGAATACCGGCTACCCGACCGCCCCGCTACAAACATGAGGAAATATCTAAGTTTACTGCTTGCCGCAGGATACAGAACGTACCTGCACTTCACAGCAAGAAGAATGATAGTAAACACAACCGACACCAGAAGGAGGGACATCAGTGCATAAAACACAACCGTCTTAGTTGAACCTGGTAATAATAAACAACACAAACTAATATATTTGTGATTTTCACAGAATTACTTTGAGGCATTTTTTACGAAAGTTTTTCCCATTTTGAGAGTACAATACACGTTCCTCACCTTCACACTGCTCCCCGGTCCAACCAGTGACACATTTGGAGCAGGTCCCACTCTTCTGGTCACATGTACTGCAATGTTTTGAACATCTAAAGGAACAGTTGTTACCATGGAAACTTGATCTGCAGCCAAACACACATGTTCCGGTAATATTGCATTTTCTCTCTAAACAATTCACGCTACAGTTTCTCTCGCAGTGGCGTCCATAAGTGCCCTTAGTACAGTCCATGCATGATCCTGACGATCTGTTACATCTGGGACAGGCTCCACCACAGGGTCGTTCACAATACTTCCCCCAGAAGCCAGCACGACATCCAATGGAACATTCTATTCCAGATCGGTTATGACATTGGCCTTCCATGCAGTTCCTGCTACAGATTTGGTCGCATGACTTTCCATACATCGTGGGAGTACAGCCCAGTGAACACTCACCGGTTGATTGGTCACATACAGATGATTGACAGCCATTGTTGCACGAGACATTGCAATGATGACCATAGTAACCTTCTTTACAGCCATCTGTACATCTACCGTCATTAAACCTACATTTACCTTTGCAGTTGTCACAAACAATACACTTCTGTCCGTATCGTCCGTCTTTACACCCAGTGCAATTGTCTACATGTTGCAGACAGCTCGCGCACTGTTTGGGACACGTTTCGTTACAGGTGTCACCTTGAAATCCCTCGGTGCAGTTGTAACACTTTCCGTTCTGGTGACATCTCCCGCCAAGACAGTTCACAGAACAAGACCGGTCACAGTACTTCCCATAGAACCCAGATTTACATCCATCGTCACATTCTCCACTAATCTTCTTACACTTCTGATTACAATTCTTTGGGCAAGCATCTTCACACTTCTCTCCAAAGGTGCCGTTCTTGCAGCCAAGGTAACAGGTCCCATCCCTGAAACATCTACCTGGGGAGCAATTACTGATACAACTCTCACTGCACGATGGGCCATACCAGGGCGAAGTTAGCGAATAGTTGGTCGTGTCCACACACCCGTATTTACAGGCCCCAGTGGAGGAGGTACAATATCCCAGCAGGCAGTGCTGGTTACAGGTCATGTTGCAGCTGCCTTGTCCATAAAATCCCCGTTTACACGTCACACAGCTTGAATCTTCACAGTTGTCTTCATGGTTACTCCATGCGCCGGCAGAGTGCGCAGAAGGAAGAAGCTGTGTGGTACCTACAATTATCGTAAAGCATCAAATATTAAAATGAAACATGTAGCACAAGCCCCAGTAGCTCAAGCACCTACAATCCTATCAGTGAGCCTAGTAAAACAATCCAATTAGAACAGGAATATTGATGCCATTGTCGTGTATGGAAAAGACGTATATGCAGAAACTAGGTTGATTCAAAGTGTTAAATGGCAACTTCTGTAAGCATGTGATTGCACACTGTTACCACCGATCCTCAGTTTTGTCATACACAAGCATTGGGTCATGGCGAGCTATTCACAGTTAACCCCACAGGGGATACCTTAGTAAGCTCTAGTGCCGCCGTTATATAGCTGGCATTTGGCTGAGTGCGGCGTTTACCGACACACAACACAAAGTAAGCTCTCGTAACAGTGATTGTAAGCGTGAAAGAGAATAGTCTGAGGCGAACAAGTCTTAACAAAACAATAATTACATCATTCGATCTCCCCTGACAACAGCCATTTAATCTAAGTTTGCTAACATATACTATCAAATCCACTTATTTCCCCGTAACCTACAATGACTGCCGACATGCTCAAGGTAGTGACTTGATGTGAATAATATTACTCACTGACTGCATTCGGAATGTTCTCCTTGACGGACGTACTCAACACAAACATCAGCACCCATCCCCTGAGCTGTAATAGTTCAAGAGACTCTGAATGAAAAACGAGCATCTACCAAACATAAAAATACACAATCCCCGTTTACACCTGATGTAGTCTGTACACGCATATGGACCCATGCGCTCTCAGGGAGTCATGGACGTGGGGGCACCGCTCTTCACAGCCATTGTCAGGCTACGACTGTCTTAAGTTAAAGTCGTTACGGTAACATTAAGAGCGCTTTGTGGAACGGATCTCCGTAACATTTGAAATGGAGTTTTACATTCATAATCCAGATAAACGATAACACCGGTGTATTGTGCAAAGGACACTAAGCGCCAAAAGACATCGACATAAACTTCAGACAACCCGAATTCTGGAGGTGGATTTACTGACGGAAATATACAAATGGAATTGATTGGATGTGTCATTAATTTGTTTTGCTTAACATGATCTACAAAAATACTTTGGTAGTTGTTGCGCATCGCCTGGTTTTTTATATGTCTTTGAATCTTTATAACACACACCATTGGACAAGACGGTTGCGTACATACCGATGAAGGCATTGCTGTAAATGCAGCAGCGTGATGTGAAGATGTTAGCCTGCGACTTGCTAAAGTTGCATGTGCCTCACAGGTTCTTTCGAGTTAGCAAAGATGGAAAAATCTGAAATAGGAATGAATGTATAGCTTTACCTGTGAAAGTACGCATGTACCAGTAACGAGTTTGTTCCTATGCTGTTATCAGTCATACACAGGTACCAGTAACGAGTAATTTGTCTGTGCTGCTATCATCCACACAGGTCAGTAACGAGTAATATGCCCATGCTGCTATCAAGTAATATGAGTATAAAGAATAATCAAGCAAGTAATAAGTAACATTTGTATTTCACAAAAGAAGAATGGTCATAACTGACACAACTACTTATGTGATCTGTTCAGCTACGTTTGAACTGAATATGGAAGGTTTGATCAGTTATACCAATGCAAAATATCATGATCTTCTGTGATGCATAACACTGAAATTGAAAAGGTATTCCAGCATATTTCTTACTCACAAGTGTGTCCCTGGCCGTCATAAAACCTCCCGTGGCTCACCTCGCACCTTGCCCGGACAGTGTGTGTGGCTTGTGGTGATTATGTTAACTTTCGATTTCCTCGACCTCGCAATTTCATTCACGTTTGCCAGAGACCCTTGGTTGGTTTCGGTTTTGCCGGATTGACTTTAAGTTATAGGCTCCCTGGTTTCCCACGTGAAAAGTTCAAACAAACGTGTTCATGAATGAACAGATTCGAGTCTCTGCTTGAAAAATGCACATGACATGTTTGCATATATTCCAAAATGCTCGTCTTTAGCGAGTGATCAATTGAAACCAATAATACAAACAATTAAAGGCAATGGTGAACGTGGTCATGGTCGTTCTGTATTCTGCAGAACCACTATTAACCTCTTCTCCTATTCGTGTAAGACATATTGGAGTGCTGCTTAATTTGGGCTGAAGGTGGAGCCCATGGACTTTCTAAAGACATACAAACAAACAGCAATGTTTGTGTTATGTAAACATGTAATGGTGAATATCTGGTCTGTTCATCCTCGGGGGCACGGGTGGCCCAGTCGTCTAAGGCGCTGCGATTCGCTGTGGAGAGTTGCGTCCTTGGGCACGCCAGAAACCTATGATTGTGGGTTCGAATCCCGGTACGCCCCGATTATGATTCTAGGTTTGTCAGCACCATACCCGTGCTCGTGGGTTTCACAGAAGCGGTTAACATCTAAGACCTGCATCCCTTCAGGCTTTCCTCCCACATTAAGCCAACACGCCGTGATATAACTAGAATACTGTTAAATGCGGCGTTTAACCCAACTCACTCACTCACTATTGTTTAAATTCTAGCTGATTCTTTGCATATTGATGCCATGTTTTCGGGGAAATTCAGGTGCGACTTAATGTATGTTTTTCTCTCCTATGGTAAAACTTGTCAACTGGTCCATGTTCACTATTTTCTTGTTCAAAACCAAATTGCATGAAATACTCATATCCCCCGCCAATATGACATGTCCGGTTGTGTGAAATTCATTAGCTCCCGTGAAGTATGTTCACTGGACTTTTTTGTAAATGGCCAAATTGCAGCACTGCAGTTTATGATAGAATACATAACTGTATTTGTAATGAGTAAGGATGAACAACTTCTTTATTACAATTAGGAGCGTCGTTTCGGTGTAGGTTCTAACACCGTTATCAAGCAAGTGAAGTACAGAGTATGGTTGACAAGAATATATACAGGATAGGAGGCAGTATTTTATACAGTCGAGTAGGTTTAATATCAGTTACACTGTTGTATTTGTAATGAGTTGTTATTATTATTTAAACAATATTCAGAGAAGTAAGGGAGTTCTTACTTTTACTTAGAGATCAATGAGGGCAGGGGTCACCATGATGTGTATTGAGAAGTACAGCACGAATCATCTGATGATCTGAGTAGTAGACTGGAGTCTGGAATGCTAAAGCACTGGTATGATCAGTAAACAACAAGTCCAGTGTGGCTGCAAGACTGGGTTGGAGGGTGAATGTGTTGAGTCATTTTCCGCACATTAAAGAAATCTTCAAGTTTCAGTTTGTCACTCAGATTGCAGTTGAAATCCCCAGTAACTAGGACATGTTCACATTCATGCTGCTTGGAGAGATCCTGAAGTTTCTGCATGAAGTTAGTGTCCATACACATGTGAGGGACATACACACAAGCAATGCAAAACTTGCCAACAAGAAAGGAAATGTATTCAACACAGCGAGATGACATTATGTGCCAAGTTTGGTTAAGACATATCGTACGGTTTTCAAGATCTGCTTCGGAAACGAGGACTATCGCCAGTTTCAGTCTAAGTCAAAGTCGTTGCGATGGAAACTCGACAATTTTATTTTTTTAAATCCCAAACTATCAAAAGGCACCAGTTCACCACAAGACCTATCGATATGTCACGTTTGGTTAAGAAATATGGTACGGTTTTCAAGATCTGCTCCGGAAACGAAGACTATCGCCATTTTCAGTCTAAGTCAAAGTCGTTGCCATGGAAACTCGAAAATTTTATTTTTTTTAAATCCCAAACTATCAAAAGGCACCAGTTCACCACTAGACCTATCTATGTGTCACGTTTGGTTAAGATATCTTTCATTGTTTTTGTGTTCCGCTCCAGAAACGAAATGTGACGGACGGACGGACGGACGAACGGAAGGACAGGATGGATAGACGGAAGGACGGACGGACAAACGGCACCCATTCCTATAATGTTAAAAACGGATTTAAACCCAACTCACTCACTCACTTTTCATCCTCAACTTAGCAAGTGTAATAAGGACAGAACACCGTATGATTTGACAAGTGTTTTGAATGCCCATTTTGAAGTTATATGCATATTCAGGGACGTGTAAGTGTTTGTTAAATTCTAAAATATTAACTAAATATGTTAATTAAAGCATATAACAAATTGAGATATGTGTTACACAATTATTTCGTATTGAAAGTGAGGTAGTAACATATAAATGAAAATACAGAAAACAATCTCCGCCTCAATGTCAGGTGTCAGTTTGACATATATCCCCGTAATATTACAATTGAGTTAGATCAGGGAGGAAGTCGGAAAACGAAAACGAAAATCATTATCAAATAGTGATGATGGAGTTCGCGGAAAGGTGAGCGTATATGCCCCACCGAAGGCACTTGTCATAAACACATGCAAAGGCATGTCAATTGTTCACCTGGAAAAACCTTCTTAATTTCAACTTTAATCGTGATAATGTTATACATGAGAGTCAGTTATCGGTATGGGCCCTGCAACACCCTGTAGATCCAGGTCGTACATAGAAAGTCATAACAATACCAACAAGAACACGGTGGAACCAATAAACCCGAGTGGACTGTCTGGATTATTCTTTCTTATATCTTATATATTCATATTAATATATCTCCACCATGTGTTAAATCTACCACGACGAAGGCCCGTAACTAATCACGTCTGGAAAACCCGGAAAACCAGTGGTTGATAAAATGAACAACGTCCCGAGCGGGATACGACATCATGCATTCAGTCAAGTCACAAATTGTGACCCGATCTATCAGCTCTTTCAAAAAGCATGACACATCCGGGATCCATTCTACCCCAAATACTCACGGTGTCCCAATTTAAAGACACAGGCATTGTCAATTTACATGTGTATCATGTAATGGATACAGTTATAAACCAAATAGACAAGCTTGTTAGCACGATCCGATAAATATGCAAATGAGGTGCTCAAGCAGGAAATATTTGTAATAAGCTCCAATTGTTAGCTATAACGTCTTCTCGCTCAATACACTATTGCCCAGGTTCCCAATAAGTGGAGAAAGGTATTTCCGATGTGTGGGTGTTGCTATATGGCTTCCTATCATTAGGCACTTCATGATTAGTGGTTCGGTTAACTCGACCAGTGTATTCATGCGCGGGTTCTCAAGTTACTTCATTGACCCGTGAAAGAAGGTCCGGGATATAATCGATCTTCAGCAACCCATGCTATCGGGATCGGGTGGTCAGACTCGCTGACTTGGTTGATGCATGCCATTGTATTCCAACTGCGTAGAACGATGCTCATAATATCAATCACTGGATTGTCTGGTCCAGGCTCGATTATTTACAGACCACCGTAATATAGCTGGAATATTGCTGAGTGCAGCGTTAAACAACAAGCAACCGACCATTGTGTCACTGTGTGTCTTAAACATCCCGTGAAGTAGAATAGGTCTTCACCAACCCATGCTTGCTGTAAAAGGCGACTAACGGGATTGGATGGTCAGGCAAGCTGACTTGGTTGAAGCATGTCATCGATCCCAATTGCGTGGGACTCGATTATTTACAGACCGCCGTCATATAGCTGAAATATTGCCGAGTGCGGCGTAAAACAACAAACCAAACGAGGGAACGCTTTCACCACTAGGCTACCCGACCGCCCCCAGAAGGCGTCTTGTTTGAAACTGATGATAAGGGTCATCATTAATTGCTAGATACACCCCCTAAAATCTGAGGAGGCAGACAGAGATGTTCGCGTGTTTAGATCAAGTTTGCTAGGACTGACAATTGTCCAGAGCTTGATCCCATGTAACAGTACATTTACCACAGAGCATGTCAAAGTGGGAATGTACATTCCTCGATACTATTATTAGTTTTATATTTGTTTCAGTTGAAAAGGCTTAGCATTCGCAGATTGCTTTCGATTTCCTTACATCCCGATGTTGGAAAAGAAATACTGTTACTGTTGACATGTCAACAGAAACAACAGTTATGTCCGTGTTTTTTTGGTTTGGTTTGGTTTGTTGTTTTACGCTGCACTCAGCAATATTCCAGCTATATGATGGCGGTCTGTAAAGAATCGAGTCTGGACCAGACAATCCAGTGTTTGATATCATGAGCATCGGTCCACGCACTTGGGATCGATGACATGCATCAACCAAGTCAGCGAGTCTGACTACCCGATCCCGTTAGTCGCCTCTTACGACAAGTATAGTCGCCTTTTACGGCAAGCATGGGTTGTTGAAGAGCTATTCTACCCCGGATCTTCACGGGTCTTGGTATGGTGCTGACAAACCTAGAAACATAATCGGGGCGAACCGGGATTCAAACCGATGGGCATTAGTTTCTGACCAAAGGGACGCAACTCTTGCAGTGCCTTAGACGATTGGGTCACCCGTGGCCGTTGTTTAAACAGTATTCTAAAGCGGACAGATGGGTTTAATAACAATGTACCTAATGTCTGCCAAAGTGATTGCCTTTCCCTTTTCTGTTTCCCGTTAACAGTCTGTATCATGTTGTTCTGATGCAACTGTTAAGGGGAAATGAAAGACAGTTTCCCTGTCCTATTTCTAATTAAAGCTTTACATAAGTGAGCCATATCATTGTTTGAGGCTTTAGCAGTAATAAACTTTATACAGGAAAATGAAACTGAATGTTGGTTAACTACTTAGAATTTATTCACTTTCTGGATATGTCCTCAAAATGAAAATACCCAATCTAAATATTCCAAATGTATGAGTCTATAATATTATAGATTTAGTGGTATGATGGTATACGGCTGATATTTCCTGGTAGTGTCTGCACATTCTAGAACATACTTGCAGGAAGATTTAACATAATCTACTTTCCATGACACACTTGTTCAAATTAGCAAGCTAATATGGTCTCATGTCGCTTATAGCAATATTCCAGCTACATCTCTTTAGGGGACACAAGAAATGGACTTCACATATTGTATGCTGGAAATCAAACCCGGGACTTCAGTGTGACCAGCTAAAACTTCAACTACCATACCACATACACAACTACTCCCTTGCTCAAAATAATTGAAATGGAATACTTTGTTTGTTTGTTTGTTTGTTGTTTAACGCCGCACTCATCAATATTCCAGCTATATGACGGCAGTCTGTAAATAATCATGTCTGGCCCAGACAATCCAGTGATTGACATCATGAACATTGATCCACGCAATTGGGATCAATGACATGCATCAACCAAGTCAGTGAGCCTGACCACCCGATCCTGTGAGTTGCCTCTCACAACAAACATAGTCGCCTTTCAGGTCGAGTATTGGTTGCTGAAGACCTATTGTACCCTGGATTTTCACGGGTCGAAATAGAAACTTGCTACGGATTGTAATGTTTTTGACTGTTTTGTATACAAAATTCAAACAGCACTAGTCCAAACATCTGCGAGTAGACAATAGGATCTCACACTTTACCCATGATTTGTTAATTCGGAAACAATTTACTGTATCCTAGATCGACCCAGCTATTCTAGGCTATGAGCTGCCATAGCAAACAACAACCCATCATGTGTATTGTAATAATGAGAAGACATACCGCCATTCTTTTCATTAAACTGTAATGAGTGCCAAAACTGATGACAACTGACAATAGACGTAAAAGGATCTGCCGTGTGATTTTGTTTGTTTGTTTGTTTGTTGTTTAATGCCACACCCAGCAATATTCCAGCTATATGACAGGGTTCTGTAAATAATCGGGTCGGGACCAGACAATCCAGTGATTGACATCATGAGCATTGATGTACGCAATTAGGATGCAATGACATGCATCAACCTAGTCAGCGAGCCTGACCACCCGATCCCATCCCGTTAGTGGCCTCCTACGACAAGCATAGTCACTTATCGCAAACACTGGGTTGCAGAAGACCTTTTCTACCCCAGATCTTCAGGGGTCTTGAACCAACCTGAAACCTAAACAAAGATCATGTTACCATAACAAACGGCTGAGGAAAACACACTATAGTACTTTATGTTTAAACTTTATTCTATTTTTGTGACAATTTCAAAATATGAGCACCTGTTTATTGTGCTTCATAGCAGCCACACCACCTGTTGGACATACAACATTGAAACAAATGCATAACATTAGTTTATCCCAGTTTGTACTTCTCCTGTTGTTTCTTCTGTTCTGCCATCACAAGTTTAATCTTGGCCAGGTCGTTCTCGTCGGTAACAACCTTCACCTCCATCCCCGGGTGCTTATTGCGGATATGTATTCGAGTATTGCCACAAATTGATGACCGATATGGACAGTGAACACAAACGTACGGCTTCACATCCTTAAACAGGTGCTGATGCCTCTGGTGTTTGGACAAACTGCTTGACGTCTTCCCACTGTAATCACACTGGGTGCACTTGAAAGATTTGGTCATGGTGTGGGAGTAGGACTGATGTATTCGTAGTCCCCTCTCATCTTTGTAGGTCTTTTCGCAGTGTTGACATGCGAACTGGCGAAGTTCTGAGTGGGCGGTGATCATGTGACGTTTCATTCGGGCAGCGGAGAGTGTTGAGTAGTCTGGACACTGGTCACAGTGAATGATGTCGCGCTTCTCGAAGTCCGCCTTGAGGCCGTGGATCTGGTACAGGTGGTCTGTGAATGTATGTCATTCCCTGCATCAGTGATAGTGGTATGAATGTGTTTCTGGTTTAACGCCGCACTCAGCAAATATTCCAGCTACATGATGGCGGCTTGTAAATAATCAAGTCTGGACCAGACAATACAGTGATCGATATTGTGAGCATAGATCCACACCATTGGGGTAAGAGGACACGCAAGCAACAAAGTCACCGAGTCTGACCACACGATCCGCTTGGTATCTCTTACGACCTACATAAGTAACTGGGGACCTAGTCAAACCCAGAACCCCCAAGGGGTCATATTGGTATGGTACACATTGCAACCTGTGATCCTTCCTTTAGTTGACTCCTACACAGGGCACCCAGGTAAAACCTTTAGGCTTAAAATAATTTTAAAAAATAGGTTCTCAGGCAATGGCTTTTGAAAACATAGTGGGGGCGGGCAGTGTTTTTTTTATTTTTATTGTTCAAGCTATTATGTAACCGAATTTTGTTTACAACAATTTCGGCAAAATCAAGTTGTTCTCAAGTATTATAGCATTTCACTGCAAGGGTCGTGTGTTCGAGACGCGGAATATTTAAAGATTTTTTTTGTTGAAAATGGAAATAAAAACAAAACGTGCAGTGTACTTTATGTTTTTATCAGCCTAGCCATTGAGCATTTACTCACAAGTTATCATTCTCTATGGGTATTTATACTTTTCTTTGGACATTCAATATAAATTTTACTCCAGTCTATTCTTAATTTGTATGTTCATGTGTTACCCCAAGTGTGTAACATGTTACACAGCCTCATAATATATGCATGCCTGCATTCCATCAGTAAATAAACCTCTGTAGGAAATACAGGTACACAAGTAGAAAAGGATACAATTGGTAATTACACAGTGTTGTTATATTACTGGGATTGAAAGTATATAAGTAATCAAAAAATAATAGGATAATATTTATATTTTTTGCGTATTTTATACAAATAGGCAGCTTTTTGGAGCTCTGTCTCACACCCAGTATGTTGATGTACCTACTGTATTCGACGTAATAAGCGCCCGCGGCGACATTTGCTTATATATTGGCTAGTGAACAATCCCAATTAGCACCCCTTCGGATTGATCTATGTGCACAAGATTGATTTATTCGCGTATAATAAGTGCATTACATGCATCCTTAATTATGGGAAATTAAATTCTGGAAAAATATATGTCATAATAAATATATAAACATGTCATATATAACCATGAACACTCCATCAGCATAAACCACGAAATGTACAATCTTTCAACTCTGTTGTTTTTCACCAAAATAATATTCTAATAAGAGCCCCCTTTTTCTAATTTTGAGAGCGCCCGGGGCCCTTATTATGTCAATACGGTATTCTGACACGGAATCCCGGTGCTGTATGCCCACAGCCTTCTAGTCAGTGTCACAAACATGGTCAGCACTAGTTCTTGGGAGATGAAACCTCACAGATCATATCAAACTTAATGCCTTATTGCATTTGAAATGTCCTCAGAATCATGTTTACTTTCTTATTATAAATTTCTACAGCTCCACATGTCCAATTCTCGAGTGGCTGAATACTTCATAGAGAGACAATAATAAGATGGGTGTTTTCTGAGCCTGCAAAAATGTCATGATGATTCCCCCAAAAGGATATTATTAATTCATAATAATTAGAATTTGTAAGTGATAACATCAACTGATGGATATTTCTCACTTTATTTTACAGCTCTTCCACAGATATTATTAAAGCAAACTACTAACACATTAATGGTCAGACCTTAATTAATAAAGAATTAAAAATAAAATAAAATGAGTCCTTTATATATAACAGGTATGTGTGTTCAGTATGCAAGATTCCTAACTCACTGCTTAAGTCTATCTTTCTCTTGCTCTCAAAAGGGCACTTGTGGCACTTGAAGCGTTCACAGTCGGTGTGCATCATGTCCAGGTGGATCTGGAGACTGCCCTTGGTCTTGAACGCTGACCCACACACCTGGCACAGCAAACTGGCCGCAGGCTGGGAGGAGAAGTGGACACTACTCAGGTGCCGGTTCAGATACCTGCACATGGAATAACTCACATTCAAAAGCCATGACTATACACTTGATATTAATGGTTCCCCTTTCAAAGAATGCATCTTCTCTTAATAGTTCTGGATCCAGATAAACAATTTCCAAAATAATTCCAAGAACTGTTTTGACCGTCTTGTGATTAAGGTACTGCAGCTTACCTTTATGATTACTTGCTTAAGTCATTTTAAGTACTACCGTATTCGACATAATAAGTGTCCAGGGCGCTCACAAAATTAGAAATATGGGGCTATTATCAGAATAATATTTTGGTGAAAAATTAAAAAGATCCTAAATTTCGTGATTTATGCTGACAGCCTGAAATGATACAAAAGAAATGTCTGTGCGTATCATCCAGGACAGATAATTTTTTCCAGAATTTAATTGCCCATAATTAAGGGTGCATATAACACAAGTGCATAGTATACACGAGTAGATAAGTTCTGTGTACATTGATCAATCGGAAGGGGTGCTAATTGGGATTGTTCACTAGCCAATATATTAGCAAATATCTCGTGGGCACTTATTACGTCAAATACGGGAAGTAAGGTTTATGTGGTAATGTATGAACAGTCCTAAGTAATTTAACGTTGATAATTTTTCACATAAAAACTGTTCTTTTTTTCTACACACTTATTATTTCTGTGCTGGGATGCTTGAGCTGAATCCCAGTTAGAGTCAAGGGGAGGTAAGTCTTACCATCTGACAGAAATATGATCATAAATCCTTTTGGCAGGAGTGAATGTTAAGAAATAATGACATCATGGATAAATGTTTCCTACACATCAATGCGTATGCTAAATCTTTGAGATATATAAACAGCTATATGTACTGACTGTTGACACTTGAACTTGGCACCACAGTGTGGACAGGGAACGTTCTTCTCCTTGCCGTGCTTGCTGATGTGTTGCTTCAGGTTGTACTTGACTACTGTGGTGTAACTGCAGCCTTCAGCAGGACACACATGCACCTAGCAACAGCAGAGTCAACATACAGGGTAACTGTAGAGCAGAGCTTGATCATCAGAGGGCAACAGCAGAGCTGAGTCACCATACTCAGGGCAACAGCAGAGCTGCGTCACCATACACAGGGCAACAGCGGAGGGAGTCAACATATACAAGGAAACAGCAGAGCTGCGACACCATACACAGCGCAACAGCAGAGCGGAGTCACCATACACAGCGCAACAGCAGAGCTGAGTCACCATAAACTGGGCAACAGCAGAGCTGAGTCACCATAAACAGCGCCACAGCAGAGCGGAGTCACCATATACAGGGCAACAGCAGAGCGGAGTCACTATATACAGGGCAACAGCAGAGCGGAGTCACCATACACAGGGCAACAGCAGAGCTGAGTCACAATAAACTGGGCAACAGCAGAGCGGAGTCACCATATACAGGGCAACAGCAGAGCGGAATCACCATACACAGGGCAACAGCAGAGCTGAGTCACCATACACAGGGCAACAGTAGAGCTGAGTCAATAGACAGAAGGCAACAGCAGAGCTGAGTCAATAGACAGAAGGCAACAGTAGGGCTGAGTCACCAAACAGGGCAACACACAGAGGGGGTAAAACAATAGAGGAGAGATGAATCATTATAAGAAGGCAAATAGAACAGGAGATGAATGAATATAGACAGGACAGCTGTAGATAGACCTGAAGGAACATACAGGAAGTGTAGAGCAGAGCTCAATTAGTAAACAACATGTGAATCCATTCAGAAGACTGCTGTAGATCATTCATAAATGCATTTGCATCATTAATAAACAGACTTCCTTCACTTCCTCTTCCACCTTACCTTAACGTCGCTGTCAATGCCATGTTTGACCTTCTCATGGCCCCGTTTCTGCGTGTTCTGTGCGAACGTCTTCCCACACACGCGGCAGGTGTAGAGGTACTTCCTGCGTTCCCGATGGATACACAGCATGTGTTTGTTGAGAGCCAGCTGGGTGCGGAAGTGACGCTGACACAGCGGGCAGTCGACATATGATTCTGGGTGGAGCTGCTTCATGTGTCTCATCATGTCCTTGATGTTCGCCCCAGCATAGTTGCAGCCCTCGACTCCACAGCAGGACCAAATGGCTTCCATTTTGCAAAGCTGGAAATGGAAATGATAAATTAGATATTTTTGGTCCAGACAATTCTAACCAAACCTTTTCTACATATTGTAAGACGACAAACTGTTAAGACATGATTATTGCCATCCTGTATATCACCAGGGCTCGCATTTAAGTAACTCTACACTAACCCCTGGATCCATTCCCGTGGTTCTCGCATTCTCAAATAACCCACCCATGATTTTCATTAGCCAATTTGATTTTCTACACTACTCAGTCTAACAGACCAATCAGAATGTAAGTTACAAACAAGCTTCAATGTTGGGTTGGTTATATCAACAACATGGCGGCCAATACCCTTGTTTACGACAGAGTTTATGAGAAACTCAACATTGTAATACTGCAAGCAAAAGAAAGCACTCAAACATCTTTTGGATAAAAAGGATGTCTTCATGTCCACCTCACTTACCCAGTTCCTTGTCTCGACATTTCATTGGTCGGTAAAATATTAATGAAAATCAAGGGTGGGTAATTTCAGCTCACAAGAACCACGTGAATGGATCCATGGGGTTAGTGTAATTTTATCGAAATGCGAGCCTGGAGATATAGAGGATGGATTACTGATTCTCTCCCAGAAAGGTCCCAGCCTGAGCTCTGAACTCATGAACCCCCTCACAAATTCAACATCCCTTCCACTCCTCCTGCCACAGGTAAACATACAATACCTACCTGTTCATTAGTGTACCAGTGTGTTTCTACCAGGTGCCTCCTGAACTTGACCCGGTACACATACATCTCCCCACACTCAGGGCACTGCAGGGGGTCAGCAGCTGGGGCTTGGGTCACACATGGCGTAGCCTCCTTGTTTGAGTTTAAATGTCCTGAGAATGCCCCTTTCACCATATTTTTGGTAACGATTTTCAAAGCAGAGTTTTTATTGTATCTCTGGGAAGATGGCAAATGCATTGAATTATGTGCTACCCATTCATTATACTGCCTAAAGAAATGTGGACATTTCCTACAAAAAAATGCCTTATACGTACCTTTCTTGTTTTGAAAGTATGGTAGAACTCGGATAAAATGATATTTCTGGATAATTTTTTCTGAGGCATAACACAAAGATGTAACTTTTCTAGAACCGATGACACACTTTGTCTTGTTATGGACTGACCTTGAAGCTTTCTTATGCTTAAACTGTTTTTTTAACTCACCCCTAACCATGACAACACTAATCTTTTCTGACTTCTCACATCCTTCAGCAATAATATTGGTATCCATTACTAAGTGTACTTTTGACTTAGCCGATTTAAATTTGGCACATTTCCTTCCTCGATAATTTTTTCTTGATTTGCTTAGTGTCTGCTTCCTTTCTAATGGGTCACTTTGTACAGAAGTTTCTTCAGCAAAGAACACCGGTAAACCATGAAACTCTGATGTCTGCAAACTCGACCCACTGTGATATGTGTAATCAGATCCTCTCACAGTATTCGTGAAGCCGGAAATGGGTGAATGGGGGGAAACAGTATGTGGTTGCACAAATTCACGCGTGACATCAGTCACAGCAGGAATCATTTCGAGAGGTTCTGCTTGCTGGCATTCCATGGCATCTTCATCAACTTCTGTTTTTATTTGTAGCTTCTCGGTTTGACTTGTGGATGTACTGTAGCCTTTGGGTTGGTGTGTCTGCAGCAGTTGGACTAGGTGTGCGATGTGGAGTGACTTGGCAACAGCGAGGATATGCTCCCACTCAGGTGGCGCCACCTTCAGTTCGCCAGTGTAGAGGAACTCAACCAGCTTCACCAGAATGCAATACGACACATCTAAAACCAAACATAGCAACAGTGCATTCTAGGTCAATGTTGATTCTGATTCAGTGTCAAAGAAAATTTTCTACCATGGTGGCATGTAAACATTTCAGTCTGACCAGGTAAACAAGAACAATCCATGCCATCAGGTAAGATGCTATGCAATGAAACGAGAAACAGAGCCGGACCACCTGATCCAAATTATTCCGACCAGCGATAGATGGCAGTCAGATGGTTTACCAGTCCAAGCCTAACTTTACCAGTAAATAACTGGTAATTACTGGTAAACTGGAACACTGAGAGGCATTGTAAACAAGAATTTGTTGCAGGACCATAGGTACTATTAACAATGTAAATACCTTTCCAATTTTTACTGCCTTCGTGGTCTACTGGCAGAGCGGAAGGTCCGGGGTTTGATCCCTGTCCGCGTCATACCAAAAGATGTAAAAAGATGGTACTTGCTGTTACCCTGTCTGGTGCTAGGCATTAAGGGGCTAAAACAAGGACTGGTATCATTACAGACTTAGTATACTGTGTCTGAGTGGGGTATTCATGTTAAACTGCGGCATGGTATCTCAGCGGGCTAGTACTATAAATCGGCATCAGTCCAGACTACTACAAGCAGCCACACACACGTGTATGCACGTCGCTATATAAGTGCAATGATCTTGGACACAATGTTAAACCCCATTTCACCTAAGCTTTTCGATTTTTTATTAAAATAATTTTTTCATAATAACAAGTTAGCCAATAGTCTTATTTTTACCCTGCCTTCCAGTGGAACTGTACCTACCCAACTGTAGACTTCTCCCATCAGTCCAGAGTAGATGATGGAAGTATTCAGAGCTGGCAAAGAGGACCACCCTGTGGACTTGGAGACGTTCCCCATTCCTGGCTGTGATGGCCGTGTCACAATGTAGCTTTTGCTTGTAGAACTGATACAACTGGTCACCGATCTTGTCATAATGTTCTGAATCTTTCAGACAGGTCTGGTCTTCCATTGAGGTCAACCTGCAGGGAAAAGGAGTTTTTAGTTTGTTTGAAATTTCTTGTAGCGTCAATAGCATGGTTAAATTCGAAATGCCCAGTTAAAACAGTTTACTGGTGCCTGGGGGCACACTTAGAAATAAGACCTTTCAACAAAAATATTTATTACATGAAGTTTGTGACAAATGTACTTTCAGACAAGCCAGCTGGATGATGACACTGGAAATGAACATATAAATATACTTAATGGATGTATGATTGAAACATATTACTGGAGATTCAGAAATAGAAAAGGGTAATAAACATATCAAGAAAGAGATGGGGGCACCGAGAGTGAAGACAGGTATTTCTCTTGTTGGCACACATACATTCCATGGACAAACAAATATTATTTTAGAATATAAAAATGGCAGTTGAGTGCTGAATCGGTTACGGTCGTTATTGCCACATAATGTGAAAAAATGTGCTCAGGTAATCAGAAGTTACTGAACTTAAGTACCTGAGAATAAGTCTGGGAATTAGTCTGGTCAGACATTGCCTGCAGTGGTTACGATGGACAATCTTAATTGCAAATTGAGCAAGTTGCTCAGGGATTGTTTTGAGGTAAATAAGAATTTAACTTTCAACCCCATCACCAATCAGTAGTGGATCGCATGACTGGGTTAGGAAACCATGTACATAAAAGTACCGATTTTAGATTATAGATTACTTATATATACTTTAGTTTAGGCCTAGGACCGGCCTGTATGGGTACCCTAATATGGGCATGCTATAAAACAGGTTTGTTTGTTTGTTTGTTTATTCGTTGTTTAACGCCACACTCAGCAATATTCGAGCTATATGATGGCGGTCTGTAAATAATCGAGTCTGGACAAGACAATATACAGTGATTGACATCATGAGCATCGATCCACACAATTGGGATACGATGACATGCAACAACCAAGTCAGCAAGCCTGACCACCCGATACCGTTAGTCGCCTCTTACGCCAAGCATAGTCGCCTTTTACGACAAGCATGGTTTGCTGAAGTCCTATTCTAACCCAGACCTTCGCGGGTCTATAAAACTGGTATACCAATACATTGTCAGTAATACATGTTTCACAATATAATCCTTGCTTTTTGATATTTTCCAATACAGTCACAGAAGAATTAATATATAATTATGTAAATTATATCTACTATCTTGAGGCATTTGGATGGACTTGGGACCTATCTAAACCATGTAAACAGCACATGTTTCATGATGTTTACACTCACATGCCATGTTGATGACGTAACAGGTACTCTCCTTTATCCATTCTACCCATCTCGCAATCTGAAGTCTGGATTATTGAATGAAGAAGTACCATTTGAACAGTACAAATATATACAACTTGGGCCCCAATATGTATCACAATAGGTATCAGAATACAGCTCTCTTTGTTGCTCTCTTCGTTGCGATTTATTGCAGTATTAATTATGTGCCAATACACCAACCCTGATTATAGATGTGACACACAGACCATGGGTTTACAATTATTTTTTGCATTTATAGATGATCTGTGGTATAGTAGGGAAAAATAACATTTTGTCTTCTTTTTCTGTGTCAACATTAAGACATGGGTTACTTCCATCTGACCCAGAAGGTCACATATTGGAAACAAATGAATAACCACTATCATCAATATCTTTGCTATTTCATAAAAAAAACCGCATTAACTTTGAATTCACTTAAGTACAGGAACACTCCATTGAGTGATTGACTTAGTTGGTGTGCAAGCATAAGCTGGTTCCCTGCTTTATCTGCGCGTTCTCAACTGCAGATGTATAGAGACTGAGCCCAGCTAAAAGATCTACCTCACACCCGGGCCCCATAATATACAATCATGCAGCTGCCTCGTGAATTCATGTCATCTGTGTCACGTTACCTAACTACAAACAACGCCTTCTCGAAGCCTGAAGTACGTCCTCTTTTATCTTCCTTACTCTTCAAACATTTCAACAACGGCAATGTAACGATACCCTCATCGCGGCAACAGCGCAAACATCTTCAGTGCTTCGCCGTCAAGAGCACAACAGGTCTTCAAGAGTTGTCTCCCTTGGATCGTTTCCCTCTCCCGATTTTCGTGCGTCACAGAATATGTATTTTGAACTGGTTGCAGCAATCATAATACGAACTGATACGGACTGAAAAGTGAATTGTTTTATTTCCTCCATCTATCTTTCAGACTGCCCTTACCATTATAATATAAAAAACCTCTCTCTATCCCTATTAAAGTCCTTGCTTGTCACACAATAATTTCATAATTTGTTTATGATGTGAACTTTATAAAACCTAAAATGCGAACACAGTATTCTGTGGCGCGTTTTGTATGATGGGTGTATACATAAACTACAAGAGCACATAAATAATACGGTAAATACTGTAAGCTTTAACCTGGACACTTACAATAATAATTTGAATGTACAAATGTACATTTCAATTTCTACTGTTTAAGGTCATTGTTTTTTTTTTCATATCTGTGCTGTCAGAAAAGTGGAGCTTAAGACCACCACAACCTGTGGTTATCGGCGTACGGTTGTATTTATCTCCTTTTCAGATTTTTGCTGTTTGGAAGCTAGTCATATATACATCCAAAAAGTATATGCGGTCTGTACAATGCACATACATCATTCACTTTTCCTCACTTAATATTATATTATTCACAAGTTGAAATGATGATAACCCTATTACAACATAACCATTAGAATAACCTCACCCTGATTCGACCATCATGACGTAAGTGAATTACAAAGCTACTGAACACACAATGCTATGAAGAAAGTGGTCAAATGTAACAAATGTTACAAATGTTATTTAGGATACGCTTTGTCAGTAAAGTGCAGATTCTTGTACTTTTTGGGGGTTGAGTCCCATCCGGGATTCGAACCACCACTGCCAGAATGAGGCACCTAATCGCCAGCATACAAAGTCAGCTATCTAAACCACTCAGCCGCCGAGGCTTCCACAAAATGAAAGTCCGACAACTGGTAGACTAGATCACGTACTTTGGGTACCCCTCTGAGTGGCTGTGTGGGTTTTTGTGTGCTGGCGATTAGGTACAACACTATACCCGTCCTCGTTCAATTCAGTTTTTTCACATTATGTTGACACGCTGGGATTTAACTGAAATATTGCTCAAAGCGCATTTGAAACCAAAACTCACCCAATCCAATCCACAAGTAAACGCAAAGGTAACAGCGGTATGTGTCACGTTATTTAAACATCAGTTCAATCCAGAGAGAAGACTTGCATATTCCCACACAAATTAATACACCATTATCATGATGGTACATCGTGTTGTGCAACAACCAGTCGCCATGTCTCAACACTGACCATCACAATCACGTCAGGTCATGGTGAAATCAGCGGTTGTGACGTATGCATTTCTCTGTGTATACAACACACACACATGTATAGTCTACAGAGCGCCCTGCGAACTACACCGTGAATGCTATTGAGATTAAAATAAACAAAGTATTCGTCTCGTACTGTCACTTATACAAATACAAAACCAATAGCTATCCGTGTTCATGTTTAGTATCAGCTGAGAAACATATGACGGACATGTGGTGAGATCCCTGCCATTTTCCTCTATGTTTAAGTGAGTGAGTAAATATTGTTTTACACCGTATAAGCAATCGTCCAGTCTTTCGCGGCGCCGTATCTATAAAAAGACATAACTAAAGGTAGTCATCGAGTGCTAATTCTACGCGCTGCTTAACAGCCCAAATGAGGCTTACATTATCGTCGTATGTTTGCCTCATTGGTTGTTTCTACACCTAGTAGTCAGTTATAACAATGGTGTGTGCAGAAAGAGAATCCATTACGTATTTAGATCACGTGTTACTTCAGGTTTTCCAGCTTCTGTGTATGGCACGGTGACTGAAAAGATGTAACAACAAAAATATATAAAAAATACCACAAAAACGTGAGCTATCTCTTTCCCTGTAAATAATCGAGCGCAGGCCAGACAACCTAGGGGTTGATGTTATGAGCAACGTCCGACGCTATCGGGGTACGTTGACCAAATCACCGAGCCTGACCACTCTCGACGCTATAAAGTCGGCTCTTACGACAAGCAGGCCCTGATCACACTTGACACAGATTTTGACCCGGAATCCCCCATGGGACTATGTACATTATACGGCCCTTGTAGTTGTAGATCACGAGGACCAGGCGACAGTCACCGTCAGTTGAACACCTAATACGACACGTCTAAGAAATACACCGGAACTACACAGGGCGACTACACTGATCCGCATTCTGATGTGTCACTTTACCTACAACCCTGCAAACCACATTCCACCATCGATTATCCAGTGTGTAATATATCCATTATATCACGAGAAGTACCTTAGATCCATTTTCGCGAACACCTGGTGTCATAATTGATTTTCTCGTGACACAGTCATATAATTTCCACAGCTATAGTTTGGCTTTTACGCCCAATGGAATCTGTTTCGTCGGTAAATCGAGACTGGTTGTTATATAGCGTAGACGTGTTATTATAACCATAGCCTCGTTAGAGCAGTGAGTGTTGAGTCGTGAATCTGGCATCTATGTGTGTTTTGTAATATAACAAGCAGTGGCAGGGGAATTGTATTATCTTGCTTATTTTTAATGAGAAGTACTCGAGCACTTTCTATGGTCGGGTAGCCTAGTGGTTAAAGCGTTCGCTCGTCACGCCGAAGACCCGGGTTCGATTCCCGACATTGGTACAATGTGTGAAGCCCATTTCTGGTGTCCCCCGCCGTGATATTGCTGGAATATTGCTAAAAGCGGCGTAAAACCATACTCACTCACTGTATGGAAGCGACTCAAGATTTGTAGTCGGCACGGAGATTATGAGTATCAAATTACTTGCTGGTGTATTGTGGACTTTCCCCTTGGCTATGCGCCCTATGTTTATTTCATAACCTACTGAGATTATCTAACTGCTATGCACTAAGTATAATAATAAATTAAAATAGGTGTCCAGCTCTAGGAAATGAAGGATTGTTCCGGGCTTCATTTTGATTTTATAGTTTTACTTAGTAGATATATATTTAAAAAAAGATAACTTTAAAAAATGATAACTGAATGTGAGTCTACCGTGCACTGTATATGTCCGGTCTTACTCGGTCGTGTATAATATACTGTGGCATTCTGAGCGCGAGGCAGACTACCTTATCTCTGTCACGGTGAGATCGAGGAACAAGGACGTATAAATATCTCTGGACCAGTGCTTGAAGCAAGGGTTAACGCGATGCTCCCCTGGGACGAGTAACAGCGACTGAGGAAGGTTTATGAAAGTCAGGCACAGGTTCACTTGCCAAAGACTAGTTATTTATCAGCCCTAGTTAAACAATGTAGTCCCGATTGAACGTGTATCTGGCCACAATATGTATGTTATGCCCCGTATTTACTGCCAGGCCGGTACGTATTGCGCAACTGGAACGAATTGCGAAATATTCAGACCCGCATTCGATATTGAGATGTCATTGATCTATTCAGCAGACTACAGCCCAGTTTCCGAGAGATACCCAGCCGTGTTATGTCTGCCAAACTGTATTGTCCCTCAGGAAGAGGTCATGTTGTATAGGCGTTGACGTTGCTAAGGCTGCAGACAGCCGGTGAGATGAAGCGCTCAGTCGTGTGTGTTGAGGTAAGCGAGTGTATGCTGTATTATATAGTGAACTAAGGCTCATCATAGTTGATGGTATATTAACTGTCTTTATCTCTATATAGTCTCCTGTTGATTGACTGCATTTCTATCGAACGAATATTTCATGTTTCAGAAATGAAAATGTCTGCTTTAATCCATATCATGAAGCAGAAGTTATTTGTCTTTCGTTTTTCTTTATCTCATCATTAATCTTTATGTGTAATATATGCGTGTATCCAAATGAATAAACCCGCGAAGATTCGGGTTAGGACAGATCTTCAGCAACCCAGGATTGTCGTAAGAGGCGAACAACGGGATTTGGATTTAAACGATTTCAAGTTGATATTTGCAATATAATTCTTTGTGTGATACTTATTAAGTTATGTCGGTGTGTTGGGCGCAAATAGGCATTCTGTTGGCTGTTAAACTATAATGATAAATGTCCATTTATATGGCGCCCAACTCCACGTTGATAATGTGCTCATGGCGCCCACAATGTTAGTGAAAACACACATAAAAAAGACATGTTTTCAGTTCTGCAATGAACGCAGAATGGGTTTGCATTGTTCTAAGACATATCTGGAAGATAGTTCTCACTTCATGGCAGCTGCTATACTGAAAGACCATATGATTTGACTTTGTATCCGGGGACTTAATAGGGTGCTGTAAGACTACGACCATCACTGAATTCCAGCCATCCACAACATTATTTCAACCACTATTTCGGCTCTTTACGCTCAATGGATTCTGTTTCAGCGGATAATCGAGACTGGTTATTTTCTGTCATTGCAGTTTCATGTTTACAACACTAGGGTACATGATCAGGAGATATGGGATTCGATTCTATTTTAAAATTGAATATACTTGATACCTTAGAACTGCTGTCAATACCTTATATTATTGAAGAATTCGAGGGTTTTTCGTTATATTTTTAAGAATGCACATACTAGTGTGTATATTAAAAAGAAACCCATATTACAAATGGAAAAAAATTGTTTCAACATCCACATATGAAGCGGGCACTACTTACGCAAGACGCACGAGGATAACTATATGTATGCATGTTGAGAAGACATGAATAACACGGAAGGAAATCATTGTTTTTCATTAATTCATCCCCAAAATCTACCATGTACATGCTAAAATCTATAGTAAACTGAAGTGTCTTCACTAACATATACATATTTAAAACTCTAACTTGAAACATTTAAAATACATTCCGTAAATATGTTGAATTGCGTTGCATCATGCAACACGTTTTCTGCTTTCTATTAAGCAGTGTCTCAGTGTGTCAGACAAGGTATGACTGGGATTGGATGTCAGGTGCTGGCAGTCTTGTCAGTCTGTAAGTATTCATCTTCTGTCAACATCCAGTAGGGGGCACGGGTGCCCCAGTCGTCTAAGGCGCCGCAATTCGCTGTCCCGGTTCACCCCAATTATGTTTCTAGGTTTGTCAGCACCATATCCGTGCTCGTGGGTTTCACCGAAGTGGTAAACGTCTGAGACCTGCATCACTTCGGGCTTTCCTCCCACATTAAGCTGACACGCCGTGATATAACTGGAATAATGTTAAAAGCGGCGCTAAACCCAACTCACTCACTCACTCACTCAACATCCAGTAGCAGTTTCATAATGAGATCGGTAATTATTGGAAAGGCGAGTTTATGTTCAAAGTGTTATCAAAGCATTACATTTCTGTGGGACATATTGTTGAGTTATGTTATTGGGGCCTGGCTTAACATTAATTTGTTCGCATGCATCTGGCGTGTGAGTCCGTCACTTACCACACAGCCTTGCATTAATGAATCTGCAGTGTCAGGACTGGCGCGGGGAGTACCCGAGGATGTGGCAGTGTTCCGCTACCCCGACGAGACAGAGCTGGTCGCCCGTTCAGCCAACTGTGTCATCTGTTCGACGTAAGATATACAATAATTACACTTCAGACACGACTGCTAGAACTGCATGGTTTGTTTATTTGATTGTTTGTTATTTAACGCCGCAATCTTCCAGCTATATGACGGCGGTCTGTAAATATTCGAATCTGGACCAGAAAGTCCAGTGATTGACATCATGAGCCTGACTACCCGATCCCGTTAGAAGCATGGGTTGCTGAAGACCAATTCCGACTTGAAATCGTAACGTGATAGAACTGCATGGTCTTTCTATTGCGTGGTTTTACCGTTGATAATTGTGCATCTCTGTTTTGTGTGGAGTCCTTCACTTTACAGAAGCTCAGTATAGGCATTGCAGATGTTGGATACAATGCCAATTTACTGGTCAGTAGGGGGCGTGAGATTGTTGTTAGAGACGATCATATTTTCGGTAACTGCTTCAAGGGGTTCAATATTTTTTCCGAAAGGAATGGCCGAACAATCAATTCTTGTCTATAAAATAATTCTTTGCAGGACATCCAGCTGACACGACTGTATCCTGTGTAAAACCGAGACAAACATACAACACCCTCCCCCTCTACAAGCCATTATAACAAATGATTTGTCCCTCAGTAACAGCGCTTACATAAACACTCACTCTCTCTTGCCCATGTTTTGCATGCCACGCAAACGTCTGGTTGGCGATCATGAGTATACATTGAGGTGAGGTGAAATTGGGTTTAACGCCTCGTCCGAGATTATTGCACTTATACGTGTGTGTGTTTGTGTGGCTGCTTGTACTAGTCCGGACTGATGCCAATTTATAGTGCCAGCTCACTGAGATACCATGCCGCAGTTTAACATGAATACCCCATTCAAAGACAGTATACCTACTCCGACCTGACCAGTCCTTGTTTTAGCCCCTTAATGCCGAGCGCAAGACAGGGTAACAACAAGTAACATCTTTTGGTATGACGCGGCCGAGGATCAGTACCCTGGACCTTCCGCTCTCCGGGCGGACGCTCTACCACTAGACCACGGAGGCGGTCGAGTATACATTGATAATACAACACGGGTCATACCATTAGATCTGTGTATGAAAATAGCATGACATCATTCTTGCTTGTGTGTTATTTCCCAGACAGCCACATCAGTGTGACTTTTAACTGCCATCTTCATTTCACCGCAGCACGCCAGTGTACAGGAATGGAGTAGCATTCAGGACGGTCAATGGCGGAGACGTAATTGAGCTGGACTTCATCTCCGTCGGGATGGAGACTTCCAACTGTAGGCTGCACTTTATCCGTGTATACGATGGTACGTTGAATATATTCTGCACTGTATAGGAAGATAAAATCAAATGCGAAATTTGTGTTGGTGCCCAGTATGGTATACAGCACGCTGCATTGGTACTGTGTGTAGTGTCTTTCAGTTACAACACAACGTACTAGCTTAATATGCTACCGTCACGCACGACACTGTGTAGTGTTTGTTTGTTTGTTTGTTTGTTTGTTTGTTTAACGCCGCACACAGCAATATTTCAGCTATATGACGGCTGTCTGTAAATAATCGAGTCTGGACCAGACATTACACTGACTGACACCATGAGCATCGATCCACGCAGCTGGGATGCGATGGCATGCATCAACCAAATCACCGACCACCTGACCACCCGATCCCGTTAGTCGCCTTTTACGACAAGCATAGGTTGCTGAAGACCTATTCTACCCCGGATCTTCACGGCTCCTGTGTAGTGTACTAAGAGACAAATTATCATAATTCGGGCGAATCCTGGATTCGAACCCACTCCTTACAACGTGTTTCGCTGCATTAGACCATGATGCCTATCATGTCCCATGTGTTCATTCAGCACAGTGGTAAGATTAGTGTCAAGGCAAATGAAGTCTATTCTAGTAGGTGCATCTTACGTTTATACCTTTAATTATGATCAAAATGCAGCAGCCGTTGTCATTCTATATTTGTGGATATGGATACTGTTACAGGCACTGATTCCGACGCACCCCTTCTTAAAACGGTGTGTGATTCACAGACAATGAAAGTCAGAAGCACAGGGTCTACGATGGCCTTGTACTACACTTGGTGGGACACCTCCTCCTACTTCCGGTTAAACCATTACAGTGAGTAGCGGGTGTATAATTCCTGTCGACAATGGTACAAGTACCAAACTGAAGAGTTTGGCCAATTTGAAACATGTCAGTGTCCAGGTATGGGTTAACTGTTACGTAACGGTATCAGCACCTGACCATGGTGCTAAACCTGATCACCATTACTGCAATTAATCGCATCACACACTCGCCCAGGCACGAAACAGTTACCGTTACTCTGTAAATCTTTCATGGCCCGTTGTGCGTGTGTACGCTAGTGTCTAATCGATAACATTTGATTTCCCCTAATTGTGTTTTAGTTTGTTTGTATGTAGCTTTAGAGCTAGAATAGTGCATGTTGTTTGCAAATTTCAGCCTACACATTGCTGTGGGATCGAATTATTTATGAATTGAGGTGAGGTGAAATTGGGTTTAACATAGCGTTCTAGGTTATTGCGTGCCTTGGTCCGGACTAATGCCCATTTTATAGTGCTCAGCCACCAAGCCGCAGTTTAACATGAATACCTAACTCAAGCACAGTAATCTGACTCAGTGAAGATAGGGCAACAATAAGTACCATCTTTGACCGTCTTTTGGTATGACGCGGCCGGGGATCGAAACTCCGCCTTTCGCTCTCCAGGCAGACGCTCTACCACCAGACCACAGTGGCGGTCTATTTGTAGAATACTATTGTTGGATGTTCCGAGTACACACGTGCATACTACCTGTAGATACATATTGACATTACTATTAAGAGACTAATCTACGATGAACCGTGGAGTATCTGTCAGAACCTATAGGCTAGGGACTTGCATCCCTTGTCCAATGTTTTTAGATATTTTACTTTACAGAGACGCTTCACTGAAGTCAACCTATTGATCTGGGCGCCGTTGTACAAAACAACCGTGGCGTTACGACTGTCGTAAGTCTATGTTAAGGTATTGGAGTTACGATCACCTTTGCGCTAAGATCACTTTGTACAACGGCACCCTGGTCACGTCATAGTCTTAGTTTGGTACGTTATACAGAGTGACGTCATACCGCACTGGACAATTGCTAAAATACATATGTGTGAAAATCGAAAGATTATTACAGTCTGTTACTATCTATTCTTATTGGTAATATGTGTTTTTTAAACATGAGTTGTTTATCAACTTTGAAAATATGATTCTTATTGTGACTGCCGGGAGCAATTATGAACTTCCTGGTAATCCAGGATAAATTGAACCAACGCGTTGGAGACAATGTCGTAACTTCTTCCGGGCGTCCACTGCGACCCTGCTACAGTTACTAAATGTATTGCCGTTCCTGGTCCTTGTGGTCAATTAAGCCAGGACATTGCCCTCGCATTGTCCATCGCGGCTCGGCTCCGTCAAGGAGTGATTGGCCTAATGACCCTTACTCCAAGTTGTCTCCATCAGCATTCACACCCGCATAATAAAGAAACGCAACACCAGTTTATACTCACATAGTTTTACTTACTCTCAGTCCATCTATCACTACAGAACAGGATCAGACTGGCCAGGCTCGTCACAAGCTGGTGGAAACTTAGAAAGATCGGGATTCGACTCGATCGACTGTAAACCGCGCACCACTCTCCTAATGTTGAGGGTATCATTTTATAGTGTTCGAGCCTCACCTGTCCTTGTCACATGTCTCAATACCTCCATTTGATTCGTTACAAGTTTATATCTGACCATGAACTCATGTGTGTCGCCATCGGAAAAATACCAAAAACCTACGTGCCAGATTGCTCATCTCTCTATTGATTTCGTGACTCGCTCCGAAGCTCCAAATGGATTATACCTTGTAATTCCCCATTTGTTTCATTAACTCATGGATAATAGCCAGAGACCAATCCAATGATAAATGTGAAATGTCTTTTCTCTATTGATTCCTTTCCAATTACAAGTTCTGTCACGAACTATATCTAATGGGTTCTATTTATTATCATTCGTTTCTGAGATGCATTTTTAACCTTATAACAACAAGTAGGTAATGCAGAGAATGTTGGCAAACATATTTGGTGTGTGACACGCGTGTTGCTCATAAGACTCAAAAGAGGTCGGTGTGACAAGTCGATACCAGAATTCTCTAACACTCGTTTGATAGAAGTTTAACAAATAAATATGTCAAAGCTAGGTAAGCATGGCCAAATCTCAGACTCGAAAATTGGCCTGTAATGTCATAAATTACATGGAGAAAGAATGGACAAATATATCTCTAGCATTGTCAAAAGCTTGCTTTGCTACTGGTCCAAAAACAAATTGATATACTATACAGTTACACTGTTACATGGAAGCTATCTGTTAACTTGGAAAAAACTAATATTATCGTATTTAGAAGAGGAGGTCCTCTTGCATCGAGAGAGAAATGGTTCCTTAATAACCAACCTATAAATGTTACAAACACGTATAAATACCTCGGTGTTGTTTTACCGTTTAACCTTAATCTTAAACATCTAGTTAACGATCTCGCCCTACGAGCAAAAAAGGTCCTAATAAATCTATTTGACGTTCTAAATAAATTGCGTGTTATCTCACCTACTCTTTTCTTTAAGATGTTTGATGCTCAAGTTCAACCAATCTTATTATATGGTTTAGAGGTCTGGGGTTTTGAAACCTATTACAAAATTGAAAAGGTACACTTAACTGCATGTAAAAGATTTCTAAATGTTTCCAAATCGGCTCCAAATCATATGGTCTATGGCGAATGTGGTATATACCCGTTATATATTTGTTCATATCTACGTTTACACAGATACTGGCTCAAAATAACAGATATGTCGCGGGAACGAATCCCAAGAAAATGCTACGAATTGCTTGTCTATCGTGATAGTGTTGGTTACGTAACCTGGGCATCAAACATTAAGCATTTACTCTTCTCTCACGGATTTGGATATGTTTGGCTTAATCAAAGCGTTGGAGACAAAATGTATTTTCTTAGTTCTTTTAAGCAGGTAGCAATTGATATGTTTACTCAAAACTTGAGGTCGTCACTAGATAACAGTACACGCTACGACGTCTATAAAACCTTTAAATATTGTCTAACACCAGAGGTTTACCTGCATACTATAACAGACAGAAAAATTAGAGACACATTTATCAAACTTAGGCTAGGTTTAAATGATTTGATGTGCAACAGGGGTCGCTTCTCCTCTATTCCTAAGGATATGCGTTTTTGTCCATTCTGCGAAAACCATATTGAAAACGAATTACACTTTTTGTTTATATGTCCAATTTACGACAACCTAAGATTGAAATATATGCTTGATATCACTAAGAACCACTATTCCAGGAATAAAATATTATCTTTTAATGGTATCCCTAGTCAAAAATTAACTAAGATATTACAATACATCTATCAAAGTCTACGAGTGCGTAGTAAATTACTTAGTAAATCCGATATGTCCAGAAATAATTTAATTTAGTTGTTTTGAAACTTTCGCATCTAGATTAGGAGTATCTAAATTTAATTTTTTTTCTGTTTGTTTCTACTAGACATGCATATGAATATTTAAAAATGTCAAATTGTCTTGACATGATGAGTATATTACTGATAGATCCTTTTGTATTGAACGTCGCGCTATGGCTGAAAGCCTTTGCGACGTAAAACTTCATATTTCCATTCCACATTTGTATTCCTTTTGTATTTTATACTACTACTGCTGCTACTGTGGTTATTACCACTGTTATTACAATACCTCTATTACATGTCAAGCATCATATTAGTTATCCAATAATTATATTATGCGCTGTACAACTGTAAATGATATTGTTTATCTGTATGTGTATAGGGGCCAATGGCCTTTCATACAATAAAGATTGATTGATACTGGTCTGTTTGTATCTACGCTAAAGCCCTTCACAGCATAAGGTATCGTTCGTGCCAAAGACGTTTCATTAGCCCAAGTCAGTCGGTATACCCTCAGTGATAAAATCCCAACTTCACGATTTCGATTAGTGCGCTGTTCGCCAGTCTGTACCCGGTGCGTATGTAGTGCGAAAGCCACTGCCAACTCTAGATAGTATCTATGACATGATCAAAACTGATTTGAATTTGAGGGTTCTGGAGAAGGCATATTTCTAAAACATATGGGATTTAGATGGCGTGAAACGTATGCAGTACTTATGTGCAATAAAAACTACCGAGACGAGAACCCGTCAATCATTTTTATTGATGAAATGTGGATGCATGTGCACCACACTGTCCCAAAATGTCGGCAGTTGGACCTGATATGGCTACAGGCGGGCTTCAACCCCCGTCCGGGGCCGAACCTCGACTGAGAACTCTGAAAACGGATCTGTCCAAAATACACTGCTTATATTTGATGAAAATCTCAAAACAGGTGATTAGCATGACGAGATGAATTTTGATAATTTCCCCAAATCGTGGCAGGAAAAACCTTTCCTTATCATTCCACTCAAGTCCGTCATTCTTATGGACAACGCGCAATATCATAACAAGGAAGTGCGTAAATGTTCAACAACCACTAAAAGCATCGTTGCAAAGGCATGATATTGCGTTTGACGACAAGATGTTCAAAGTCGAACTGTTTTGGGGGGATTTATTTTCGCAAAATGTAAGAAATCAGGTCCTGAGTAGATACTATGCTGAAACAACACGGACATGCTATTCTGCGTCTACCTCCTCACCATGCAGATTCAAACCCCATTGAGTTTGTTTGGGCTTATGTGAAGAATTGTGTTAAACAAAACTTGAAGTTCACAAAAAATCAGCTCGAGCTGAATGTGAAGAACGAATGTCTGCAACTGGTGCCAAGGAATGGTCAGAATGGTGTAAGCATGTCCCATGTTGCTACTGGCAACGGGAAATAGTTGTTCTTTTAAAGGAGAGAAATGAACAGCATCATTGTCTGACGAGTGGATCAGATACAGAAACCGCATCAGAATGAGGAGAGTAGTACTATGATTACCCAATGATCTCAATATGAATCCAGCCAGCAATATCACGTTTACAGTATGCCGAAACCCCATTAACAATCACATGGGATTAATTAAGGAGAATATCATTGAGTCAACTATCACTACGTTAAGGTCTGAAACTTTCACAATCATTCGATGAATGACATGACACTATTCATTATTGCTCTCTTGGGTAAAAAAAGTATTCCATTTTGAAACAAGAATTAATTCCCCTCATTGTCAGAACACTTCTCAATTGTTGTTATCTATGCGTATTTGTTGTCCCCGTTTTCAGTCATCGGATATCTCACATCAGCACGTACCATTTATTATGTGCTATTGAACTCGTCACTAGAACTCATTGTAAGACAGGACATGCCCATCGTACTACTTGCACGGACCACCAGTTACCCCTTTCGTCACAATGGTACGCGCCAGTAGGCGGACATAGACATACGGGGTTTATTGTCAGTTCACAACTCAACTTATCCTGGCTTACTAGTACGCGCCAATGCAATAAACATGCTTATGTTGAAAAAAGGCATTCAGGAACAAGGGCCTCGTAATTATAATCAATACATTGTTTATTTGTTTGTTTGTTTGTTTGTTGCTTAACACCGCACACCGCAATATTCTGGAGTCTGGACCAGACAATCCACTGATTGACATCATGAGCATCGATCCACGCAATGGGGATACGATGACATGCATCAACCAAGTCAGCGAGCCCCTTTAGTCGCCGCTTACGACAAGCACAGTCGCCTTTTACGGCAAGCATGGGTTGCTGAAGACCATTTCTATCCCGGATCTTCAAAGGTCATTTAATCAGTACAGTGTACATAGTGTCAGATTGAATACACTATTCGTTTTGGTAACTTATGATAATACGTGGTGTTAAAGTAAAGAATAATGACATTGGAATTGACGTTTTAAGTGCATCTCCTAATTTCAAATTGTGAATTGAACGCACAATTGATCCCTTCTAAATATAATTATTTGGTATTGGTTTATTTTTACAGGTTATCAAGGTCCAAATGCGTCCTCCTCGCCCTCGTTATCGGGTCCCAAAATCGTCGGCATTGTCGTAGGTGTCATAGTAGCCGTCATTATCATTGCAGCAGTTAGAGTCTGTCTGACGAAAAAGAACAAAAGAAAGACACACTGCCAAAGAAACAGAAAGTCGAACAGCATCCGCGCGTTGCCAGGTGCACCACCACCAGTTGCAGCAGCAGGACCTCCTGCCTTGTCCTACCCCCTCAACTACACCAACCACAACTCCGTCAACAACCAGCCCTCGCCATTTGAGAAGGCAGCAATACAAGGCTTGCAGAACTATAGCGTTCCTCCCCCTGCCTTCCACTACACCGCTCCTCCACCCTATGACCAACACGTATCGTATCCACCTACTGCCCAGCCGTAGGGTTGGTTGGTTGGTTTGTTGTTTAACGCCGCACTCAGCAATATTCCAGCTATATGACGGCGGTCTGTAAAAAAATCGAGTCTGGACAAGACAATCCAGTGATTGATATCATGAGCATCGATCCACGCAATTGGGATCGATGACATACATCAACCAAGTCAGCGAGCCTGACCACCCAATCCCGTTAGTCGCCTTTTACGACAAGCATAGTCACCTTTTACGGCAAGTATGGGTTGCTGAAGACCTATTCTACCCCGGAGTCTTCACGGTGGACCAGCCGTAGGGAGGGACATGGAGCAAGGAAAAGACTATTATGTAAACGCTTGACAGTTGCAAAGAATTTTCAGAAAATTGATGGCCCACAAAATCTTACGAGAAGTGGAATTTCCAAAATGTGAAAATTATCCACTGCGTGCTTTGTTTTATTGTTCATGATGTGTGACATACTATTTCTCGTACACCCCGCCTTGACCTAGATTTTGTAAGTTTGTGGGCGCTGAAAAAGGAAAGGGAGTGGGGAGCTGATTAAGGGGTGTAAATAGTCTATAAATATATATTATAGCGTATAAGATAGACGTGTATATTTATGTTTCATTTATATATAATATTCTTAAGATATAAATTACATCGACAATAAAACACACATACTGACTCCAGCAAAGCATATTAAGGGAGTAATGGTAAAGAGAAAATCGGAAGCACCGGGGACATAGTCGTCTAAATGTTCGCAATTCGCTATGCAGAATTGCATCCCTTGGTTGTGCCAGATTCCGCCAATCGCATGTTTGAATTGATGATTATGACTTGGTTTGTCATCACCTGATCGTGTTAGCTGTCAGATATTGCCGCTAACACAATGTCACTCACTCCTTAACAAACTTTTTTTCTGAGCCAATAACATTTGACCCTTCTAATATAATGTACTTAATGAGTTTGTTGCACTTGCTTCAATGTGATACATATTTGATTGATGTTTTACACATGTATATATCCACCATAATGTACCTTTATTAGATCAATTGACTATATATGTAAATAAATATATATTAAGTAATCAAATGTTTATATACTTTCACATTACATAGGCAAAAATAGCAACTGCCTTTACGATTCGGATTTCAGGAGCGACTGATACATATTGATAACAGGAATTGTTCGATGTCTTCTAGGGCGGTCGGGTAGCCTAGTGGTTAAAGCGTTCGCTCGTCAAGACCCGGGTTCGATTGCCGACATGGGTACAATGTGTGAAGCCCATTTCTGGTGTCACCCTCCGTGATATTGCTGGAATATTGCTAAAAGCGGCGTAAAACCATACTCACAAACTCGATGTCTTCTTTATCGACACAACGCAGTTCGTTGTCAGACAGCTATGGAAGTATCAAACAATATACATGTATACTGAGGCATACACTGCATGACATTTTGTGTCCGTATATGTACATACATAACTTGTGTGAACAATTGTAGAACTGTACAGTATATTGAACATAAACTGTGTGTACAGATTCAGTGTGAGGCTTCCCTTGTCACGGGGGGCAAAGGTTGTCCACTCGTCTAAGGCGCCGCAATTCACTGTGCAGCGTTGCGTCCCTTGGGCACGCCAGAAACCTGTGATTGTAAGTTTGAATCCCGGTTCTCCCCGATTATAGATGTAGGTTTGTCAGCACCATAGTCGTGCTCGTGGGTTTTACCAAAGTGGTAAACGTCTGAGACCTGCATCACTTCGAGCTTTCCTCCCACATTAAGCTGATCCGCCGTGATATAACTGGAATACTGACGTTGTTGGTTGACACGTGAAATCAAACTCACTGACTTGAGTAAGTCATTTCTAATATTGTTTATATGTCCCTCTCTCAGAATGTGACAGTACTCACTTCAAGCAGTTATGGAAGTCAGTTTATTTCTAAATGAACGTTGATGAATAGATTTACTAACAGGTAAAAAGGGGCATATATTATTGTAAAGCTTATTATTATGTACTTGCACGAACCAAACTGTATATTGTACATGATTAGTTTTTATCACAATTCTGAACACGTCTGAGGTGATAATGCGTGAATCAACGAAAATAAGCTTGTTCTTAGACACAACACGAACAAGACATAGTAATAAGGTGAAACGTTTGCCTACCAATTGGACTTCCATGTATATGTACGTGATGTAAGTAAAACATTTAACGATAAGACGTTTTGGTGGTGTTAATCATTATTTAAGAAATAAACGACCCGCGATCGTTCTTTATCATACAACAAAAAACTGCAGGGAGAATAAACCATGAAGGGTTGCAGAAAAAATGAAAATGATGATCGTATCGGAAACACCCAGAGGTGAGGTGAGGTGAGGTGAAATTGGGTTTAACGTCGCGTCCAAGATTATTGCACTTATATAGCGACGTGCATGCAGGTGTGTGTGTGTGTGTGTGGCTGCTTGTACTAGTCCGGACTGATGCCGATTTATAGTGCTAGCTCACTGAGATACCATGCCGCAGTTTCACATGAATACCCCACTCAGACACAGTATACTGACTCCGAGCCGACCAGTCCTTGTTTTAGCCCCTTAATGCCGAGCGCCAGACAGGGTAACAAGAAGTACCATCTTTTAACGTCTTTTGGTATGACGCGGCCGGGGATCGAACCCCGGACCTTCCGCTCTCCGGGCGGACGCTCTACCACTAGACCACGGAGGCGGCGGAAACACCCAGATGAATAGATTAAAACTCTAGTTTTCAGAATTCAGTCACAGAGATAATACCCTAAGGATCTCGAAAAATGTATTTGGAACATGGAGAAACATTCTGCGTGCACTTGGGCCAGCTTAAATGTGTGCGCCTTGGTTTTTCTTTGTACTGAGATTACTGCCAAATGTCTGCTCTTTCTGCAGAGACCATATTGTTAGAGGTTTTCGATATTGGTCTCGAAGTATAATGGGTTTCTGATAGACAATAAAAATCACCGACGAATGTTTTCTTTTATGACTTCAAATGGCTATAAATAAAGCGAAAAAAAAACTTTCTGTGTCCAAAAGAAATCTCCGCATAAAGCAGAGTCGATTGTACGATTCCGACTAAATCATGAGCATTGTTTATGAATCACTATCAAATAGTAATGATACAAGATGTTCGTGAAAAGGTGAGCGCATCCTGCCCCACCGGTGGCACCCGTCACAAACACATGTAAAGGCAAGTCAATTGTCCACCTAAAAGAAACAAGGAAACATATTGTACAAGTCAAAATAGGGAATTGCATCGGACATCATTTTTATCACTAAAGCGTCAAATTTGGAAATGTCCTCCACATGTCTAGTACAATAAAACGTTTTGAAACTACTACTGAGGCCTTGAATGGTGTAACCTTGATCAAACAACTTCTAAGCAAGAGTCGTATGACGCCCTTTGACATCTTGGTAGAAAGAGCATGCTCGATTGTATCACAAAAGTAAACACCAAAGTCTGGAGCTGCTGGAATGTTGCTCGACATGAAGGAGAATGCTTTTGGAAAGTCTTCCTCTTTTCATACAGTCTTAAATTGTGGAGAGTGCTTTGTCACACTGAATCTTTATGCATAGATCTAAATATGAAACAGATGAGGCGGTCTCACAGGTCTCCTAGATTCCTAGTTCAGATGGGTAAATCAGTGGAAGGGAATTGGCTATTTGATTGTTATTGAACGCTATCAAATCATCGATATACCTGAAGCTTAAGTTAAACCTCGTGGCCAAATTATCTTGTTTTGATTTTCCCAATCCCAGCAGAAATATGCATATGCATAAAGAAACAGATTCACAAGAAAGGGGGCACAATTGGTTCCTATGGAGATGCTTACTTCTTGCCTAAATGTCTTATCCCCATATTTTACGTAGATGTTATCAATGAGGAAGTCCAGCATTTCACATATTGTTTTCTCAGTATACTTCAGATGGCATTTGCTTTCATTTTTAGCAAATTGTCCTGAACCTCTGAATATAGATACGTAACTGTATCTGTGTTCACCAAAAGCCCTATGGATCAAGAAATGAAGTTTTTCCGTAAGCTTTTCATGTGGGAAAGTGGTGAACAAAGTTGAAAAGTCAAATGTTTTGACAGAATGGACCTTGGTTCTTTTCTGAGATTGAAATAAGTCAAGCATGGTATTAATTCCACTTTTCTCAAATACTTTCTGTGAATATAAAGAAAGCCCTTCCTTGATCGTATTAAGGATTATGGTTAGTCTTTGAGACAGCAACATTTGCTGGACCGAGCAATGTATCTCTCTATGTACGGATGTTTATGGAGCTTTGGAATCCAGTACAAAAGAGGAATGGATATGTCTTCAGGTTTTAGAGGCAAGTCAAAAGTTGGTATGATTTATGGTTTTGGCAGATGTCTTCCTCAGTTAACTTACTGGCCTTCTATGTGGTATTATAAAGTCATTATATATTTTCGTGATATTGTCGAATGCACAAGAGCTTCCATATGGTTTCCAAAAGAGGCCACGTGACTAGCCACCAATGCATTATGGTCGGAAATTACGTTTGAACCCGTTTGGACGTGCAGAGGATATATCATAGACTCCCAGGTAGAACCAAGTATTGATGTCATCCGCATGATTGATTCATTGACTTCAAAAAGTTTGAACATGTGATCATCATATTTTGTGTGATAAACAAAGAGTTCATGCAAAAATGTTGTCAACAACTACTATAGAGAAATGTTGATGTACCATATACTTCCATTGCTGTCATGTGCACCAAATGAGATTTTAAATACTTGTACTGGTTTCTGTTACTTCAACAATGAAAATCAGATGTATGCTTCTTTTTGTAGTAACAACAGTCGGCAGAATCAACCACGCAAAGATTCTTCATGACTCAGAGCCGTATTGATTCATAGTAAATTCTCAATACATAATGCAATACTGTCTATGCCAAAGCATTTGATACTTATTCATACTTATTGTGATTCTTGAAAAAACGCTAACACATTTTACGGATCTCTTCATAAAGTCCAAGAATGATGAAAAGCCTACTCTACTGTGACTTCCGGAAAAAACAAACTGGGATGTATCTAAACTATCAAATATTACATTTCACCGCCTCTTTGCCTATTCGAGATTGTGGAATAGAAACGCCCCCCCCCCCCCCCCCCCCCCCCGCCCCCCCCCCCCCCCTTCATGTACTAATAGTTGTCACGTATAGATAGATAGATAGATAGATAGATAGATAGATAGATAGATAGATAGATAGATGTATTTGTGTCTTGACATACATACACAGGTTGTCTTGACTTTCAAAAGACCTACGTGCACATAGTCATGTAGCGCATTCATGTTCAGAGAAGTCCCCAAGGAGTTGTAAACATGCCCACTGAACAAGTAATGTTACAACGCAATAAATGTGCCACTTCGCCAGTGACTTATATACGTTGTTGTTTCTTTTACGTGCAGTAAGTAGCAGTGGAAAGACGTAGCGGATTGAGGGTGGCCATTTAAAGATGGAAACGTTCGTTGCTGCCATATCGACATTTGCATTGGCATGTCTGGTGTTACAGTACTCTGTGAAAGGTAATTATTCATTAATCCTGGTAAGTAACCGAGAATTTGATAATCTGAGGTCGCCTTGGATTTTTTATGGAGACTGGATATTTTTTCAGCTTAAGTTGTAAAAACCAGACAATTTTTAACTAAAATTATGAGCCTGAATACAATATTATTTAAAAACATCTCGCAACAATGGATTTTATTGTGGCAGACAATTAGTTTTTCATTTCCAACTGTCTCAAGCATAAATAATTATTTTTATCAAGCATTATTTGGGACAATTTAACTTTTTCAATAAAGTCCCAGGATCCACCCAGTATATTAAATGGTTGGGCCCTAATGCCGATATTATTCTAATTACTTCATCATACAAAACAATTTATTTCGAATACACTTGCATGTGCTGAAAAGGATGCAGAAACGTCATTGGTAACTCATGAACGATATATATGTCCATTATGTATTTAGTAATAAATAACCGTATTGATAATAGGTAATACAAATATCCTTAACTCATTTACTTTCTATTTCAGGGGAGAGTTTCGTTTTGGCCTACCCTGGAAGGGTCTATAATCACCCGAACCCTACTGTACATGCCATTTCTTGTGGCCAAGGCGGGACAATGGATATTTTTGTGGCAGACGACGACTCAGTGATAAGTGTTAATGTATCAAATGCATATACACATTATTTCCCAGATGACATTGTCACAACCTCAGGTACTGAAAACAAAACTGTGATTATAAGTTCTCTTGATGATATTCACGTTTATGGGATTGCAGCTTGGAGCATGTTCACACCAATATCTGTGATGAGTCTTGGGATAAGATACATGTTATCCTTTTGTACAAGTATTTCGAATGGCACAGACACGCATTCATATATATTAATTATAGCTTCACACAAGGACCATGCAAATATTGAAATTGAATGGAGAGCTGCCGGTACTATCATGTATGACGGCGCTACGTATGTGAGTGGTGACGTTCTACGAGTGACACTTGCTCCCTACCAGACATTTACTCTGAGAAATGATGCTGACATGACGGGCACCACCATCACCAGCCTTACAGGAACTATCGCTGTATTTAACGGAGGAGAAAGCTTCACTCGACATAGCAAATTACCATATCTCACATCTTACGATCAGCTGCCACCACTAGATTGGGACGGGACCGAATTTGTGTTCTTAAGTATGCACTATCATCAAAATGAAGTCACAACATTAACAGTTACTGCTAATGAAGACACATCAATTAGTTTCAACAATGGGTCCACAGTTGTGATTGATGATAAGCAATTCTATCGTGAAGACATATTCACGCAACGAATGTTTGAACTTAAAACTAATTCGCCGGCTATGGTGACACTGTGTTACCATGAGGACTTTACTTTGCAGTACGCATACGAAAGTCTCTTTGTTGTCCCACCAGTCAATGCATATATACAACATACGGCCATCATACATGACCATGTTAATGTCATAGCAGAGAAAGCAGATGTACACAGAGTGGCCGTTCACGATGCTAATCACAACAATCTCAATGTTTCCTGGAGAGATGTGGCTTACACAAATTACGTCTTTGGAGCGGTAGAGAAGGGACCCAGTCAGGTTTTCATTACATCAGATAGGACGTTCACAGCTTTTGCAGTCGGTCCGGATTTTGGACGAAATGGTGGATACAACTTTACGTATACAAACGCAACCGGTAAATCTAATGTATATTATCATGCAATTCATGAATATAGATACATGTTCATTTCCCACAGGCTCAGTCAAGTTCTACAATTCATGTTCTGAGTAAAATAAATCATTTGTTAACTCATTTATATATATGGAAACAAAGGGCTAAATGTAGAAGGACATATTTTGCCGTGATTGAACATTGACCTAATTGATTGTATTTTTTATCTAAACTACCGGACAAAAAGAAAGTGTACACTTTTGTTTGATGGTGGCTAAAACAAAACACCCAAGAAATGATTATTCAAGGTGAAGTATTTGTCACGGGTACCTGTTTTGGACCTTAAGTGTTCAGTGTTTAGGCGACTGTTTTCAGCCTAGTAACGTTTTGATAACGTTTTTAATTTTGGGGTCAAATCCTATTTTCAAGTGTATAGTTTCTTTTGCCCGGAAGCTTATAAGTAGGGTGACAATATAAAACAGTAATGAGATCGTCAGGATTATTCGCAAGTCAAAAACGTATGACATTTGAAAGTTATAAAAAAAATGGCGTTGGGAACTGAAAGCATGGTAAACACTGAAATAAGAAGTACACAATGTTCGAGACAGTGGCCATTCCGAACTGAGTGAGTGAGTGAGTATGGTTTAACGCCGCTTTTAGCAATACTCCAGCAATATCACGGCGGGGGACACCAGAAATGGGCTTCACACATTGTACCCATGTCGGGAATCGAACCCGGGCCTTCGGTGTGATGAGCGAACGCTTTAACCACTAGGCTACCCGACCGCCCCTCCAAACTGAGAGTCTTCTGAACACATGTACAATGTTGCTGTTAAATATTGTTCTTATTACACCCGACAAGACAGCTTTTGTTAACAACTTTTCCAATTCATACAACGATGGATAAATCTTCAGGGAGTCACACTCAACGGGTAAATGTATATTTCCATTAAAAAGAAACAAAACGAATTGTTTATTTAAATTATAGTGAAAACATTGCCATGTATTCCAAAGGAATAAAGTAGAGGCATTTATGATACACTTCACATTGTGCTTAATCACTGGTCTCATGATTGTTTAATTGATGTAATGAATTATAATGGATCATAAATCTAATTACAGCTCCATGCAAGTAAAATGTATTTTAATAATAATGTATGAATGACAGAACATTGAATGAGGAAAGCAAGCAAAACAGCTGTGAGATTGAATTGTCAAATGTGTGGAGAAAGGAGAAGGCAGTAAGGTGTACGTGTAACGGGAATTGTGCACGTTGGAATGAGAATGGGATGAAAAGGGTGTTAATAGCAGTGTGCGATAACTTGAGTCTCAGTCATGATGATGACACCACACCATGACAGCCAGGAAGAACGTGAGTACATTTTTCTACCCATTTACTGATGTATTCAAGAATCTCGGACAAGGTAAGCAATTTCTTTTTTACTTTGTTATTTAGAATACAACCTGATGGTATGGAAATATACTCATGTTGATAATTTGTAGGTGTTTTAGATTTTAAAGTATTATTTTCATAAAGTATAATGTCAAAATATTTTTATTAAAAATAATAAATCTTGATTATTATTCTGTTTGAATACACGTTCTTGTTTATATAACTTATAACATTTATCAAAACTTTCAGCTCACTGACAGACTATTTGATTCGAGTAGAGGAAACTTTGAAGGTAAGCACTTGCGTATCAACGTATTATTTATAATTAATGTAACTACTATTAGAGATTAACAACAATGAATTAGACTTCTTCCTAATACGCATTTATACGGCTTCAAACGTCTCTGGTTTGTCTTGTCAAGTGCTTTTTGTATGTACAAAATATAACAAATATAACAATATGTATATGTCTTCCGTTTGTGTGACATACATCTGTATATTAAACGTCAACGCCAAAGAATAATCAGTCTCGATTATCTGCAGAAACAGTTAAAGGCAACCTAGCGTTGAAAATTTTATGAATGGATCACTGAAAATCAGTGATGACACCAGCTGTTCGCGAAAATGGTAAGCATGTCCTGCTCTACAGGTAGCCCCCGCCACTCACACAATTTGCATAAATAAGTAAGTGTGTGTCTAATGCCTGACGCCGCACAGCAGAACTCCAGTATGGAAGCATATTAGTGTCACTGTCTAAACAGATATTATCTACGTAGATAATACTCCCATCTAAGCAGATGATACTCCCATCTACGTACGTAGATGATGCTTACATCTACATAAATGATACTCACATCTACGTAGATGATACTTACATCTACGCAGATGATACTCACATCTACGCAGATGATACATCTACGTAGATGATACTTACATCTACGAAATGGAGCTTACATCTACGTAGATGATACTCACATCGACGCAGTTGAAACTCACATCTACGCAGGTGATACTCACATCTACGTAGATGATACTCACATCTACGTAGATGATACTTACATCTACGAAATGGTGCTTACATCTACGTAGATGATACTCACATCGACGCAGTTGAAACTCACATCTACGCAGGTGATACTCACATCTACGCAGGTGATACTCACATCTACGTAGATGATACTTACATCTACGAAATGGTGCTTACATCTACGTAGATGATACTCACATCGACGCAGTTGAAACTCACATCTACGCAGGTGATACTCACATCTACGCAGGTGATACTCACATCTACGTAGATGATACTTACATCTACGAAATGGTGCTTACATCTACGTAGATGATACTCACATCGACGCAGTTGAAACTCACATCTACGCAGGTGATACTCACATCTACGTAGATGATACTTACGTTTGCGTAGATGATACTTACATCTACCATGTTATGGTATATAAATAGTTTCGCCCAAAACAATTAAATAATGACCTATAGTTGTTTGTTTGTTTGTTTGTAGCTTGGAGAACATTTTGTACTCTCCTCTCTTTATTACGGTTGTAGGAGAGTGCGATGCGTGTCATTTTTCAGTAACTTCGACACATTGAAATGAAGACTTAATTTATTTAATGTTTAGATAGTACCTCAATAAAGACATGTCAAGGTAGAAAGTCAAACAAATTGGTCATTATTAATTAAACCAGGGGTTATATATAAATGACCCGGAACTATTGTCGATTACCAGAGAAAATATTGTTACAAAAGACGATAATTTGATAGTAGATGATACTTTCTTCTATGTAGATATTAATATCATATACGGAAATGAACGTATCATCTCCCTAGATGATATATAACTGTGGCACTGATCAGCTTCCATACTCCAGCCACACGAGGATGGCCTGTAAAACAATGAAATAAACCTCTCTTAAGACATTTGCATATTTATTTATACACGAAACGGTATGTATGCAATCGGAGCGGACACACGTAATAGAACAAACATAGGATTAAACACCAATTATAGTTATGAAATAGTTTCATTTTGCTAAATTAACGACAGTATGCACGACTACAGTGCGTGTAATAAATCCATAAACAAGCCAGCACTATATGGCTGATAGTGATTTAGCGGTATCCATAAATAAGTATTGTTATTCACAATTGACATTTAATCTTAGGACCTTGAGAAATGATTTACGCTAGTGTCAGACCTTATGGATATTGTGACGTACGTGGATATGGTGAGTCAAACTGTTTGCTCGAATATGGAGTCAATATGACCTGCTAATGATGCTTTACATTTTTAGTAATCAGGATGATTGTTAAATGAATTGTGTAATACTATTCACTCCACTGGTCGGAGGAAGGATGTACATATAAATCTCGACCATTTTCAAAAGCTGGTACTGCCACTGGTCTATCTGCATCTACGCTAAAGCGCAGCAGAACAGAATGCATCGCTCGAGGGTAATTTCATTAGCCAACGTAAGTCGCGAAAACGCCCAGTGTTCAAATCTCAACTTGACGATTTCGACCAGTGCGCGCTGTTCGCCAGTTTGTACACAATTCGCATATAGTGCGAAAACAACTACACCAGAATGTGCAGACTAGTGCTATGATTATCCAGTAATCTCAATATACAACCGGCTAGCAGTATTACGTTTGCAGTATGCTAAAACCCCAGAAACAATCACATGAAATTAATTAAGGAGTCTGTCAATGCGTCAACTATCAATACCTATAAGGTCTCAACCTTCACAATCATTTGATCAATGACATGACACTATTCATTATTGCTCTGTGGGGTAAAAAAAAAGTATTCCATTTTACAGCAAATGAAATCTTTTCATTGTCACGATGCTTCTCAATTGCTCTTATTTACATGTATGCAAATTTGCTGTCACCGTTCTTACAGTCATAGGGTACCTCGTATCAGCACGTACTATTATATGGTATTGAACTCGCCACTACAACTCGTTGATAGACGTGCATATATCCATCGTACTACATTTCGCGGACCACCCGCTACCCCTTCCTTCACAATGGTATGCTCCAGTAGGCGGACCTCATACATAGTCATGCCGGGTTAATTGTCAGTTCACAACTCAACTTATCCCGGCTTTCCAGTAATTGATTGTTTATTGGAATATGTCTCTTGTGCAGTGGTTTCTGTGGGCCAGAAAATGTTCTCACCAGCCTAAGTATTGACTGCCGCTCGATAATTAACAGACCGCCTCGATAAAAATGACCTTTTCACTGTGGAAGACGTAACATTGGGGTGTAACACTATTCCAGTTAAATCGTGGTCTGTCAGCTTATAGTTTAATATGGGATGAAAACTCGCCTCGTCGATGTTATTGGTGAAGGAGTGTTGGGATAGCCCAGTGGTTAAAGCGTTCGCTGGTCTGGCCGAAGACCAAAGTTCGAATTTCTACATGGGTACAATGTGTGAGACCCAGTTCCAGTCTCCCCCGCAGTGATATTGCTGGAATATTGATAAAAGCGGCGTAAACCCTACTCACTCACTCATTAGTGAAAACTCCGAGCTCTTCATGATGTCAATATAGTTCATCATCAACAAATCATTTGAACCCAAACAGCTCTGTTCTCTTTAATACATAGATGCGTTGTTTTCGAGAACTAAATGTAACCACAAGCTCCCGTGATGAAGCACACTGCAGGGGTCTGGTCATGGGCTCTTGGTCCTAAGCCAAACCACATGTGCTGTTGTCTATATTGAAGGGCATTAAAATAATCAGAGGGTAGAACCACGCTTCTTATGACAAGACGAGTAACATGCCCTTGTTTGTACGGTTGGTTGCACATATGTGTGCATGAAGCGCCAAGTGAGCCATGGCACAAATAGTTGGACATGATGTCGTCCTTCCCCGACGCTGTGGATCGTTGCTAGTAATATCGGTTTGTCTCGTCCAGGCTCACTTATGTTTAGGTTGTCGTCATATAGTTCTAACATTACTTAGTGATGTTTTAAACAACAAAGAAACACAATTAAAACTGTATTTGAAGTGCAAAACAGAAACAAGCATTACAGTGTGCAATTACAAACATCAACACGTTTTGGGTAACACATCTCTCATTTACCGTAAATTATTTCAACACCGATAGTTGTTATTAATTCCAGTCCTTTCTCTCATGACCTTACCACAAGGAAGATGAGCGTACTACGTTGATACATGAAGCAGTCCCTTCGTACTTTCGATCTCTTCTGATATAGAACCGCCTCCGTGGTCTCCTGATAGAGCGTCCGCCCGGAGAGCGGAAAGGCCTGGGCCTAGA